AAAATTGTTTTACTACTACGCGCACTACTTTCACTTTCCGAAGGAATTTTAGTATTATAACGGTTTTTAAATTTAAAGGCAAATCCAGAAAATATAAACAATTATTAACTGTATAAACTGACTTTAATGTTTCAATTCTGATTATTATGCAAAGTCCAAAGCATTAAGAATACGATCGACGATGGCCAGGTCAATATTACACTAACATAGTGTTCTGTATATAAAATAAATTAATAAGGTTAACCTACTAGCAATTCTTTATGTTAATTTTTCAGGAATAGCGTATTTCGGCTATAATGTATTTCGAGAATAGTGATGATTTTTTGCTAATAAAATACAATTATTACGATTGCTATATATATATGAAATAAACGAAATATATGACGTGATTATGTATACCGATTATACAATTTGTACGATAGTAAGCAAGCGTAAAAAATTTATAAATTTATTATTGTACAAATTTGTGTTGTCATTGTCATTATAAAGTTTTTATTAAAATGTAACCTAACCTAATGAAAATATGAACCGCATATTAAAAAGTAATCTAACAGTCACTTACATATTTACAATCTATATAAATCTAGCTAATCCGAAAGACGTTGTCTTGTCTTTATAATGAATATTAACTCTACGCTTTGTACATAGGTGGGAAACATTAAAGAAAACATTATTTCTTCTATAAATGTGTCGTTTTCGCGAATCAACTAAGGAACACTAAAAATGTATTATATATGGTGAAATTTGCAATGTCAATGCTCCCAGTACACGGGACGTTCGCCGCGCTTGTGTATTTGCAACTTTACGGCTCCCTTTGAACTTTATGTTATTTTCTCACTGTTTCTTCACCTTGACAAATGTTTACTAGGTTCATTTGTTTTTCATATTTCGCCTAGCAACTAATGCTTAGCTGGGTTAAACATTTACCTATAAGTTTTAGGTACACCAAATTTTGCAAGTTGTGATGTTTGTTGCAAGTATAATCATTGTTGTTGTTGGTCGGTACATCTATTATATTATACACTTATTTCTCTAATCTTCTCTAATGCACGTTTTACTGTACAAAAAAATATATAAAAGGAATTAATATAATGTATTTTTTTTTATTTACGCTGGCGAGGCACCAGTGACCAGGACAGGTCAGTTAGCCATTCGTAGCAAATTCACCTGTAATTTGACATAATGGTTTCTAGGGAGAGCCGCATGGAGGTCAACCTGACATGGTACATTCGGAACAGTCCAAATTACTAACACTCGTCTTCCCCTCAATATAACGCCATTTATTAAACTCAGCTTAACTAGTTGACATCATATCTTATCTTTGGAAACCGAGGCCAACATTAATGATATATGTAATGATTTATTAATAGTTTGTTATGATCATGACAGTTATTAAAATTCGTCTCATGTCGGAAGTGCATGTTATTTTTATTTGGGTTACATTAGTCTTCCTTAGCCATCTGATTAAGTCCTAGGTCCATAGAAGATTAACGGAAGTCCTATTAGGGTTGACCACCAATGAAGCGTTTTTATTAATTTAAAATACTGATACGTGATCACAGATATAAACAACTAACTGACACCCCCAGTACGCCTCGCATAACAGCGGGTTAAAGATGTCATCTGTTTTAATCTATTATAGAATATTTTATATCTGTGTAACAGATTTCATGTGAATCTGTCTAGTAGTTTTTGCGTGAATGTTTGTTACCTACAGGCATTGATCCGTTCATCCATACGCACAAACATTCACGTCTATTATATTAGTAGGATAGAGAAAGACAAAAGACGTAAGCAGTTATGAATATATAGCTTTCACAACTTACAATTCCCTTGCTATTACAATTCCCTTTTGACTTTTAATTTATTGTTTTATTATTTAACTACAACTTTACTTTAACATAAATTGTACTTTAATATAAAAACCTCTGATGGTGTAGCCTAGGTACCACATTATTTCCGATGGTCGTGGGTTGGATTCCTCGAAGGTGTTTTCTATATATATCATATATGCATATACAAAAAAAATGTATCAATGAATTTATTACTTGTATGTATATCAGTTGTCTAGTACTCATAACACAGGCTGTTTTTAGCATAAGTCTAAATGGAGTTGCATGAATTGTTCTGAGATATTTTTTTTTATACCACATAGGTGGCAAACAAGCATACGGCTCATCTGATGGTAAACGGTATTACAAATGTAATTTGGGAACTCCGAATCGAATTTTGGTGGAATTCGATTAAGCGCTATACTAATTTACTCAATTAATTAATACCAAATACGTGTATATCATATTCCATAACGATTATTTGAACGGGAATAAACAGACCAATGAGTAATGCAAATATATAAAAAATATGTTTATATATATTTGTACATAAGAAATGTACCAGCGAGCGACCTTACCCGTCTTTACACTGGTGATAATTTTGTAGTGGTCTCTATTTTTTTTAATAAAATACAGATTACAGTACCACGTAGCAAGAAAATATTTCGTTTATCTGGATTTGGGCTATTATTTATTGCTTAGACCTTTAGCACTGCGACCTACATAGATCTAATATTTCAAAATACATTTTTTTTTACAAATTTCGCTATCTAAACCCGAGAGAGACAAGAATTGAAGGATATTCTTAGGAGCTATAGCCTTTATTTCCTCAGCAATAATAAGCAAATTTATAAATTATTATTATACCTTCCTATCATCAGGAATAAAAAGTCGTGACTGTAACAAATAGTAAAGCTTACCATGACCATTGGCTCTTATTGTATCGACTCATGCTCTGTAATTAACTTTGCTTTCATTCTGAGCTGTACCATTGTGTAAATGGGATGATGTCCCGTGGGAGTCCCATTACGTTCCTATAGAGGCAGTTAGTAGCAAGGTTTATAAGAGACGCGGGGAATTATTAAGTAAGAAGTGAACCATAACTGCCAGACGTATAGATTTGATGATATATTTGATATGAGATATTAATATTTTTTATACAAGCGAGATGATATTAGAGAATTTAATTCATTTATTATTTATAACTGTTTCCATTGATAACATCAGTAATAAACTAAATTAGTCAGTAAAAAATCATCATTAATAAATATTGAATTCACCACAACTTCGGCAGCGGAAAAAACATATGACTATCCTATTTCTTAATACAAATAGTAAGAATGAAATAAAATAGTATTTCAAATTACATTTGAATGGTTATTTTGAAACTTTCGTGTTTATTAATATACATAAACGGGTCTTATGAATAATTTTGTGGTAAATAATGATTTTAACTCTCTGACGTCAAATAAATTCAAAATTTGGTAGCAACAGTCTATAAGTGTACGGGATACCGTGAATGCTGTGTGTCGCGATCTTTAGTTGGACAAACTGGTGATGGTAGTTCACCGTATAAGTAGACCTCTTAGACTATTAATACACTTGTTTTCTCTGTCTACGTTCAACCTAGAGGTTAGAGGTAGAACTCTATTTATCATGAGATTACTAAATTTTGATTACCCCATTAACTAAATTAATAATACATTTATATTCTTCATATACTAAACTTGGTATATAAAATAGTTATTTTTATTGAATAATAATCAAATCATCTTCTAAATTGGTTCTCCATGTTACAGATATAAGATCCCTCGTACCGTTCTTAACTTGTACGCACCTAATACAGATGTTATCTTACTCAAGGTAAGAATTACTGTTAGGATTGAGAGAATCCTTTATCAATAATTTTATCATCGCTTCGATGTACAATAACTGACACCGCGGAGATACAGAACGTGATTACATTCCTATTTACATACTATTATGGATAGTAAAGGCATTTTAAAGAGTTATAAGATATTCAACATTATGTATATCTACCTATTTATGTGTAGATATAGATATATCTATAGATGTAGATATATGCATCTATCAGGTCTATTCCAGACTCTAATGTAAGTCAAATCTATCACTTGGGATGGTTTTGAACTGAGAACGGATAGGAAACTCAGCTTTTATTCTTTTCACATGAGCTTGTATGTAATTAAAAAATATAGATTCATGTTTAAGATATTAAAATACAGATTAATGTTATAGTGAGATATCTAATCTAATATTAGATTTTTGTTTATAAAACCTACACTCTGTACTACAAAAGTACCTACCATAGTTATTTTAAAAATTAATACACTTTATCAATAAATTATACGGGTTGTATTTCACGTGGACAGCGCTGTTTAATATAGTTAGTGAATATATATAATAAGAAGTAGGTAATAATTCAATTGAAAAATATTTATTTTAAAACACGTTTTTATATGTATTGACTTGTCTTGATTATCTGTCAGCAAATCAACCATCGAGATAAAATATGAAAAAATAAAACCCGAACTCGACGAAGCGTCATTGTTTTATTTCTAAGTTCCTACTTACCTTACCTTTTAACTCCGTCCTCAGATACGTTCATTATCATGCATCGTCAACCAATTATTTTATTTCTGTTCATGTAATATTGATTGAAAATAATTAATTTAATTAAAAAATAAAACTTTTAAGCATCTTAAAGAACAGCACAGACCTTTATTGTTTTTAGGAAGCGAGGGATTTTTTTACTTTTTTATTGGTTGATAATGGAATAATGCCCCCATCTGCGCTAAGAGTTTACGCTGGCGGGGCACCAGTATAGGATATGTAGGATGATAGAATGAACATAAGGTCAGGTCAGTTAGCCCTCCGTGGCAAATTCCCCAGGAATTTATCAAATTGGTTTACAGGGGGAACCGCGTGGAGGTCAACCTGACATGGTACATTGCTAGCAATGGGGTCACTAGTCCACATCACTAATAATCCCCTTCCCCTCAGGAAGTGAGGGTTGTTATACAACTTGAGCTTTAGAGAAAAAAAAGTCTTATTAAACTTCTAATTTTTATCGTTTGAGTTATAATAAAATTAGATAAAACTACTACTGTTGTTTGCCCTCGTATTAATTTACTAATCTGTTTGTTCCAGATCGTTGCTCTTAGCAGCGTTCATTTTAAGTAATTGCATAACGTGGACGACGTCAAGGCATCACTACACACATAATGTAAGTAAATTTACAGATATATATACCTACCTACCTTATTATATTTCTATTTATTTATATTAGAGATTAAGGTACGATGGGACTGACGTATCAAAAATGGTAAAACTAGCTGTCACCGCTAGCTAACTGTGAGTGAAAGGCTCATCAAAATCGGTCCAGCAGCAGAGATTAGCAAGAACAAACAGACCGACAATTTTTTTATAATATAATTTTTTAACATCTAGCTATATGCTAAATAATTTAAAACAAGTACAATATAATTTTGTATACAAAAATTAATTTGTTTAAATTGTTGATTCCAGAGTTGGAGTATGCGTCTTGCATATTGTTTTTTTTTTATTTGAGTGATTTAACTAATCTATTGTAATATTATAAAGCTGAAAAATTTGTTTGTTTATTTATTTGAACGGAATGATCTCAGGAACTACTGGTTCAAATTAAAAAAATCTTTTTTGTTGGATAGTCCATTTGTCGAGGAACGTTTTAAGCTATATAACATTACGCTACGACCAGTAGGAGAGGAGCTGCAAAAAAAATTTGCAAAAGGTGGGGAAATGAAACGAAGACGAAGTTGCGCGGATCAGCTAGTGGGTAACAATTTGACAAACATAAACTATTACGTTTCAGTTACTATATGTATTTAATAAAACTAGTTGATATTATTCGCTATTTGAAATTTGTATATAAACATAATTAATATGTAATCTCAGAAACTTCTTGAGTGGCTAATCTGAAATTACTATACGATAAAGTCGGTTGAACATTACCTATTAAGAAACAAAACATTTAAAATACAATAATTGAGAAATCATAAAAAAAATATAATGTGATGACTAAAATATATTATTAAAAGGGGTCCCTTTAGGCAACGTTCCGAAGATACTGGCAGCGTTCCCTCTCTGAATAGCTAGACTAATTCTTTGTCCAAGGTAGTTGCCAGCTCTTCGGTCTTCTGTGATGTCGACTAACCTTTTCGTTATTTCTTTGAAAAGTCTTATAGCGCTTGTATTTAATTACAATAAGAATCAGTTTATAATACCTAGTCCAATCTGAATTAAACGCGTGAGTTCATTGCCACCATCAGCCTTGAGCATTGACATTGGTGGTTTGCGGCGTACGAAATTTTATTACATCAACGCCATTCAATTATATGTTCTAGCGACGGTTCCTTTAGTAATTGATTCTATTTTGAACAAAAGAAATAAATAGTTGTAAATGCGTATTGTAAGGAAATCTGGATATTTATTAGTTTTTTCGTTATAAAATTTATATGAAATAATTACCCTTAATTTATAATAATAGTGGTTTTTTTTTAAAAGATGATAATGGAATGGTGCTCTCGCCTGCGCTAACGATTTACGTTGGCGGGGTACCAGTGGAATATGATAAGATGAGCTCATGCTCATCTGACCTCATGGTCAGGTCAGTTAGCCCATAGTAACAAATGCACCAAGAATTTATCACGATGGTTTCCAGGGGGAAACGCATGGAGGTCGACCTGACATGGTACATTGCTAGCAATAAGATCATCAGTCCACATTACTAACAATCCCCTTTCTCCCTAATAATAGTGGTTGTGCCCGCGGTTTCGAGTGCGTAAATTTATAGCCTATGTGTTATTCTGATGTATATTTATATCTGTGATATTACTGTAAAGTTTAATCAAAATCCGTTCAGTAGTGTTTGCGTAAAAGAGTAACAATCATCCATCCATACTCACAACAACAACACAACTTTCGCGTTTATAATAATAATAATAAGACAATAATATCTCAGTACAATTGTTGTACATATATGTAGTAAAACTATTTATGACTGGAAAAATGTATTTAATGGTATGATGGTAGAGAGTGAATGACATTATATATTTTTGTTTTTATAGTTTTGATTATAGAATATACGAAAACTTTAAATATCAAAAGAGTTTCTCAACAACAATTCACACAGCGACCTCTAGTCCCAAGCTATGGGAGGGAAAGGAATTGTTAGTACTGTGGATTAAAAACTCCATTGCTATAATTCCATTATCATCCATTAAAAAAAAGTCCCAAGGATGTAGAGTTTATGTTATGGGTGACAACTGATACAAATACAAAGATAATATTTTTTGTAATTATATAAATAGAACATTACATTAACATCAATCTATGCTTATAATAATAAAAATCTGAATACAATTCACACAGCGCCATCTAGACCCAAGTTAAGCTAGCTAAAGCTTGTGTTATGGGTACTAGATAACTGATACAAATAAATAGATTTTTTTTTCGTAAATACATACATAATAGAAATATTAATTATAGAAATAATAAGAATAATGAATGAATGAATAATATAATCATAAAATATAAGAATATTAATATATAGAAAACACCCAGACCGATACAAATAATCTTACTCATGAATGCAAATGTTTGTAGCGTGCGAGGAATCAAACCTGCGACTATCGGAGCAATCCGGTTTGCTAAACTACTAGACTCATAATTATTAATTGTCCTACCTTGAGCATAAAATACTTTTATTCGTATACCATATTTTTTACGTCTTTTCTTATAAAATGATAATAGATCGTTGCACAAAATACCTTCTTTATGTTAAGTATCCTTTAATAAGTACAAATGCTGTGTTGGGCATTATTTATATTTTTAATGGCTTTCGATTTCGTCTGGGCCGTGTGTTATGGATGAAGATTTGAACCACTCACAAAGCTCAGCATGTATCCATGTGAGCGAACGCATTTCATTAGATGTACTAGATAACGCATAAGTGCATGAACTTAGGGTTGGCACACAGCTATATAAAATAATCACTTGAACATGTTACTTCCACATTACCAGATTTCCTTAAGATTGAATATTGACCTCCATGGCACAGTAGTATAATACACAGCTTTACTTCCCCACTTACCAGGGACCATCCTGGTTAGTTTCTCACACGATACAAACTTTTGTATTCATGAGTATTTTTATTAATCTAGATGTTTGGTATGCATCTACCTCGAGATTGATCGATTACATTATTTATAAAATTTTTGCAAAAGCCATAAAACAATGTAATGGGTAAATGAGCCATAAAAGTAATACTTTTTATACAATTTAACAGTAACATAATTTTTTTAATTAATAATACTACTAATAATAATAATATAAATATCCCTGAACAATTAACATAGGGTCATCATGTCCCACTGTAAGCAGTGCTTATGTTAGACAAGTGATATAAATACTTATATATATTTTTGTAAATACATACATAATATGCATAGAATACACCGACCGATACGAACTACTCATAAACACAAATGTTAGCACCGTGCGAGGAATCGAACCCGGGACCGTCAGAAGTAAAGCGGTGTGCTAAACCGCTAGACCACTGAGGCCGTCCTGAGTTATACCAGCCCTACCACAAAGTAACAGAAAAGATTGAGAAGAGAGTAATAAATCTAATCAAATATGGCGCCGAAATTGATGGGTGCGTTAACATCATGTCACTCAGCACGTCCGGCGCGATATAGTCATGTATTCAAAAACCCTATTTCGGTATATGAGCAATCAGACTATGATCTAATTACCATAGTTGTAAAATAAACTATTGCTTTGTATATATAATTAAACATGATCCGCCTCTGATTCCCTGGTGATTATAATTTTCTAAGTTTTGTATTATTATGTTATCTGTGGTATTATCAAGTATAATACTCACTCTGAAATAAAAATTAAGAAAGGATGAATTAATTTCTCAGGTCGGTGTAATGGTCCCGGTATTTACTTTCCTTATAATAAAATCCACTCTTTCTCTCTCTCTCTTTGGAAACTTAGGATAGAATAGAGATTTAGCTGTAGAGCGTAAAATATAGACCTATATATAGCAAGTCCTATGATTTATATTCTCGGATAGAGTCCATCTGTGAGAAAAATTCTGTACACCCGTATTTCGGTGTTGACTAAATAGATAAAAAGTAATAACAATAGCCAAACATATACCTACATACATTTATAAACTTACTCTTTACATATTTTCACAAATATAATCCCCAACTGCATAGTATCAGAAGTTCAATAAACTATTAATGTTGTAGCGAATGCAATACTGGATATACGCACATTTCCCTAAATATTTGAATATAACATGACAGTGAAGATACATAGCAATGCTAACAAACGTGTTTGCATATAACTAACAACCCGCTCTGTTTTTTTTCGAACTATTCTAATGCTGTTGACAGTTGGTCTTTACAGCTTCTTCGAAAAACATTGAGGTCGGTTCAGATGGCACTCCAATGCCGACTTATGGAGCGGCTGAAGGCCAATCCAATTCCTTCCGCAGAAGAACTCAATGGAACTACTAATATATAGGTCACTTTTTTTAAATTAAAATGCAGTCCATGTTGTTTCTCATTAACTTTACTTACAATGTGTAAAAGAACTTTCAAAATCAGTCAAGTATTATATTAGTTTATTCATCACAAACATAATATCAAACCATTGGTCATTATTATTAGTTTAGATGACAACCGATTTATTGGTAGCCACCCAGAAGTTCAAAGATATCTTTTACATCTATAGTTGTATATTATACAAACCTTAGATATAAACCCTTGAAAGCGTGACTTCTTGCAAGTATTAAGATAAACAAAATGTCAAAACAAATAAACATGACCGTGCGTTTAATTTAAAGTTATTCGCTTCAATTTTCCAAGTCATTCCATTTAAAATACTCACTCAATGTTATATATTTTAACATATGACTGTATGTGGAAATTCATTGAGCTGCTATTCAAATGCAGTATTTATCTGTGGGACAGTCGAGTGGCAGCGGCGGCTGTGGTAATATCCGCCATTCTTGTACATGTCCACTTGTTAAGTTGTTTAATATCAAAACATTTATTTAAATTGCTTGGCTAGTTGTGACTATAGCTATTTGAAATGTAGGGCTTGCACATGCATATGTAGCATTCAGTTTAGCATTGACTTTTACCGAAGTACATTTTGTAGAAAGTTTTCTACGTGGGTACTTCAGTCTCGCCCCATAGTGGGGTAATTCGAAAATGGACTCTATTGAAATTATATGGCATCAGAATTTTTAGTATACGTTTTTAAAATTTACCGTTTCATTAACAATTTTCTAGTGATTTCGGCCTGAAACCTATTATTTAAGATTCTTAAAGTTCAATTTTTTATTATTTATATCTTTTATATTTATTTTACATAGTGGGGCATGTCACTAAAAACGTTGAGAAACACTGGTCTAAATTATTTCAGCGGCCAAACAGCTTGCTTTGTAAGTTCAGTTTTAGTTTAAATTTATTACGTTCGTAATGTTCTTCGTGTTTATTTACGACCTTTAATATTAATTGATATTACATATTACAATCTCATAAAAAAAATTAATTTCATAAACTTATCAAATTCGGCAGGATTTATTTTTTGGTTGTATGGCAGATAATATAACAGCAACTTACAATTATGGTGTTTTTATGGATTAAAAACGATAATACAATTATGTTATTACATATACTCTATAAACACATGCACACAATTAATTTAGGTATTAGAACAAAATACTTTTAACTTTTTTTGTTACATATATAAAAGGATGTTTATCTATATCTTCTAAAGCAGTGAATTAATTTTTCGATAGTAATAAAAGTGATTAGATATTAGTAACATTGGTACACTCAGTTCAATAACATATTCAAAGCCACTCGAATGGAAATGAAAAACATAATAACTTTGTATGCGACGCATGGATCGAGTGCATTCAAATCGAATATGCATTAAATACGATTGCATACTGTCGAACTGTCATTTATCAATGCACGTCTGTCCGTCGATGCCGGTTTACGATGCCAATAAAACAATAAATAACTCTCTAATACACTCATAAAAGATTTTATGGCCGCCTTCTTATAAGCTGTCTTTATGGGAATAGTTTCGCCAAAATGTAACATTTTTATTTTTAAAATTTTGATATCGTTAAATTTGAACTCTTCAAATTATATGGTATTGTGTGTAGGTTCAACTGTAAATTGATATATATTCAGATATGACCAAATACAAATGCTAAGCTCTTGCATCGTTATATTACAGAATCGATATATTACAAAAACTGACACTCTTTTAATAATATTGGGAAATTTATTTTCATAGATATTTTAGTTTTTTTCAGAGCACACTAGATGGCGTTGTATAAAATTTTAATGGCGCTATAAGCTTATTTTCATTTTTAATGGCCTTTCATAGCAATGAATTTGAATAAAGAACTCTATCATTCCTATTGAACCGGTAGTGTTATTTTACATAGTAGCTTTTTGAACTCACGGTATCAATATATTTAATTGAAATAGAACCATGAAATTATTTTTCTTTTTCAAATAGTTCAACCATGGATTCTAATTTGAAAATACAATATGACGTCTGTGGTTAAAACATCCTATTTATTCCTCAAGCGTCTTGTTCTCACAAAAGGAGTTACTAAATAGTTTCGTCTTCGTACCCCCTGATTACACTGCTAAATCATGCTCTTCAAATAAAATTACATCGTCCTAAGCAAGTAGGTAAGTATTAGTACCTATACAGTTTTTTATTTTCATTGCAGGTAAACGGTCACAGAAGTAGACACAGACGGCAAGGCGCCGGTTTGTATCTATCAGCTTCATACGTCCTGCCTGGTGGTGAGGGCACCGGTGCGTGGGGAGAGTGGGGCGAGGTGACCCCTTGCTCTAGGACATGCGGCGGCGGTGTTGCCAGCCAGAAGAGAATATGTCTTCAGGTTGGGTATGTAAACCATGTAATTAAATGTATTCTCTTATTTATGGTAAAACTAAATGTTTCCATTTGTTTACAATATTTCATGGATTTTATTCATTTCCACAATACTATATTTCTTCTGCAAAAACGTAATAATAAGTGACCTCTGCAACCAGTGTCTAGATATAAAAACTAGAAAGGATTAGCTTTCTCCTAGTTACGGAAAAGACTATTCTATTGCTTCACGGATCGAATATAGGTCCGGGATGATTGCAGAAGAGTCTGCGAACACACTGAAACACTATGACTTTAGTTTGAGGTCAAGAAGTTCAAACTTCAGCCCAGGTCGTCGTAATTTCCATCCCCATAACAATACGACAGAAGATCATCAATAAGTAATGAGAGGGTTTAGACATTTTAAAAACAATTTATTTTGGGAAAAGAACTTAAACCTACGAAATTTTAGTAATAGTAACATCATCAGGTGATTTCAATGGATAATTAATCAAAAGTATAACTTTGGACCGGAAGACGCAGCGTGATAAAGCCTCCAGCCAGGTGGATCTAGTCAAGATCGCTGGAAGGCGTTGGATGCGAGCAGTGCAGGACCGATCGTCGTGGAGATCTTTGGGGAAGGCTTTTGTTTAGTCTTTGTGGACGTCTTCCAGGCTGAAATGATGATGATGATAACTTTGGACCGTTCAATATAACAATATTCTTGTTCGCAGGTCAGATGGCCAGTCTTCGTGTACTGGTGGGGACACGAAATACTTTTCATGTCAGACACAAGACTGCCCCCCAGACTCCAAAGATTTTAGATCAGAACAATGCGCGGAATACGACAATATATTGTTCAAGGGCATTAAATACAAGTAAGTCAAATATAGAAGTAATTCCTTCTTAATATACAAGTTAACGAGTGCACACATATTTTAGTTGTTTCTCTGACCCTCATATTTAACATTTTATACATCATTACCCGAATATACAATAATAAAATTAATGTTTTCTCTATGATTAAGCTTGTAGCTGAACCTTCTATTGAGTATTAAGTAGATAACACATTTCAATCCTATTTAATTGATAGTCATATAACCCACGTGTATGTTCTATTCCAACGCCTACTGACTTTTAGAAGCAAATACATTTAATGGCAAAAGCCAGCAGGCGTCAGAAAAATTCAATTTTACAATATTGTATTCGTATTATTATATTTCTTGAATACCTCAATGATCGTGTGGTCTAACACACTGCCTTCCTGTTATCCGCGGTAGTTGGGATTCATGGGTTTGTTAATAGATGATTATCTTATCTGTGGTTTATAGGTATGTTTCACTACGTCATTGTGTGCATTTACACAAAAATACATTAATTTCCTTTACATCCATATCGTCATGACTGTTATCCCCGATGTAATATCAGAGGCATTGTCAATCATCAATTCCATGGTAGTAGTTAGAAATAAATGTGACAGGGGTATCCACGCAGGCATTATACTATGGTAAACGTAATACCTGACATGCCCACATTTCTCTGGATATAATTGAGTCCAATGTGGCAGGAGAGTAACCTATCGTCGTATTAATTTTTGGTTTAATATCGGTGTTTCCTTTACCAGAGAGTCAGTCTGACATGTAAATATAGACATATAACTTAGTTCTTTTTCTATTTTTGTGGGTCGATCAGATTTAGTCATTTTTATTAAATACTTAATCTTAATTGTAGATGGGTACCATATCTGAACGGTCCTAACCCATGCGAGCTGAACTGCATGCCGCGAGGCGAGAGATTCTACTACAGACAAAAGCCGAAGGTCACTGATGGCACTCTCTGTAATGACGAGTCGTGGAATGTTTGCGTCAACGGCACCTGCCAGGTATGTACGCGATTTTGTTTCACCTTCTTAATATCTACTTACTAATTAGATCTCCCGTGTATGTTTATATGATTTAGAAAGCAGAAATTTGGATATTTGATATGTTGTGTCATCCCTATTGATTGGTAATTCCAATTGAATCGATCAAAAGCGGTTTTTTTTATTAAAATTTGAGTGCGTTTGACCGCAATCTCACCTGATGTGAAATGATGATGTGGTCTAAGCTGTTACACGCAAGCTCAAATAATGCCTATTCACTCTTGACTTGAAAGACCCATTGTTGTAAGAGGCAGGAAAAATAGACGCTGGTAGAGAGTTCCACTCCTTAGCTGCTCGCTTAAGGAAAGATGATGCAATACGGTTAGTTCGAGCAGCTGGGATGTCAATAGTGTAGGGGTGGAGCCGCTCTCTACGTCTTGTTGTATGTTGATGGAACGGTGCAGGAGGAATGAGGTTGTGCTGTGTTGTGCTTGTGTTGTGAGTTTTTTAGACCTCTGTACCTATTCGTCTATATATACATATATGACCTTCTACACATGGTAGTTAAGACCGAGTTACACTTTATAAAAGTCATCTGCATGAGTACCTCAGCATAAGCCAATTCAGCTGCCAAGCACCTTGTTTTGTAACTTGTTTTGGCTGATTGTAGTGATAAAATAGTAAAATTACAGGATATAGAGACATAACTCTTAGTACTCTGGTATTATTATGCATGATTGTAATCACATACGTGTCCGGGCTACTGTTTATTTATATAGCAACGGTTACCAACAGGAGGGTAGATAGCTTTTTTCCTGTAACATAAAAAAACTTCAATATATACTAGCAATAATCTGGAGTCCTTTATGTAACTGGATATATCAAGGAACATCGCGTCAATCACATTGGTTTTTTAAATATATATATTTAAACCCTATTCAGTACAAGAATAGGGTTTAAAATTATATAGACCCTTTAGATATGTATAGATATCTACAAAAAATAAGCTGTTCAATTTGTATTAATCAGTTGTTTAGTACACATAAAGTTTTGCTTAGCGTGGCACTAGATGGCGGTTTGTAAATTGTTTATTGTTATTATTATTACCATAGGCAATGTTTTTTTAATAACATTGTCATTCCAGACTGTGGGTTGCGACCGAATGCTGGGCTCAACAGCGCAAGAAGATAAATGCCTTGTATGTCGCGGAAGCGGGCTTAACTGTCGCACTGTTAGCGGATTACTGGATTCTCAGGATCTCAGAAAAGGTACCAAATTGTAAATATTTATATGTAAAGTGGATTCTATTTTCCACAATTAGAGAGGGTAATTGCGGAGTATAGAGTCCAGATGTGAGCATCTGAGCCGTTGTTGCGTGTAGAGCCGAGACTACTAAAGTAGCCAGCAAAACTCCTCCCGGTACCACTTTGTTAATATGTGTTACAAAAAATGTGTGTATCAGGGTGAATTCCAAAAAGCTTATTTTTTTTATTATTCATTTTACTGCAACAGATGCTAATTGTTTCAGGCTACAATGATATGCTACTCATACCGATGAATGCTACAAGTATTCTAATAGAAGAAGTTAGAGATTCCAACAATTATCTCGGTAAGTGTTATTTATCAAATTACATATGACTCATTTGTGACTAAAGATAGTTATTCTATATCAAAATTAGTACTACAAAAATTATGGACATGTTTTACCGCCTCACTGAAGTTAACATCGAAGTCTTTTTAGTTATTGCGTTCTTCTTGGCAATCCCTTTCACACATATCATACAAATACATAATATAAAACTAGTCAACCATCATGGGCGCTTCGCTATATTCTACATATTAACAATGCCGTCGCTTAGCTCAGAATTAATTGTCATCCAAACTATAATTTGTTTTCAAGTAACATAATAATTTTAAATTACAATAAGATTACATTGTTAGTTTATATTTTATGCAATAATACATATTGTGCCAGGAAAATTATTTCAAATAATATTTTTATACCCGTAGTTGAATTTAATTGAAGAAATTGTAAGGAATAAACTGAAACATCTCCGTTTATCAGGAAATGTCAGACTGAATAGAAGAACTATGGGAATAGTTAGTTAATAACTGATAACGTTAATGTTTTACACATTTACGTTAGCTATTGTAAAAAACGTGAAAGAAATTAATAAATCTTTATCACCTAATTCCAGCGATTCGGTCCAAAAATGGCACGTACTATCTGAATGGGGACTACCACATAGACTTCCCAAGAACTATAGTGATCGCTGGTGCCCACTGGCACTACGAACGTAACCAAAGAGGCTTCTCTGCACCGGACAAACTTCGCAGCACGGGGCCACTTAATGAACCACTATTTTTATCGGTAAGCAAATTTATCCCGTTATTACTGTTGTATTTTTACACACTGCTTTATTTTTTGATGGTCGCGAATTCAAAGTCTTGCAGCGAAACTGAGTTCAGCAGCTTTTGCCGTGCGTAAGGTTAGACAGTACACTGATACTGATACTGCTAGATTCGTCTATTTCACTTATTTTCATAGTTTACTCTCTTATGGAATATTATTGTGGGGAAAAGCGGCAGATATTAAAAATATATTCATATTGCAAAAACGTGCCATTCGAGCGATCTACTGTATGAAGAGTCGTGACTCATTAAGAGAGAAATTCAAAGAGGCAAATATTCTCACCGTTGCTTCTCATTGATTATATTCAAATATCCTATATGTTCATAAAAATCTTGACTTATTTCCAAAAAACAGCAATATTCATAATATTAATACTAGATTTAAAGACAAACTTGCTGTCCCCAAGTATCGTTTAGAAAAAGTCAGTAGGTCTTTTATCCCATAATAGGTATAAAATTGTACAATAAGATACCAAAGGATATATTGGAATTACCCTTAAATAAATTCAAAACATCTGTTAAATCTACTAATCTAATATTATCTACTAATCTACTATCTAATATTTACTGAGCAAGGCCTATTACTCACTAAAGTGCATGGCAATAGTTTTCATGTTCGGGATTTTCATTTAATGTTAGACATAGACACCTATATAAATACCTATGCATTGTAAATAAACTGGATTTAAAAAAAAAAGTAATTCAATTGAGTTTCTTGCCAGTTCTTCTCAATTGGATCTATATACCGAACTGGACGGTAGGGAAAAAAAAATTATAATGTAAAAACTTGACGTTCATAAGCGGCTAAAATGTCCTACATGAATAAATGACTTTTGAATTTTCAATTTTCAATTCAAGCATAAGACATCCACTTGTATATCTGTCTGTATTTAAAAGGGGAATTTTCTGTAAATTTAATCAAAAAGGAATTTAAGTATGTGTAGGTATAGTGCATATAGCACAAGCTTTGTTTATTTTGGGACTAGACAGTTGTGTAAGTTGAGAAGTAATGTTATTTTTTTTATTGTTATTCACATCTATTTTACTTAATAAATTCCAGCTTTTGCTCCAAGACGAGAATGTTGGTATTAAATACGAATATAGCATAGCACCGGAGCTACTACCCGTTGCTGACCAAAAGTACCACTGGGTGTACGACAATTTCACACCGTGCAGTGCTACTTGTGGAGGAGGTTGGTCATTGTTACTTTCATCATCAATTAGCTTTTCAATGTATCCTAGTTTATGTATTTTTTCCTCGTAAACTTCCACTAGAAATATACCTGCATTAACATTCTAGCAACACTTGAAATCTACATTCTAGGGTCTCACAAAATGTTTACGGTGTTAGAAAATTACACACTTGTTTATGTAACTCGACTAGCAAACAAGCTGACGATTCGTCTGAGGGCAATTTGGTAATCATTGCTTGTAGACATAAATCACGGTATTGCTTATGTATTGCCATTACTAAGAACTAGGGTATCATACCTTTGTGTAACATAATTTCATTTAGTTATTTATAGACTACAAATTTAAAAAAATACGCTACGATATATGTAGGTGAACTAGACGTACCCACTTAGATTATTATATATACACTTTCTCTCGGTTACATTGTTATATAATTGACTATTCTATCATCATCTAGGGTATCTCGGGTATCTTTTGGTGTAGACGTAATATGTTTTTCTCTTCTATCACTTTCTTCGGTCGCAGTCACCTCGTTATTTACTTCCTTTCTTGCGATCATCTTCCGCACAATAACTATATAATTAACTATTCTTGTACTTTAATATTATTTTTATCATTATAGGTTTTCAGACCAGGAATGTAACTTGCCGGTCACGAGAAGAATTAGATATAGTGGAAGAGGGATTGTGTGAAGAAGTGCTAAGGCCACCAAGTAATCAAAGTTGCAACATAGACGCATGCCCTGCAAAGTGGATAGAGGGACCCTGGAGTCCCTGTTCCAAAGCCTGCGGAGAAGGTGGCGTCCAGTCACGACAGGTTCAGTGCCAAAAGATTATTACGAACGGGTAAGAAAATTACAAATCACAGAAAACTACAACATTACTAACATACCCATTTCATACATCATTAAACAAATAAACAAAGAGCTATGTTTTAGAGTGTCTTTCAGGTTTCCGTCAATAGTAGCCGACAAAGAATGCTTCGATCTATTGGGACCTAAGCCAGAGTTGTTCCAAGAGTGCAACAAGAATGCCTCCTGTCCTAAATGGTTCACTGGACCATGGAAGCATGTAAGTAAATATTTAACTTGAAACTTACAAGTCTACATGAACAATGAATCTTTTACCTTACGGTACTCAACTTTAATACTCGTAACATAGTACGCATTAACATTGATTTATTTATTGTCTGAAACATTGACTAGCTCTGTGACAAGCTTATATCTCAGCAAATTCTCTAAGATCTCAAAGTTTGAAATGTTTTTTTTTGCAAATCATATCTATCCGTAGTCTAGATAATATCAATCACTATGATATTTAGAACTTCTTACAATATCTACTTATTATTACAATTATATTATAGGCTACAATAAAAAAATGCCTAACTCATTCATACACTCATGAACATTTTTATGAGCATCTAATATAGATCGTTGGTTGGTGATTGTGGGATACGAAATATTATTATATACATAGTACTACGAAGTACTATTATATTGGAACCCATTAACTTATTTCCTGCAATGTATATAATAATGAAGACTAATGATAATACTGCAGTAGGTTCCGATATTCTCTGTAAATATCATTAATTGTCAGTTGATATAATCACAATATCTTTTCCGATTACAGTGTGACAAATTATGTGGAGAAGGTAAACAAACTCGTCAAGTAGTCTGTTTTCAAAAATCTGATACTGGTCGCGTAGAAGTGCTGGAAGATAGTAAATGTCAAGACAAGAAACCGGACACAGAACAGACCTGTCTGTTACACTCTTGCAAAGGCATCGACTGGATGTTATCTGATTGGACTGGGGTAAGATATATTACATAACACTTGTAATGAAAAATGGACTCCTTAGCCTTAGCTAATGTACATTTAGGGCCGAGACTATTATTATAGCGAGCCTTTTCCCAGAACGCAGATTTCTGATATCTTTGCAGCATTTTCTGGACGACTATTCTGTTCTGACCTGTTGTATAAGTTGCATGGTCATAGCTGTGCAGTCAAGGATTATGTGAGAAGCTTTACATTTTCATGTGATGCACGTTATCTCATTGCCATTCACAAAGACTAACAGGGACCGTGCCTCTGTAACATATTATTTTAATGCAATATCTTATGGTTTACAACAAAATAGGAAAAACTTCGAGAAGATTTTGTTCAAAGTCTAGTCTAGTAACTAGTATAATTGTAATTCGTAGTGCGACACTTGTCTATCAACGGTGAGAACCCGCGTGGCTGAGTGCGCGACAGAGGATCACAAGGTGGTGGACCCGAGCCAATGCGCCTACCATCCGCCGCCGCAGCTACAAGAGCCTTGTGACCTATCCAAATTACCAGCCTGCGAAGTGCAGTGGTACGCCACGCAATGGAGCAAGGTAAATACATTTAATTACACTACTATTGCTGTATTTTGTATATACAGCTAGAATAGCAGACAAGCTTATGTCTTACCGTATGGAAAATAGTAACTGACGCCTAAAAGTAATGGTTGTTCATGTACCTATATATACATGCTTTTACAGAAGATATTAAAAAATATGAGTAATTCGAACTAACAATTTTTCTATCAAAAATTAATATGTGAGATCTCATATATACATTTTTTGTTCCGCTTGATGGGTTCTAAGAACAATAATTAAACATGGTACAAACATTGTTTTTATTGCAATTGGATTGGACATTGTCCTTCACATTCTGAAGGTATACTTTATTTAAATTCTGCTAAATTACATTGTCAATAGTATATTTTGACATAAATTGTGATAGTCATATTGCGACAAGGCAAGATGAGCCAGGAAGAAAAAAAACTCAAACATCAGTAAAAAGCCATGGTATTATGTAGAAAATAACTGTTTCTAATTTGTATACAGTGTTCAGCAGACTGCGGCAAAGGCATCCACACACGGCGCGTATTCTGTGGTATGTTCAATGGAGACTCTGTGGAGAAGGTCGACGACAGCCGCTGCTCCAACTTTACTAAGTACAACGATACGAAACCCTGCGAAATACCTAAAGACAAGTGCCCAGCCAAATGGTACGCTGGTCCTTGGTCTGAGGTTAGTAATATTATTCATTTTACGCAAATATCGCAAATTTTTCTATGTAATATCGGTACGAAGTGCAACAATACCAAACTAACGATTGTTGATGTATGATTGAGTCATTTGTTAATAAGCAGATTTTATTAAAAGTTTTAAATTGGGGGATTAAATATGGGAACTTAGTTCAAGGATATCTTTTTATTATAAAATTTAATATCAATTCCCACTCTACCTTAAGTAACGTTTAGCACATTACTTAGGATAGAGTCGTGAACCACCCCAACTTTCCTAAGACATCTCCTAATTTTTATAGCGTGTTGTTTTGAACAGCATCCTGGGTTTTTAAATTTTAAATATCGAGTGCCTCTTAATTAATAACTAGTTTTTAACACGTATAATTTTATTCAAATACTTTACAAAAATTATGATTTTTTTAATTACTTGAATTTCATTTCACCTATTTTCACTGCATGTTAAATTAACTATTGCTATTCTATTACTGTGTCCTGTTTTTAGACTGAATTCTTCTGGTCTTACCAATATCAAACACTGGTGTTTTTTATTTGGGGTTGGCAAGACTAACTTAGGTATAGTCTATATGCTGTCTTTAAATGTAATTTTAAGGATATGAAGATAATTAGTTGTGATTTACTTATAACAACTTGCTATTGCTGTGCAGTGCACAAAGCCATGTGGTGGCGGTACAAAGCAGCGCGCCGTGATGTGCATCCGTGACTTCAAGCACGTCAGCGAGTGTGACCTGGAATCCATCATCGACTCGACGAATTCCTGCAACACAGGCCCTTGCGACGCAGGTAATTTCATAGTATTTGGCCAAGATACTCGTAAAAGTTTCACCGCTCTTTGCTCGGCTCCGTAGTTCCGATAGTTCAGATTCGAATTCTGCGTATGACAATTTCGTTTGTTATTGGATCTATTTATATTATTCTGCAGCATGGTCTAGTTTTGAATTTAACATAACGTTTAATTAATATAAGTGAAAGAATTTGTTGAAGTTAATCCAAATATGCAGTAATGAATATCTTGTTAATACTAATACTTAGTAATAACTGCTCATACAGCTATACAGTCGAGCTACAGTGGCTCCGCGTCATGCGTATTTTGAAACGGTGTCGCTTTTCGTTTGCTCGGAAAAATAAAATTAACTATTATAAGATGTTCTTATTTATTCTTTACGTTCTTGTTAATCTTCTTTTGCAGAGATACTAATTTTGTAGCATTTATAATTACTTTACTTTATTCTATATATAAATCTGTACATAATCTGTAATATATTATACTACCTAAATATACTCAAATTTAAACACTACTTAATTTTTATATATAATGATATTATTTCTCTTAATGGACATTATTAGGTCTAGTCGATTTGTACCTTCCTTCCTTATAAAATCTGATTAATAATTCAAAGAGTAGTGTATTCAATTAAGAAATTAGCCCCATGTTGAATATTACTATGTCCATTTCTACTATTAAATTTTAAAGAACAAGTTAATATCTTAATTTATTTGCCAATAGATGAAACCCTACCGGTGAATGCAAGCGCTCCTCCTATTCTCGACATAGAATATGAAGACGAAGATTGTATTGATGAAGACGAAGAGATCGAGAAGTACGACGAAGTAGGCGCCGAAGAGGAAAGCACCAGTTCACTCTTCACGGTAACTTCACTGCCCAATTTGAACCATTATAATATTATACATCATATATCAACAGTTATAAAATTTATTCTTTATATTTTCAGTTGGACGAGCTCATGTTTAGCGACAGCCCATCTACGATAGGTAATGTTGATTACTATTTTACAACTTTAGTCAATTATATATTTAATTTCTTTATGATTTCATTAATTATTTCATTATCTACTTCTGCGTCCTTTGTGGGAACATCTTCTTGTTCTAAAATGGTAACAGTTCTCAAGTAAATTGTGGATAATGTTGTATTTCTTTCATATCACTTATGATTTTAAACATTTTTCCCAATATCTATCTATCTGTTTATTATGACGGCCTCTGTAGTATAATGGTTTAACATACCACTTTACCTCCAATGATCGCGGGTTCTATTCCTGGCACAGTGCATTTATAAAAAATAAATAAAGTATTATCAGTTGTCTAGTACCCATAACACAAGCTCTGCTTACCATGGGACTAGACGACTGATGGAATAATAAATAACTCTGAATAATTAATACAGCGTCTGTATTAATTATTCAGAGTTATTTATTATTCCAGCAAAAATAAATTAATAAAAGTAGTTTCTGTATAATTTAAGTTGAGTATCATTATTTAAAATTAGTGTATCGAAGTGATGTTGCTAATGGCTAATAATATTATAATTTCAGAGGGATCAGGCTCAACAATATCGACTGAATTTGGATCTGGAGGTAATTATTTTATCTTATTATACATGTCATACTTTTTTATACTTTGTAGAAGACAAATGAGCTTGCACTCCACCTGATGGTAAGTGATCACCGCCACCTTTACAAGAACTAAGTAGTTAGAGATAGGAGGCAAGGATTTGATTTCCTAAGGAAAACGATAGAAGGGAGGAGTATAGACATTGGACTCACTCACGAGATGTAATACTTACAGTGATTGTATTCTATGCGGTTGTGTTATTTCCTAAAAAAGTTCTAGTCCCTAATGAATCGTGCTGTAAATTTTGCACGTTTGTATTCTTGGCTTGGATTTATATTGGCTCTACCACAAATATAAATGGAATAGTAGTAACATTGGGACTGTTCTCCTTAAATTCTGTAACATTTTAGATTGAGGCAGATTAGGTATGAAAGTAAGAGCAGATAAATCTATACTAGATGCTGTTTATTTGGTATAATTATGAAATCCCGCAGTATGTGCAGGCAAAGTACTATTACAATATTTTGCGATAAGAATTGAGTCACGACAATTGGTTCATGAAAAATTTGTTAATTAATCTGGTCTCTTCCCTCTTATTTTCGACAACTTATAAATACTTTAGCTTAATGTTTCAAAATCTCCAGAAATATAAATTCTCATTATTTCATTACAGATGGATCAGGCTTCGGTTCAACTAGCTTGTTCACAGATTCGGACAGTACTACAGATAGTGAACTATCAACAGTTTCAAGTAGTGATTTTACAGATACTGGATCTACCGAATCTGGAGCAACTGACGAAACTACTGAATCTGGCGCTACTGATAATACTGTGTCAGTAGATACTACTGAAACTGGCTTAACAGATGAAAGCGAATCAAGTGTATCTACTGAACTTGATTCCACAGACGCATCTACTGTTTCTGGATTAACTGATGCTTCAAGTGAACCTTCGGTTACAGATCAAAGTAGTATATCAGACTCTACCGATATTACCACTGAATCCGGAAGTACTGATTTTACAGATATAAGTTCTACTGATGCTACCAGTGACTTGAGCTCCACTGCATCCAGTGACTTGAGCACCTCTGATACAACTATAGATTTTAGTTATTCTACTGATGAAACTACTGACTCTGCCACTACCGAGGAATCAACTGTGTCTGGTTCTACAGATATAACAACAGAATCTGGATCGACAGATATTTCCGAGTCATCTACAGAAGGATCTTCCACTTCATCTTCAAGCGACAGCCCTACTGATGGCTCTACTGGAACCGACTCAACTGATATCACTGAGACAGGTTCTACCGGGGAATGGTCTACTGAATTTTCTGGTGAAACAACTGAGTCCGGTGCTACTACTGAATATAGCAGCACCGATCAGACTGGTTCCACTGAAAGTACGTAACTTAAATTTGTTTATCTTTCTGGTATATAAAATACATCTCATTTATGAATTCGTACATCAAACAGCAATTTTGCATGCTTGATGGATAAAATTGGCAATAAAATTACTACTTATGGAGTGCCTCCATATCTAGTAATTTTATTTTATCTTAGTCCTTAAGAATGACTTAGCGTGACTATAAATTTTATATGATTATGTATTTTATAACTACTAGCGTTCGATTTATTTTCTTATGATATGTATTTAATTTCGTAGTAGTTTATAAAAAAAATGTATCAAATAGAGGAATTAAATGCAAAATGATAAGTTATTAATATAATACATATATATTTCAGGTTCATCAGATATAAGCACAACTGACTTTACAGGAAGTACCGAAACTGATGAGACTGGGTCTACTGAGACAGGTTCAGATGTAACTGACATTAGTACAACCGAAGTGTCAGGCGGATCTACTGAAACTGACTACAGCACTACCGAACTAACTGGCAGTACAGAAACTGGAGGTCAATTAAATATTCAATGTTCTATTAAGCGTAACTTCTCTATTATTCATTTAATTTTTATATAACTATTGTTAACATGAATACAAAATAAAGTAACCACAATCAAATAAAAGGGAAAAATATAAGGAGTCTAATTTTGTAAATGAAGTATATTAAGTACTGAAACTAATAATTAACTGTCAAGTAATATATTTCAGAAACCGGACTTACAACAGAAAGTTACTCGTCAACGGAAATAAGTACAGAAGAATGGACCACTGAATCTGAAGAATCTAGTAAGCAATATTATAATTTCATAAATAATAAATTAGAAAAAACAATAACATTGAGCGTAATGTAAAGTAATTATTTTATTTAAATTGATGCTATGAAATTAATCCTCTAATTTAAAATACGGTAATCATTTGTCCTCTCACCTAACAATTTGGTTGTAAGTTTTTGTAAAAAGTAAAATTTGGTACTGAAGTGTAATGAAGGTCTCTATGTCACCGTGATTTAATAACGAATGTTTCATGTACTCTTAACAATCTTTTGTATGGAGTTGCCCTTTAACATTTGAATAATTTCTTTTTATGTAAGAAATAATTTATTTGCTGAGCTCAAAATATTTAAGCTATGTATATCTATATATGTTGTTATAATACGATAAGCCTTCATAAAATTATTTTTTTTGTAGCTGTCTGGGACTATTCGACCACGTTAACTGGCGGCAGAAAGAAAATGTGCAAACCAAGGAAATCTAAATGCAAGAGCAGCAAGCATGGTTGCTGCCCTGACTTGCGAACGCCCGCTACAGGACCTTTCGACGAAGGTACAATTAACATAATGTGTCTAGTTTTATTTTAAGCCGAAATACTCGTACTTAAGTTAATTTAAGCCTTTTGTAACATAAAATTGTTTTTTAATTAGTTTATAACAATTCCAATAATTATTATAAAATTCAAAGACTATCTATCTGTTCAAGATGTTTTAAAAGGCGAGCAAATACAACGATTTTAAGTATTATTAAAAACTAGAGAGATACCTGAACGGTAGTTAGACTTAGAAAGATGTAATATTTTGCAGACTACTATGCACGTTATTAAATATTACTACGTGTCAGATACCCACGTAGGTTAACGTACTAGATACTTTTTATTATTGCTAGTAAATTTAGTGTCCAGAACATACAACTGATGTTTAACAGTCTATAACTTCCTCAAGAAATAAGATATAAAATATAGAAAGGTTTCTTTCAAATCGGACTAATACTTTCGTAGATAAAAGCATTAGAACAAATACTATTAAATTTTATTGTAATATATGTATGTATGTATATATATATGTATGTATATTTATGGGTATATATTTATACTGAATAATATTTATCAGGTTGTCCAAACCCGGAGACCTGTAAAGAGTCTAAATTCGGTTGTTGTCCGGATGGCGTGTCTCCCGCACCCACGGCCAAGGGTAAGGGCTGCCCAGTGACGCCCTGCAACGAGACGCTGTTCGGCTGCTGTGAGTCCGACAAAAAAACACCCGCCGAGGGCAACGACCAGGAAGGATGTCCCCCAGCGTGCAAATTTTCTAAGTAAGAAATATGCTCAGTATCGTGTCATACCTCTATACTTTGTAATTTCGCTGAGATATGTCACCCTTAAATCCGAGCAAGTCCAAAGCAAGTTGCTTGTTAGATGCTGCACGAATATGTGAGACAGAGGTATCAACATCGTCGACTTTGTACGAAGTCTACACCAGCAAAAGTCACTTATTATTATTCTAATACTAATTATATATAGAATGAGAATGTACATAATATCAATTTAATTAATTTTAGATATGGCTGTTGCGAAGATAAGCAAACTAAAGCGACAGGTCCAAAGAAGGCAGGGTGTCCCGAAACAGGTAAGTAACGATAACAACAATACAATATCATTAAAACTATTCTTACAACATAATTAAACCGCATCAATATAATTAATGCAGAAGCTAAAAAGAAAGCAGAAGAAGCTAAGAAAAAAGCAGCAGCAGATAAGAAAAAGGAGGAAGAGAGGAAAAAGGCAACAACGAAACCACAGGAAGTTGGAGAGTGCGTTAAATCCAAGCATGGGTGTTGTTACGACAACAGTACTGAAGCAAGTGGACCTAATGGCGCCGGTTGTCCTTGCAACATTACAGAGTTCGGTTGTTGCAGCGATGGCGTTACTGCAGGTAATAATATTTAAATGTGTAAATAATTACTTCTTATAAATCCATCCCGGATACATTTACTAGACAAAGTTTTGGTTAAAATAGCTTTAAAAATGCTAACAATACCAAATCAAATCACAACATTTTGCTAAATACTTGTATGAAGTATTTCTTATATATTTAGTTCCTTTTATTTATTAAAGACTTATCTGATGCTCGAATTAATTATTTCGCAAGATTTGAAATATTATACAATAATAATATTATATAAAATAAATATTATCCTTATAAGATGTATATAAAAATCTCCCATTCCATAGTTTGATGGGGATATATTCCGAAACTAAATAATAAATTTAACAAATTTAATAAATAGAATTAGCTAATTGCGTGTAAATTTTATCCAAATTAAAATGGTTTTCATCAGTCTGAATATTACGAACATACACAAGTAGTCGGCTGGCCAGGTCATCTGATATTAAATAAATAAAAATATAATTATATTAAAAAGCAAATTAACTTGCATATTCGATGGTCATACACAGCGAATGATGCAGAAAAGTCGAATTGTGGGAAGACATGCAATTCGTCTCCATTCGGATGTTGTCCTGACGGCAAAACTCCAGCTCATGGATACGAAAATGAAGGTTGCTGTCTCCTATACGAATTTGGGTGCTGTCCTGATAACTACAGTCCTGCTAGAGGACCACACAACGAAGGTATGATTGCATTGTTAAAAGTCCAGTAGAATAACCCATTTTCTATTAATATTAGTAGTGAGGACAATGGCAATAACAACAACTGTTATTTTTGATTCCCAGGTTGCGACTGTAAGCAGTCCCGGTTCGGTTGTTGTCCAGACAACACGACTGTGTCTCGTGGCCCCGAGAATGAGGGATGTGGCTGCGAATACAGCGAGTTTGGTTGTTGCCCAGACAGGTAGATATGCCTCTCTCAACTTGCTAAACCTGTACTTCGCAAACTGTTTAATTTACCTGGTACAATTCACACAGCGTCATCAAATTCCATAAAAAGTAGCGCTCACAGTACTTTAAAACTTACAAAAATACTTAAATACGTTTTGTTTTTTGTAAATACTACCCTACTAGAAAACACTCAGACTAATACGAATAATCATACTAATGAATACAAATGTTGTCTGGTGAGTGACAATCAAAAATAAGGACTTATAATTATATAAGTTGAGCATGTGATATAGTCAGCTTTCGGTTACAGCCAAACGCCTTTGAGAAATGACGTGATATTTCTAACGCTACTTACATAACTGACGCAAAAGTTTGATGCTGGTATTAGTTTAGCAAAACTTTTATATTACGTTCTACCTACCGTCTATATCATACTACAAAAGCTAAAACGTTTTTCAGTTGATTTAACTACAAATAATTTATTGATTAATATGATATCCCTATTCTTATATTATTATATTAATATTCTAATTATTCATGGTATCTATGAAGTAAGTAATTTATATATTGTTCTATCAGTCATACCCAAGCCGAGGGTCTGGAATACAAGGGTTGTGGTTGCCACACTTATCAGTTCGGTTGCTGTGATGATGGTGAAACCATTGCGAAGGGTCCCAACCGTCAGGGATGTCACTGCCGTGAATCCAAATACGGCTGCTGCGGAGATCAGAACACTCCAGCTGTCGGACCTAATTTGGAAGGCTGCGATTGTGCCTCCAGTAGATACGGTTGCTGCCCTGATGGGCAAACCGAAGCTAAAGGCAAGAAGTTCTTGGGATGTACCGACGTGCCTGAGAGTAGACAAGGTAAGTTATATTTTATTGACGATATTTACCGAGTAGAGTTTGTTCAAAGTTGTTGTATTTACTTCTGGCAGGAGAGGCCAACCTTTAAGCAATTTGCTTCATAAGCTGTGTTCAGGTTGAAGGATGAGAGATGAAATATGACCGTGAAATTACAGGATATGTGCAGAATATCTTAGCAATTTTCAGATAGACAAAGGGTCCACAATATAAGAAATTCTTGGCCTCGTACGAAGAAATAAAAAATATGAATATGTCAATTTGTCTTTCGAAAATCATACATTCTACAACACTTTGGGCGTATTTTCGAAAATATTAACTAGTATTCCGAATAACAATACCTTAACTTAATTTTTATTTTCATGAATGCACTAGCACGAGGAAAACATGAAACGTTACGAAAAACATTACATTAATGAAAACCAGATTCTAATCTCATAGACAAATAGACAAGAATTCTTAAATTATTGGTTGACCGCGATAAAATAAGAACATGTTATTTTTTTACATTTAATGTGCAGACATGGCTCGTATACGATGTTATAGGCGACGGTAATATTACTATCAGGTACATTAGCTTGTTTCATTAATTCTAATTGCATAATATATATATAAATATAGCGGCGTGCAGCTTGTTGACGGACCGCGGCTCCTGCCACAACTACACGGTGTACTGGTTCTACGACATGGAGTACGGCGGCTGCTCCAGATTCTGGTATGGCGGCTGTGAGGGCAACGGGAACAGATTCTCTACCAAAGAAGAGTGCGAGGACATCTGCGTGCAGCCCGCACCTAAAGGTAACGCCGTAATATATGGAATTGAAAATATATTTTCAGATTTCTGCTTTGTTTCTTGGTGAAAATGATTTAGTTTGACTAGTTTAACCTATATTTCTGGTATAATCTCTTGCGAATATATGAACTGACTTATAGCAAAATATTGATTCTAAAAACAATGACAGCAAAACTAGATAAATTAGCAACTAATATAGTAGAGCTATTTACTTAGATAAATTTTGTAGAGATTTAACCAAAATTCAGTCAATGTAGTCCAAAAATTGACGTTTAATACTTAATTTATTTCTTGATTAACTGTTATCTATCCTGTTGGGCTGAGATATACCATATATAACCTAAGGGTTAGTCTACTCACCAGGAGGGCCGTTGGCTTTTAGCAACAATTCACACAACGTCATCTAATTCAAAGCGCAATAAGTAGGTACTTAATCGTCTATTTCTTGGCAATAAGAAATTCGACGTTTCCGCAGATGCTTGCAAGTTGCCACAGGTGAAAGGTGCGTGTAAAGGCTACCTCCTACGCTGGTACTACGACAGTGAACGGGAACGATGCTCGCAGTTCATTTACGGCGGCTGTCTCGGCAACAACAACAACTTCGAGACCGAGGAGCTGTGCCAGACGCAATGCCAGCCCACCAGATCTGTCGGTATGTACAGCACAGTATGAAGTTGAATAATAACCAAAATCAAATTTTATCATATACTAGCTACTCGCCCCGGCTTCGGCCTAAATTAAAGATTTAAGCATACATAAGGACGGCCAGACAGCGACAGCGACTTATACACTAATTTGCTTTGTCCTTCTTATAATAAAAACCTTTGTTAATTTCTCTTCCATGATGGCAAATAACAGGTCAATATTTTTCCCTTGCGGACAGATACTTATGTGAAGCTTTCATGATTTCTAGATTAATAACAGATTCCATTCAAAATTCAACATTTGTATGTTGAATTTTGAATTTTTTCCTAAGTAGTAGAAGACTCTATATGACCACGTGTCATGTATAGTCCTAGGAGCTAGAGGTAGCACAAATGGACCCACTAGAATCGGGAAATACCACACTTCTTCAGTTACATACCGGAGTTGAGTGTTATCGCCGTTTTCTAGTGAGTCGAGGTTGCAGATGTCCATTTATACCTTCCTCTATCCACTCCTTCTTAAAAATCTGACACCTGCAATTGCCCCACTGTTACAATTCTACAATCGTCTTTCCCATCAATAATAACGCATAGTTTTATGGTTGCAGACCAATGTTCTCTCCCTATCGATCCTGGAAGCTGCTCGGGCAACTATGTTCGTTGGGGCTTCAACCCAGACAATGGGCGTTGTGAGCAGTTCACATGGGGCGGTTGTGAAGGCAACACCAATAGGTTCAGTACAGAAGCTGCCTGCATACACCGGTGCAATACTCCGGGAGAGCCTAAATGTAAGTATTTTATAAAAGTCGGGTACTCAAGTAACAACGAAAATAATGCATATAGTGATCATATTATTCTGGCGGTATTAAAATTGGTAATTATTCAAAATCATTGGTCCATTGTGATCATTGGAATATTGAATTCAATATTTAAGACTGCCAGAGTAGAATATGGATTCTCATTTTCTGGAAAATAATAATCCTGATCGCACTACAGCAGGTTTATGGTTAAATACATTTTTGGGTATAAGGTGTGCATGTGGTAATGGTATAAGATAATGGTGCATTAATGTAATGTTGGTGTGTGTAACTAATATTCAATCTATAATGTTCTTTGACTAAAATATATTTATTTGTGTTTTTAAAATTGCACGATAGTTGTGGTAAATGTATATTTTTATTGATGAACTCAAATATAAATTTTACTTTTTGCATGAGTTACAATCTGTGTGAAAGAGGTCGTATAATTATAATATAATTATATAAATAATATACAATTCTGTGATAGTGATAATCCTATAAAAATCCATCGCAGAATTTAAAAGTATGTTAACGACAGACATAGTGGGGAATTTTTTATATACAAGTAAGTACAGATAGTACTTAACTGTATATAAAAAATCGACGTCTTCGGAGAGAGAAAAAGATGATTCGGGTAATTTAAAAAAATATATATTTTTTGTGTTTCGAGTTCACCAATCAGCATATGAAATATGTATTTTCTGCCAACTAATCTTTTCCTAATTCATCATTGAATGCTTAAATCTCTTTTTCTAAATGAGAAACAATCAATGAAGAATTGCACTAACAATGGGATGCACGGTGTCTCTCTATTTTGTATAGCTAATTGCAAGTTGCCGCAAGAGACTGGAAACTGTACAGAAGTGCATGCTAAATGGTCCTTTAGTGGAGAGGAGAATCGATGCGTACCATTCTACTACACTGGTTGCGGAGGGAATGATAACAGGTTCGATCATGAACAGCACTGCATCGACGACTGCCCAGCTGTCTATGGTAAGTACTAAAAGATGGAAATAAAAAATAACAATATTTCTTTATTTAGCAACGATTATGGCGATGAAGCTGTCATACTTACAACCACATTGTGGAATTCGAACTAATACGGTATAAAACCTTCAGGAAAAGAGTAATATTAATTATTCTTTCATGTTCTAGTGAGTTTACTTGCAATTCCGTTAATATTGCGGGTGTTCACGGGCAGCGAAAATAATTTATTATCATTTGAGCCGCAAGCTCGTTTGTCTCCTATGCTATTAAAATTCAGTGCAAATCCTTAAATTGTTACTAATTAAATAACGTCATATGAATAAGCAGTCAATGTTAATATATTTGTGACAGAATGTTGCATTAATTAATAAATGAAATTGACATTTTTTTCCCATATTCCAAATACTATTACAACAAAGTAATTGATGGGAACACCTTCCTTAGTTTAATTCTTAAATATTTAATAATAATAATGATGATAACCCAGATCAATTAATAAAGCACCTTTTTGTCAGAATACAGGTGTACCTGGTGTGGTAATTCGTACACCAATTTGTCATGTTCACCATTTAGTGTTCTTGTCCATCCTATACACCAATTACCCCGCAGGTACACTATGCACGAAATTTACGTAGTTCAACAACCAATTATCTAAATATTTAGTTAGCACCTGTATATTATTGTTTTTTATGAAATTACAGAAGCATATTCTAATATAAAATGGGTTTATGTTGGTTGTTTTGCAGATAAAGTTTTGGCACTCCATTTAGTTATTGCTTGTTTTGTAGATTTTGGTGTAGTAATAGAGCATGATTGTGAATCTCTTGAATTAATTTTTAACCGTTTGGCATGCTAACTGTAAATTACCGCTTCGGAAATACCTACAGATATGTATGTGTTTGTGACATAAACTTTTTTATTCAAAATAGGATATTTTGGTATCACGCATACTTACTTTTATAAATCATTAAACACACCTACAAAAGTATATTACTATGACGAACTGTGACGATGTCTTTGTAATATCCATTCTAATCAATTCTGAACTTAAATGATATTGTTTAAGTCAGAATTGACTAGAACTTCTAGAAACTTCATATTAATAAAATTTTGTTAAATTTGCTAAAATTTTGAAAAACCTAAAGAACTGTTATATAACACACATTCATACTTTTCAAAACTTCCTGTAATCGTTTAAGATCAATATTACACTTCCTAAAGTTATTGAATTTATATTAAAGCAATAAAGAAATCACTCAAAACTCTGAATACCACGGTCACCTAAGAAAAGAAATTCTTGATGACTCATACTGGTGTAACATTGCAGTATGTATTTTCCACAGTCAAGGATATTTGTGAGCTGCCAGCTGAGATCGGCAATTGCGCGGAATATAGGCAGCGCTGGTACTTCGACACTGCGCAGAAGAGGTTTGTAATTGTATTATTACTCTATGTTACGCCAAATACAGAAAATAATTAAAATAGTAAAATACATAACTATTATCGCTAAGCAATTTCAAAAAAGTATAGGGAATGCCGTCTAAAACAAATATTTATTCTACAATCATGTAAATAACTATTGTTTTACAAATCAATGTTCTATATGCAACTAATTTTATGAAATGAGTTGTAAATGTAAATACAACACTACGTATTCGAAAATCAAGCAAAATTATTCATTCAAATAAACTTACATTTAAGCAGTTTTCAATAGAACGGATCTACAATGAATTATTATTGAATTTAAGATGAATTACGAGGCTTCAAATATGTTTTTTGCAATTAAAATAAATTGTAATTTCATATTATGAAGATCAAATGGATTGTTCTAGATGTTTGCAATTCTACTTCGGTGGGTGCGGTGGGAACGAAAATAACTTCCACACGATGGAACAATGCGAGTCGCGGTGCGCTGTGAAGCAAGTGACAACCACCACACTGCAACCTGCTGTGGTGGACACTAGCACTTCAGGTAACCATGTAGCGAATAATAACTGAACCCAACCAAGTTTTTAATTAACTTGAAAAGCAAACGAGCTGATAGATGTACCTGATGGAAAGTGAAACCAATAATTATAGACAGCAGCACAGATATAATAACAAAGCATAATGTTTTGTCGTATCTGTTATAACGGATACCGTAATTAAACAGATCATGTATAAACGCCCTCTTAGATTCAACAATTAGGAAATATCACGAAATCTTTCCACGTTTTATTTATTTTTATTGAATTTCCGGTATTTCGACAGTATTTCGACCGGTATGATCACGAGTAGAGTGAAAAGCAGCGGGTAGATGGTACATATAATAATAAAATATTTTCTATAGTAGCAATAAACGAAGACGTGTAAAGGTAGACGAATCTGTCTACCCATATAAGATTTTAGCTACGCATTACTCTTCAGTCTACTCATGATCATGGCGATTGAAACACAGATAAGTTAGTTCAGACAGTTAACATAGTTCACCCTACATGCCAATAATACTTTCCAAATATGCTGCAACTCTAATGCTATAATAACAATAATAACCCCAGGACGATTCCCACAGCGTCAATTAGTCCCAAGTTAAGCTAGCTAAAGCTTGTGTTATGGGTACTAGGTAACTGATATACATACAGATTTTTTCGTAAATACATACATATTATACTTAGAAAACACCAAGACCGATACAAAAAATCGTACTCATGAATACAAATGTTTGTGCCGTGCGAGGAATCGAACCCGCGACCATCGAAAGTAAAGCGGTGTGCTAAACCGCTAGACTGCCGAGGCCATTGCAACAAAGAAATAACCGAGTGGTTCACTGTTTAGAGTTCTGCTTCATGGAACTGGACCCGGGCCAATGTACCAACTACGAGACCAAGTGGGGCTACGACCATACGCGCGGTATTTGCACTACGTTCGAGTACGGAGGCTGCGGTGGCAACAGAAACAACTTCCCCGATGAGAAATATTGTACATATTACTGTATTACCACGCAAGGTAAGAACAACAAATAATAATTCGATTTTAAATCACAACCAATTATAAATACCTTTTGGACAATACCCAAAACGTCGTCTAGTCCCAAGGTAAGCAGAGCTTGTGTTAAGGGTATTAGACAACTGATATAAATATTTTAATATGTTTTAAATACATTCATAATATATGATACACATAAACACCCAGACTGATACAAACAATCGTACTTAAAAATACAAATGTTTGTACCGAGCGAGGAATCGAACCTACGACCATATGAAGTAAAGCAGTGAGCTAAACCTAATAAATAACACTGAACGACTAACATCGTGCCCTCTAGTTCTAAACTAAGCTCCATAATGCCCCTAGGCAGTTGCATATCGTGCCCTCTAGTTCTAAACTAAGCTCCATAATGCCCCTAGGCAGTTGCATACTCTGCCTAACACTTTAACGACCCCATATGACTGTAACATAAGAAATTTGCCTGTGTCTGTACCGTATGTATCCACAATTGACCATTTCTTTGTTCTATATAGATATCTGCCAATTGCCAATGCTGTCAGGACCATGCGACGACTCGCAAATGAAATGGTTCTACGACCCCACCACGGACACTTGCAGTCGGTTCACCTACGGAGGCTGCCAAGGCAATGGCAATAGGTGTGTATATGGGGGCTATAGAAACTACCTTTTTTACTTATGTACATATAGTATAGAAAAATATAAAATATTAACAGTAACCAGTAACAGTAATCCACATAGTGTCATTTAATACCAAGCTAAGCAGAGCAGTTGTATTATAGATACTAAACAAATGCACATAATATACATATAAAACGCATAGACCAATAAAAACAATAATACTCATAAAATAATCAAATCCGCGACCATCGGAAGTACTAGTATGTTAAACAACAACATCACTGTTCAAAATCTACCCTCTACCCCTTGTAAGCACAGATTATTATATTAGAGCCCGTCAGTTTCTGTCCACCTACTTTTTTCCCTTACCTAATACCTATTACCGTACGGACTGCCTTGTTGCGCGCGCGCACTTTCCCTAATTATAATAAAAAAATAAATTACAAACTGAGTGCAAAAGTATGTGAAAGCAAGTGAAAACATCACCTAGACGCTGGACCGTGTTAAGTAGTGCTCCTAGGTAGACGCTTCCACATATCGTATTTTCCTTAACGATCACCAAGGCCGTCAATAAATTTATCTATGGTAAAACCAACAGACTCGAACAGACCGGCTCAATATACATACTCCAACATAACACCCGCAATAAGTGAGTGTTGCAGAATTTCGCAGTTTGAGTGCATACGACCATCCTCTTCACTGCTATCCCTTTCCTATTTTTTGTCCCCTTTCCCTATCTATCTACTTCCTTCTTAGAATCGAAAATCGGAACGTTATTCCCTTGGTTTTCAAGATTCACACGTGAGTTAATTAATTAATCCTGATAATAACTTACCATTTTCATTTATTCCGTAAACATTTAACAAACGCGACCACACAAATACACGAAACTTAATTTACAACAAGCAATGAGAATACGAATACGTAACACAATGCGAAAACATATAATAAGAAATAAACAATAAAAAAAATATAAAACTATAAAAAAAACAATAATCAGACAAAACATTAAAGCAAATGTTTATATATACAAGTTCACGTTTTTGTGTATGCGTCGCAGTGGTAAGGTACGGCAAAAACATTTGCTGTCTGTGGTTGCTGTACAGTTTTTAATTTGAAGATCAATTAATTTTGGTTTACTTCATTCGTTAACGTGTATTATCAGGTTCGACACTGCAGAGGATTGCGAGAGGCGCTGCAGGACTGGACCCGCAGTCGACGTACCAGTCAAAACTACCACAACCACCATTGCTCCGGTGAGCCGCGTAATTTTTCATCTTTCTTATTTAACCCCCCATGTTAAATGCTCGAACAAATCCATTGTAACTAACAATTGTAAACAGATTTTAGAATTAGAAAAGTAGGACAAAGAAGTTTAGAAAAGAATAAAACAAATCAATGGGTTAAAAAGAGGTTTATAGCACGTTTTTAGAACTGAGGAAATATACATAACTATATTATATTATACATTTAATAGGTTATTGTATTACAATGGTAATAAATATAGAAAAAATAATCGTCTTTCCAGTAAAATTTGCTGGCAGCCCTTTTTATATGTCATTTTTGACTTAATTTTATTGTGAGATCTCTAGAGATTAATATAGATATGTATATAGCATATAATAATTTCTTGGTTTTTCTAAAATAATACTGTATTAATCTTACTCCAGACAGATAAGGTAAAGGGATACTCCGCTGTGCTTAAGGTTTATCCACTTCCTGTACTTGAATTTGATTATAAAACTGTTCATGTTACTTACAGGCTGAAAATCTACCTGCAGAATGCCAGATTCTGCCCACCGCAGAGGAATGTACGGAAGCTGGGCAGGTTTGGTACTTGGACGTGAACAGACGGGCATGTGTCTCGTACGAGAACGAAGCGAGTGGTTCCAGCTGTAGGAATACAGGCGTCTTCAACTCAGAAGAAGCCTGCGAAAGGTCTTGTGGCGCCTTCCGAGACGTTGGTTAGTGTTAAATATTCTTCCAATTAGGTAGACTTTATAAGAACCTGCATGTACCTTGCAATGGCAAACTAGCTGACCGCCCACCTGGTGGATTGTTTTTGGATAATTCATCCAAAAACAATCCACCAGGTGGGCGGTCAGCTAGCTTATTAATTATTATTACGCTGGCGGTGTACCAGTAGAGGATGATAAGATGAAAATAACAATAAGTCGGTCAGCACATCATGATCAATTCACCAAGAATTTACCAGTTTCAGGGCGAACCGCTATTTTTTAGAAGTAATCCTATAATTTCACTGCAATATATTCGTCAAACTGAAACATAGCTTACAAAACATGAACAGAAATATGTGGGACGCATAGTCTGCGTTGGCACCTCTGTCTTACATTTTTTAGTTGGACAAATTCCACCTCTGTAAGATGACTTCTAATTACACTATATACATATGTATTAATAAAAAGCTAATTAAAACAATATATAAATAATATCTTATTCGAGATAATTCAGTTAATATTAGTATGATCTTCAGTTATTTACAATCTTTCTGATCGATGTACGCTGTTTTAGACGTATGCCAGCAACCCAAAGATCCCGGTCCATGCCGGGAAGCTATCCGCAAGTATTACTACGACGTCGAAACTGAATCTTGTAACGAGTTCGCATATGGCGGCTGTCACGGTGGAGCCAATCGGTTTTCCAGTATCAGCGAGTGCGAGGAGATCTGCTTACCGGTTGATACAGGTATCAACATAAATATCAGCCATGTAGATATTTTACAAGGTCTTCTACGTGATACCTCCATGTTTCCGATTTCAGTCGCAAAGAGGCGTCTTTGAAGATTGATCTTCAATAGGAAGGTTTGAAATGACAGTGAATTACAGAGTATAGAGTTTTACCTCGTTTTGAGGGGTAACACAGATGTCCCAATGTTTTTGTAAAGTTTGTCTCCTTATGTATATAGGTAACGTGTAATACTTCTATGAGGAATAATATTAATTGTTATTCATGTTCCTTAAAAATATAAAGTTTCGATAGACCTGTGAATATGAAAGAAACGAATAAAATTTGATGGAAAATATTATAAATATCTCTCAAAAATGTCGTCGGTTTGTTGCAAGTATCATTATCATTAACGAGAACGGAACGCCTAAATGCTGGGCCTATAACTTAAAAAAGTTTTAATTTTACATCTGTTTGTTCGTTAGATCCTTGTTCATTGCCCGTGGAGGTTGGGAACTGTGTATACAGCTATTCCAGCTGGTACTACGAGCCTCGTCGTGATGAGTGCTACAAGTTCTCCTACAGCGGCTGCAACGGGAATGACAACAGGTAATCTGAAAAGCGATAGCTAATCACCATTTTTTAAGGAAACTTTTTATTTTCAAAAGATTCTCCAAAAAACGTTCGAAATACGCGTACGATAGAATAAGGCGCCTTAAGTCAGTGCCCAGTTAAGCCAGTGCAGGGCCTGTAGCAAATTTTTTTATAACATATTTTTCACACCGTCGGAATCCGTACTACTATTGTTTCTAAGCTAATTCGGCGCTGCCAAGTGTTACTGCCTCATGATAGCAATCTCTATCTCTTGTGCATTCTTGATCAATTTGTCCTTTGTCTATAGATTAATTTCCCACAGACTTGAAATTTGATAAAAATAATAAATATATCAACTAGCTACAGCGTATTGATTAGTACGGAGACATGATACCTCATTTCCCAGGACAGGAAATGCATGAGATATACCACGTAAGTCATTTTGTGATGTCCATGGTGCTGTTCATATCTCACGAAAGTGACCATTTTCCATTGCCGTCAGCTTGTTATATATACATGTGGTTTGATTCAAACAGAGGTCTACACTTTATATTTCCTCTGTGTACAGATTCCCAACCCGCGAGGAGTGCGAAGGTCGCTGCAGGCGACGACCTGCCGCCCCGGCCACGCCCGCTCCACCTACACAGGTTTAGTATTTAGTAACGACCATTGTGACTTAGTGGTTTACTACACTGATTTAGATCGAGAAAAGTCGAAAGTTCAAATTTGGCCTAACCCAAATAATTTTGTTTCATTTTATATTTCTGACTGACTCTCAGATGATGAAAACACTAATATCACAGACACAGATAACATAATATTACATACAGATACCCCATCCCATACAAGAAAATGGTTCCTTCCTAACTCGGGCTATTCTTCGGGCTATTTTATTTCGCCACCGTAGCCGCTAGATGTCGCTAGATCTGAAGCAGTTCGGATTACTAGTGGGTGCTTAGTAACAAAGCATGAAAATAGATGGCAGTCAATTCAGTCTACATGACATCTGTTTCGCAAAGATATGTATATAATAGATATGTAGGTAACTGTATCGTGTACCTCATTAGGGACGATTCAAGATTCAATGTAAATGTGTATGTATAATATCGTTAGCCGACACTGCAGATATGGCTTATGTGCCAATGTATATACCTATTATGTTATGGTTTATTTTACATTCCATGCCTATTTTTTTGATATGTTGTAACGCGTCTGCGCTATACGTATAGCCTGATTTTGATACGTTTATACTCGTACGTATCAAAATCGGGCTATACGATTTTTTATTTCAATCGTTATATGTATGAGACTGATTTTAGCTACAATTAATTTACTGGTATATACCTCATGTATTCTACGATGTACCCCTCTTTTACCTAATGAGAATTCCGCTATATCTTATATATAAATTTTGTATCACAGTGTTAGTTGCCATATTTCTCCCACATTTTGATGAAATTTGATATGTATACTTGCCAGGTCTGAGGTAGGGTTGTTATCTATTTTTTATACCCCTAAGTCATAGGGGTGGCCTACCCCGAAAAAATATTTTTTTGTATTATGGACAATTTTTTATTTATTTATAATGTTACATTGAAAATACATACACGCCTAAATTTTCACCCGTCTTTCACCAACCCCTATTTTTAATAGCGATATTCTTACAAATATTATAAATGCTAAAGTAACTCAGTCTGTCTGTTTGTCTCGCTTTCACGCCAAAACTACTGAACTGATTTAATTGAAATTTGGTAGACAGATAATGTAGACCCTGAGAAAGGCTACTTTTTAATGCGAAAAAGTATTGAAAGGGGAAATGAAAGGCTATATGAGGATATCGTAATTTTTAAAGTCAGATCTTGTAAGATTAAGTGAACAGGGTCGGTCTAGGTTTTTCATTATTAGAAATGTGTAACGGGGTAACACGTTATTTAGTGCGAAATTGTGTATATTACAATAAAATTTAACGAGAAAATATTATAATGATGTCACTGGGACACTCATTGCCTTACTACTATATCGTCCGTTAGTCGCGAACTTTCTGGAAACATGAGAGGCGCGCTCCTATTGGTCGGTCGGCGCGGTTACCGCGCGTAGATGAGGTAGACGAGTCTCACGGCGCCGCAGCGTAAGTACTTACTATACATACGTAGTATACATATAGGTGTTACAAATGTTTTTATTACGAGTAATATTACTCTGTTATCTAAGCAAGTAATGTGTGCTTATTTTGAACTTGATAACATTCTGAATTACTCGTATATCTTTCAATATCTTTAGCGGTATAAACCAGGTTATGTACTACTACTAGTATTGTTAGTGAGGGATAAAGTTGATGAACAAAAATAAAACAATATTCGTATTAAAAATATATTCATCTAATATTTTTGGCATTATTTTTAAGTTTCTTCCAAATACAAGGGGTCTGACATGGGGTGTTATGTACCTACATTAAAAGATACTTTTTGAAATGTATGAAAGAAATGTATGTATGTACCTACATTAGAAGATAATTTTTGACATGTATGAAATGTATGTACCTACATTAAAATATAATTTTTGAAATGTATGAGATGTATGAAAAAATGTATGTATCTACATAAAAAGTTCATTTTTGAAATGTATGAAATGTATGAAAGAAATGTATGTACCTTCATTAAAAGATAATTTTTGACATGTATGAAATGTATGAAAGAAATGTATGTACCTACATTAAAATATAATTTTTGAAATGTATGAAAGTAATGTATGTACTTTTAAAATCACTAGTATCCTGACGACTTAGGCGTAATGCCGGTTAGTTAAGGAGAGAAACACCTCAATGCCTACAATATTCACAATTACCTATCTCTTATTTGTTTTTATAATAATATATACACTTTCGCTCCAAAACTCCCGCTGCCTCTGTTCAATTATCCGTCATCCACTTGTCAATGTCACATAGATTACTTTGGCTCTGGCCTCTGACGTTCCGTTTCAGGTTACATGATTATTGACTTTACCATTTTTAATTAATGGTGCGTCACACGATAGTTAACAGTACCTACAATAAAAGATAATTTTTGACATGTATGAAATGTATGTACCTACATTAAAATATAATTTTTGAAATGTATGAGACGTATGAAAGAAATGTATGTACCTACATAAAAAGTTCATTTTTGAAATGTATGAAATGTATGAAAGAAATGTATGTACCTACATTAAAAGATAATTTTTGACATGTATGAAATGTATGAAAGAAATGTGTGTACTTACATTAAAAGATAATTTTTGACATGTATGAAATGTATGAAAGAAATGTATGTACCTACATTAAAAGATAATTTTTGACATGTATGAAATGTATGAAAGAAATGTGTGTACTTACATTAAAAGATAATTTTTGACATGTATGAAATGTATGAAAGAAATGTATGTACCTACATTAAAATATAATTTTTGAAATGTATGCACCGTACAATAACAATACACGTTAAACATCATACCACAGAGTCATACGCAAGTTAAAAACAAACTGCTATGATATTAATGAGAAAGGAAAATCAACTTTATGTTATTCGAGTTAGGGTCGATTTCTCTCTTTTTTTTTTAAATACTATTTTAATCTTACCAGTTGCCAGTATTCGAAGACAGCTACGTTTCGTACTCGATATTTTAAATTATTATGTAATCGATTTTTCAGTACAAATGTAAATAACCAACGACACTAATAATGTACTACTATATTCCGTTCTTTGAAACGGAACACTGCTATAATACAAAATAATGAAAATTTACTGTTCACAACGACTCATTAAAAGCATCATCGAATAATGCGCTCTAATAAAATCCTGTTATCGATTATTCAAAAAAATCGATAATACATGTATTTATTTTTAATATGACAACACTTCATACATAAGTATTATTGGAAATAGTATTACTTGCTTGTTCGGCTATTTTTAATTTACTTAAAAATTTTTTATATGTTTAATTTACAATAATAATATATTAAGTGCTTATTATTGGAAAATATAAAAAAGACATTTAATTAAGCCGATACAAATGACGACAATGCCATCTATGAAAGCATTTTGAAAACATTGAGCCCCATATTAGCACTGATTAAAGTGTAATTAAGTACTGGAAAATAACAAAATGAGTAAATATATGAAAATTACTTTTCTAAACGCATTATTTCATTTTAACATGTATATATAACTTTTTAAAAATTGATTAAACATTTTTGAAAACACAGTTTTGTTTTTTAAAACGTTTGCAAAACTATGAAGAATTCTATCGATACCAATCACGCCATCTATATGCAACTTTTAGCAATAATAATGGCTACTTCCTCATTGAGTGCCACTGTCACAGATAATATAATATTACATACTAATATCAAGAAAAACCGAGAGACAGATACACAGAGACAATGTCTCTGACAGAATTCTATGATAGCTAGTTCAGAAAGAAATAATATTTATTTGAATAACATATGTCAATAGTGAACGTAGCAAACACGCTCGCAACTTCATGAAAATATAGAACAACCAAAATATATTATAATTTTATACTACTAGTAGCTGACCCGCTCGACTTTGTCTGCATCACATTTATTCAGTTGACGTTGCAGCTACACTCCTATTCCTACGGTCATAGCGAGATGGTAGCCTTTCCTTGATAAATGGACTATCCAACATTAGAATAATTTTCAAAATCGGAAACATCCAAATTCACAAACTACGTTTTTATAGTAAAAATATCATATTGATCGATTTTTGTGGACATTTTTAGTGAATGTTTAGTAGGAGGTACTTTGACAAAAGAGTCGGTTGTAGGCTTTAATACCCCTAGGTAATAACGATGGCCCTATCCAGAAATAATGTACATGGTAATACAATGATTGCCGGGTTGGCTAGTATTTGTATAAATTCCATCTTTAACAGAAGCTGAAATAGGATAATTTACATTCAGTTTATTTTCAGGCAGGAGAACCTGAATGCACTACCCCGACCTCATTGGAGCCTTGTGGAGCTAACATCACGGTGTTCTACTTCGATTCGCATCGGCAGGAATGCGTACCGAGCGTCATAGGTGGCTGCCATCAACCCAACTCCTACCTAACTGAGGAGGCTTGCGAGAGAAGGTGTGGCGCCTTCCGAGGACTTGGTAATATATCACATTGTAGTTACCACAGTCTTATACACCCCTAGCTGTTGCCCAATGCTGCACACCATATTAAAAGTGATGACTATTTAAATTTTCATGTTACAAAAGGATGGAAAAGAGGTGAAAAGGATCATTAGGAATGGGAACTAGTTCCCTTATTGTTAGCAATCTATACTGGGTCCCCCTAGAAACTATGGTCGTTAATTTCTGAAAAATTCGCCACGATGGGCTATATATAAACTTGCATAACTCTTCTCCTAAGATATATCTCTGTAACTAACCTCCGTGTGTGCTGAATATTGCCTGACACCACTATTGTTTCAGATGCACCTCAATTATGCCAATACTCGCTAGATGTTGGCACATGCAAAGCTTCTATACCTAAATACTATTGGGATATAAGAGCCGGCAGATGTGAACGATTCTCCTATGGTGGTTGTGGCGGTGGACCCAATCGTTTCTCGACTATAGAGGAATGTGTGCAATTCTGCGGAGAGACTGGACCTGGTAAGATTTACTCTTCTCCTTTGTCTTCTAGTTTTTAAAATGATATACGAGGTTCCATCATAATCGCTTTGCAAATACTAAACTTACATATGTACAATATTGCAATATGCACAAATACAATAACCAGTAGACTACGTATACTCTAATAACAAAATAAAATATTAATGCCAGATAAAATCTTCGAGATTTTATAAATATAATAATATATATATGTACTATTTATTGAGCTCCTAGTAGAAATGCCTAGCAATAGTAGATAAATCTAGCACTACATTACATCTTTCCTTTCAATCTTTCCTTCTTAATATTTCCTCTTGATCTTTCGGGAATTAATGGTGTTGGGTTGGTGGCTGGGGATTAGCCCTTGCATGTCTAGAGCCAGCGGACACGGGGTCGACGTGTGACGAGGTGCCAACGAGACGCTATTACTACAGCCCCGAGGAAGGTTCCTGCAAGCCGCTCGTATACAAAGGCTGTGGTGGTACAAACAACAACTTTGCCACATACGAGTACTGCGAGAAGCTTTGCGAGAGTTGGAAATACACTGGTACGGCACGTGATGATACTGTGTTACCAGAAATTGCAAATGAAAATCAGAATTTAAGACGACCTATTCGTGCAACGATGAAATAAAGCCAGTCAAAATTTAATAAACACTAATAAAAGTCCGAAATAAACGTTTCGTCTCTCGTCTAGATGGACATTACAAAATTCTTTCCAGAAGAATTAAATTACATAAGACCGTTACTAACAATTCTCAATTGTAACAAAGTGCATTAGTTTTGTGATTTGCTAAGGACCAATTAAGAGTTACAGTTGCAGACCTTAAGTTGTATGCCTCGCAATTCTAACTGTGATATGGTCCATATGTAATTGCAAATTTATTGATTTCATTCTATTACAAAGGAGAATTGATAGTATACGTCCCTGAAAAGTCCCCTAAAAGTGTCAGCTACTTAAATACTTGTACATTATCTCGGTCAGTCATTTGTTACCGTCTTTAATCCCGATTTTCGGCAAATTAGATCTAGTAACACTAGTATCTACTGACAAGACGCACGCGCCTGGTCTACCGCTGTTATGCATCGTGAAATAAGTGTTTCGTGGCGTGCCTTTGCTAGTATGACCTCCTGAAGATGACGATAATGGCGTTTGTTGGCGAGTCAATATGTCTGCACGCTTAAGTTGCTATTGTGTATGGAATTGTTAACATGGTGTCCAGATTTTAAAATAACTTTGACGTATGAAATTGTGATTATTTTTTAGGAAATCAATCAAATGTTCTATGCTAAGAAATATATTATATATTGTTAGTAAGTGTTATTGTAATAAACAAATATATTTTTCTATTAGTTTCGACGTTGACAATGGTTTGTATATTAATACTAACCACACAGCGCGAGTAGATCGGGCGCGAGTAGATCGGGCTCGAGCGGTTGATCCGGCTGCACTCACCGAACCGCTTACTCACACAATTGCATGCACTATATTTCTTGCACTTGTTCACACTTTACTAACTGCATACAGCAATGCACTATATGTTTCTGGACATTAAATACTTCCGTTCCACTCCGGCTGCAATAACTACAGGATCTCTTTTTTTCTTTAATAAACAGAAAATCAAATCTTCCTTTTTTATAATGTTCGTTGAGATATAATATTCTAAATACTCTAACGGGTTTTTCAAGAAAGATGTAAATGAGAATTCGTGAAATTGTTGTGAATGAAATGGAATGTTAAAACATCATTTAATATGTAAAGAAAGAAAATAATTTGTGTAAAACCTCAATAGCATAGTTCGATGAGTGACGCCATTCTAAATCCAATATGGTGGAACGTCCAAGATGGCGAATTATTTCATTATACACTTATTTTATTAGATCAGCAGTCAATGATCAATAATTTCGCCCTGTAGAAACGAGCGACAACGAAGTAGTGCCCTCGGCGGACTGCTCGCGGTACCACGAGGAGTGCTCGCTGCTGCAGTGCCCGTACAGCGTGCAGCGCACGCGTGTGTCGGACGGCTGCGAGCGCTGCACGTGCGTGCCCGTCGAGGTCGATTGCGAGCTCCTGCACCAGGAGTGTCAGACCCTCCGCTGCAACTACGGCGTAGACCGCTCTTACGGCTCCGACGGCTGCGAGAGGTCAAAAAATAAGTTTTTGTTTAGCATGTAACGTTTGTTCGGGGCATACCTCGCTAATTAATTTTATAGAAGTTATCCTTAACTAATTGAGATGAAATTTTTAAACACATTCAAGTTGGATGACAATGTCTTATGGAAGGTTGGGATGGGGATAAATGGAAATAAAACTAACTAGATTATGAAATATTCATAAATCGTACAAAATCTCAACAACATGGTTAGTTAACTAAAGCCATTCTAAATCCAATATAGCGGAGCACCCAACATGGCGGATTTTTTTTTATGCACTTAATATGGGTAGTACTTAGTAAGTGTAAAAATGTATACAATTTCATATTACAGATGCAAGTGCATAGAACATCCGTGTGCTAACGTGAACTGTTCACCGGGCGAACGGTGTGTTGCCAGCGCATACAGAAACCCAGTTACAGAGGAGACACAGTACTCTGCTGACTGCAAGAAGGGTAACTACACTGTTCTACTAAATATCTTATAAGGATATCAGGCACCAAATGAAATTGTTCTGATCAATATATATAGATCTATATATATTATATATGTATATATAGAAGATATTACTTACACATACATAAGATATGTACTTCTATACTTATATTCCTAAGTACGGATAGGCTGTACTGTGTGCAAGCCTCTCTCGGAAGAATTTTTAGTTGGTGGTCATTTCCATGTCCTAGAGTTAAGAATGTAAATTGGCAAATTTGAACCAAAACCTTCGGATGTAAGTCGAGAACTCGAGGTAGCAGACCAAACTCAAACTCGAAATATTTATTAATTTAATCATACAGGCCCTTTCGACCTTTCATAATTTCACGTATCGTAGAGTCAAGAATATAAATTGAGAAATGAAGGTTTTTGTTCTTAGCCAAATTTGAACTCACGACCTTCGGATGTAAGTCAAAGTAGCTTACCAAGCTTAAACTCATTTAATTAAGTAGCCCCTTTCGGCCTCTTATGCACGACAAAATTTTTATCATCATAAAAACCATAACCACACTCTAAAGAGTGCGACCTAAAATGAATGTATGATTGTGCAGTGGAAAAGCCTGGCTCATGTCCACGTGAGCACGTGTTCACAACGGAGACAGGATGCCGGCGCGAGTGTAACGATGACGCGGATTGCCGCGGAGTCGGCAAGTGTTGCTCGCGCGGCTGCAGCTGGCTGTGCCTCGAACCCGCCAGTAATCAGATCCTACACACCACCCCGTACACACCAGGTAAATATCATGGTGACCGTAATGTAAGCAGAGGTAGGTTACAGGTAACGAAGGTTTATGGTTAATTTTACCTTTCTGGTGGAAAATGGTAGCGAGATCAAGCGTATAGCGTAATTCTGTACTCGAAGATCTCGTCATTACACGGTGTTTATTAATCAATCACAATCGCGTTCTTACCTTCTTCCGTCACATCTCACGAAAAAACGACGCATACATAGACCGGCTTGTTATTGTCATACAGAGTAGGGGTAACGGTACTAGACCCCGTGGACGATTACCCATGCGATGTACCGACCAAGTCAAAGCAGCGGTATGCGGTCTACACCACGAGAACACCAGAATGGCAGGCAGTAGAAACAATAGGGGAGCTGTCGTACGGTGGATGACATCAACCTCATATCCCATATTATGAACTGAACCGTTCTGCCAAAAACGTGTGAAATAAGAATAAGTATTAATATTCACCACTGACTTGAATAATGCTGGGTTGTTTCTCTGGGTACACGAAAGCTGGAAGTGTATTCCACTTTTTGTACTATCAAAGAGTAGAATACACTTCCAGTTTTCGTTTTATAGAAATGACGACGCGAACCGCTCAATGCGATATCTGGAATTTCCACAAGGCAAGGGTGAAGGTTTAGTATTAGTTGTGTAGTTCGCTGATAAAACGGAGAATATAATAAGGAAAAAGAATAATGTAGTCATACATATAAAATGTGTTTTTCTTTGATCTTTCTATGCAGAAATCCCACAAGCGCCGCGTGCTGACACAGAGGAAACGAAGCCTGAGGTGGAAGCAACGGAGGGCGGAAAAGCAATTCTCCGCTGTCTCTTCCATAGCAACCCGCCAGCTAAGATCACTTGGAGACACAGTGAGATCACCGTAAGTAACTATATTTTAACGACATTACCTGAGTTGTCTAGCTGTCTAGATTACCGCCTTACAATGGTCGCGGTTTAATTTCCTCGTAGGATAGACCTATTTATAAGTATGTTTTTTTATAATGGTAATGGAATGGGATCCCCGTCTGAGTTAACGATCTACACTGGCGGGGTATCAGTGGAGAATGATAAAATGGGTCAGGTCAGTTAGACCATCGTGACAAATTCACCAGGCATTTATCATGATGGTTTCCAGGGGAACCGCGTGGAGGGCAACCTGACATGGTACATTGCTAGCAACAATGGCGTCTGCAATCCACATTACAGACAATCCCCCAAAATATTGATTATTGGCATCGTTATCGTGTTATGAGTGTTTTCTATGTATGTTATATTATGTTTATCTAGTAACGATAATACAAAGTTGCTTAGCTAGAGACTAGCTGGCACTGTATTGTCCAGGGATGTTATTATTATTATTATTTAGGCAACGGTTACTTACTCGTTACTTACTCGTTCGATACCTTGTTTGCCATTCCAATTACCAAGAAATTCGCTTGTCATTGTCAGATCGACACTGACTCAGGCCGGTATAGGCTACATTCTGACGGAGCCCTCGAAATCGTATCGCTGTACCGCAACGACTCCGGCGTCTACATCTGCGTTGCGCAGAACATCCACGGCATATCGCAGCAGGAAATCCACCTGCAGGTCCAGGGTGAGTGTGGACGCACCCTTACCGCCCGTGTACACAATAACAGCATAGTAAATAACTCACGCACACACAATATGTAGATAACTTATTTTTTTCCTGATAACTATACTATGTACAAAGAGCAAAGATTTCACGTGTCATTTTACATTGAATATTAAACTGTTATCCAGTTTAACAAACCTGAGAGACCTCTATCTCTCACTGACGAGAAACTTGATCTTATTTTAACATATCCCAGAAAATGTAAGTATATATACTCTAAGCGAATACGCAGATTTTAAATTTGAAATGACTATAATGAAATCTTTGCTAATTGTAACAAAAGAATAACTAATAGTATTTGGTTTGGAGATGCAGAATAAATGTAACAAGTAACGTAATTATTAGTAGTAAGTAGTTAGTTGCAACTTTTACTAGTAGTGTAATTTTTATTTTACTTCCAAACATGAGTAACTATCATTTGTATTTTAGAGAACTTTATTAGTTGTCATTGAGAAACAACAAAATGATGGATGTCTATATGTACCCCTGCGTGCCATAGACGGATCTCTCCTCCAAAGAAAAAGGTTTTAACCGTTACATATTAGTCGTTCCTATTATCTTCATTGAACTTTTGTGACATAGGGATTTACAAAAAGGACATTTTAAGGTTTCTTATGGATCGACTACTTACATATGATACTTCTAGTGCTTCTCCTAAAGCTTACTATGAGTGTGAAAAGATATTAATGGTTAAGTACTTACTATCTACTATCCTGGTAGGTATTAAACAGATCTTTTCCTTAAAAACCACATCATGAGGTTTTAAAAAAAGACATAGGTACTGAGTTTTCTTATGGGTTGTTAACGTGCCATGTGCTAAAATACGAATTACTTGTACTGATAAATAAAAGTACCATTAAAAATTATTTAATACTCATATCTGTTAAAATTGTGCTCTGATCGAGAAAGAATAATGGAAACCTAACAATTCAGACTATGTTACCACTCAAGGAAATATATATATGAAATATAATTGAACTCCAAAATTCCAAATTACACTATATGTTTACATATATGTTTCTTATTAATCTCACAAAATTGTGCACAAAATAAAATGGCTGAAGCCAATAATAGAAAATCAGTGTTGCCAGCTAAGGATTTGCATTGCCACTCAAATTATGTAAGGTATTGAATTCTAATTGGATATGATGCAATAATTTTAGTCGTATCACGTGGTAAACGACCGATACACGCCCGATATCTCAGTTTATTGACACCATCTTGCTACCAAGGATATATATCCTTAAAAATGTAATTTTATAATTTTTAAGTTTAAGTATTTAGTATTTTAACACTTTGAAGACCCCATTGAAAATTCGTATTTCTCACATAGGGGCCGGCATTTTTTTTATTCTTAATTACGTATATTATTTTTTAAATATGTTTTTAGTGTACAATAATTTGAGGTAGATATTATTTAATAGTTAAGCCCTAGATTTATTTCAATTAAAGTATCCGAGGGTGATCTCCTGCGTGAATTTACTTTCGTTGCGGAGTGACCTACCGGTGGGCATACGGTCTTTAACGTATTAAAAGTACATGAATTTTATTTCCTCTTAGGTGCCTAACTAATAATTAATAAAGCGTTAGGTTTTATCTTACTTGCATTTGACCTTACTGCATTGCAATTAAAACAACTTTGTATATATACGAAGGTACCTACTCGTATTCTCCCATTATACATTGTAATTACAAAATATGAACAAGACAGTCCCGGATAAGTGCGAATTGAACTGATATCATGAGATTTCTGATTTGTTGATATATGTATTAATTATTTAAAGAATGAAACAATTTATTTAAATCAATACAAAATTATTAAAATAACATGTTAAACGCAAACAATTAGTTTATAAAAGACTATGTTGTAGTTATTCGCATCGCCAGAAAAATGTGTGCAATTAAATGACACAAAACATTTTTACTCATGTTGTAATAATCTCTACAACTAATACCGTAAAACGGCAACATATAATATTATATACCATACATAGTGGAATAGTCTCAGTTAATTTATTTGTTGACTATATTTTTCACTGAGAAGAGAAAAGGCTATTGTTTCTTCTCTGGAATCCATACAAACGTTGTATCTAAATGCGATAGCGTGTCTGTCTCTAAGCTTGTTTCTTACCTTTTCTTTATTTATTCACCTAAACAAACAATGGTACTATAAATATTATTTATTTAACTTGTTATTACAAAAAAATAGTAGGTATCCCTAACACATTATTAGTGAATTAGGTATATGTTTACATAGACTTTGAGAGCAAGGTCTTGACATATACAAACAAATATTTATTTGTAGAAAATCCGATATCTTCTAATCATCGACTTGACCCATGCTTACAACGTTTATCTGCCATGTGTCTACTCGTGTATCGAGCAAAACAAACATTTTAACGCCTAAACACGGAGATAACAACAAAACACTAGTGTAGGTATATAACTATCATTTTTGGAATTCCTAGTAATAAAACACGAAACTTTTAACATTGCGTTCTTTCATTCAATTTAAGAGATCTTAGTATTTAATGGTATGACATCATACAATAACAATAGTAGACCACACGTTTATTTATCAGCCGTAGTAATTAGATAAAATCTTGGTAGCAAAAATGTGAATAAGTGACTTGCGTATGCTTTGCAGTGGCGCGTTACCATTTCACAGTTAATAATCGTTTATCTATATAGGTAATATTCCTTAGGATAGATAACTTGCATACGGTTCATATCCAGTCGGTGTATTTCCCGCCATGTGTATACTCGTGTTGTGAACAGAAAAAGTCCGTTGTCCGTCATGTTGCGCTGTTGTTTCTCAGTGACACTAGTGGTGGCGCTCTGCCTTGCGTGCACCAACGCAGAAGGTTGTTCTCCTTTAGAATTGCAGTGGTTAACGTTTAACAAATATTTAACTAATTAGAATGTTCCTGGTCGAATATTCATGTAATATTCTTAAACGCGAATGTTGAAATAACTCGAGTAATACGTCTTAGAACAGCCACGTTTTCTTTGTTGTTTTAATAGACATTAGAGATATTCAAGTAAAAATATTCAGCGAATATGAATTTTATTCTGCTGTTATTCAGATTGTTCGTACCAGGAACCTTCAATATATAAATAATAATTTCCTTTTGCTAACTAGATTAACAAAGAGTTTGTGAATGTATGAAATATCATAATTAACTATATTTTATTGACCAATACATTTACAAACTCTAGTAGATAACTACTAACAAACGGGGGTGGTTAGATCCTGTAACATCTCCGGCTGGCATCGCTGGCGATCGAGACGCAGTTGTGTACGGAGAGATTGGCCAAAGTCTCACAATTCAGTGCCTCGCGTACGGCTATCCACGGCCTTCTGTCCTGTGGTACAGAGGCCCCACTGGCACCCTAGTGCCGTTCAGCAGTTCTATATACGAGGCAAGAGACTTCGGGTTGCTAATAAGGAAACTAGAGGTGGATCAGCTAGGCAGTTACACATGTGAGGCATACAACGGCGTGGGGCGGCCGGCGTCGTGGACTGTGGAGGTGAAGACGCGTGGCCGTACGAGCTGGTTGCAAGTGGGACAGACCACATTCGGGCGGCCGCCTACACAAACAGAACGGACCACAGAATGGACCACGCCACTTCGGGAAATAACGGTCCCGGTGTTCACTGGTAAGATCCTGTACGAGATCCCACACAGGATAAACTTGCTTCTTTTGTATTAATGTCTCAATTAATCTTACCTAATTTAATAGGTACATCTCTACCTATACAATATTGCTTGATAGTAATTTCTCAAAATTAGTTGATTGTTATATTGAAATACAAAGAAGCTAGTTTTCAACTTAATGTTTTCCGGGCATGTGTGCATGCTTTTTAATAAATGTGCATGGTATTGGCTGTTACATGTTATAACAATTTTTTTTTTCCAAAAAGGTACGTACTTTGATTCTTATAATTTTTCTAGATGTTCAGCTTTGGTCCGTGTGCAAATATTGTCACAATATTTCTGCTTGTTCAATTTGGATTAATAATGAAATGTTGTTAGATTTTTACTGTTTCAAAACAGGATCAACGCGACTTTGAGTAAAGGTACTGTACATTCATTTGCAAGGACGCCGAGGCATAAAATCTATGAAATAGGCCGAAGGTCGAGAAAGTGTCTTTGTAGAAGAACTACATATACTCGTAGTTCTTCCACAATATTATTGCAATATATATATATTTTTTTTAATTTTAATAAACAGTTTTTTGTACAATTACTAAAATTGAGGTCTTTGAAACATGCCTTTTCAAGCTATTGGTAGATGATCTAGTCATAGCCCTAGTATATATACCTAGTACATATCAAATTCTAGCATGAAGCATGTCTGACAACGTGCGGACGACACTTGTTATATCAAAAAGGTGTAGGTATATACCTGTTTATATATTGATTTGTAATTGAATGATTGTAATATCGTACCGTATTTATTATTCTGATATAATAATAAAAATGTTACAAATATACATTGGATGTAGATATGTTATTGATAGCATGTCATTGACCTCAAACCCATATATACATGGCTGACTGGCTGCTATACCCACAGTGCCGGTTAAGACGCACATCTCGGCGGAGACGACCAATTTGGCCGTAGGCACGGAGCTGAACCTGCCGTGTGATGTAGACGGCTACCCGTCACCCACCGTCTACTGGAGTAAAGATGGCGTACCACTCACCTCGAACCATAGAACGCAATTCACTGGTAATATATTCAATTGTTATTATTTATAACACTAGAATGATGTTAACTTTCATTAGGACTTCATTTAGTAATGTCATGCATAACATATAATTTCACTACCATGTTTCACCCTCAAACAGTAAATCATTTATTATTATTGCAATTTCATGCCCTACTATATAGATATACCTGTATAGTAGGGCCTATATATATATAATTTATAATTAGAAATACATAATATGTTCGTTTATATGCGTTTAATTAAAATCACATATAAGTTTTCTAATTGTATACCTGTTTATGATATTAAATAAAGTATACTATTAAACCAAATGTATTACAGATGCCCGCCTCACGATCACTAATCTGACGGTGGCCGACAGCGGCGAGTACGGATGTCACGCGAGCAACCCTTACAGCAACGACTACTCCACAGTCAGGATCCTCGTACGAGGCAAGTGTCCATAACCGCGAAGTTAATGTGTAGTTCTTTTATATGGATGATAATCGATGGTGCTCCCGCGTACGCTAGTGGGGCACCAGTGGAAGATGATAAGATTAGCATGAGGTCAGGTCAATTATCCCATCGTGGCATATTCACCAAGACTTTATCGCGATGGTTTCCAGGAGAAACCGCGAGGAGGTCAACCTGACTGGGTACATTGCTAACAAATAAGATCATCAGTCCACATTACTAACAATCCTCCTTCCTCCTATATTTTAAAATACATTGTTGTATTAGAACATTTCCCATTTTATCCTTCCTTCCTGTTTCATCATCATCTTAGACTAAACATAATGCAATCGGAGGATAGACAGTTCAATGGAACTATTTAAATGTCAACATAAACGAAATAACATATGTATTTTTTAATTCAAACTAATGCATGATATAATACTATTTGGTAAAAACCTTCGTTTGAATTATAAATAAAAATCATTGTTTGGTAATCATAAAAATTATCAATTTGCGGAGTCCAAAGGTAACAAGAAATTGGGAATCTTTCCCCTTTTTCAATTATAATGCCGAATGTTAGTAATGACTGAGAGAATGAGGTAATTAATAATAGTAATGACTATGCAATTAAAACTATTGTGAATTTTGTAGAAATCTACGTATCGACGACGTGCAAAGATAATCCGTTCTTCGCGAACTGCCGCCTCATAGTACGCAGCAAATTCTGCGTACACCGATATTATTCTCAGTGAGTATTTTTTTAAATTGATGACAATGAAATGTTACATCCGCCTGCGCTAAATACTGGCGGGGCACTAATGGAGGATGATAAGATGAGTCAGGTGATGAGAGGTCAGGACAACCTCCTTCGGTTAAAACATTGTTTTGCCTAAATTCGCTGCTTTTCAGACATAGAAATATTGGAATATACTGTTTTAGAGTTTAAAATAAATTAAAAAACATTTTTTTCTATATATAACTGGAAAAGTAAACAAGCTGATATCACTTGATGGTAAATGGTGGTGGTACTATGGACATCATGCCATCGCGTGACTACCCCTAGTGCCTGAATGGTAATGGTAAGGATTGTAGCCATTCTAAGGCCGGACTAAGATGTATTTCTGCCATACCCGGTAATTTCAACCGAATACCATCTTATAAAGCAAGAAAGCTGCAAATGGAATATATATAATATGTATAATATAATACCATCAAAATACTTGATAAGATTCATGATACTTTAAATTCAAAATTCATATTTTACAATTCTCAGTTAAGTGTCGGAGGTCAAATGGAGCCAGTTTCTTGAAAATGAATCAAAAGTACGAACTTGGTAATAATGTTTTTTTGCAATTAACAATGTTTCGTCGTCAGGTTCTGCTGCAAGTCGTGCACGGAGGCAGGCCAGCTGGTTGCGCAAGATCTTCAGCTGCAATCTGATGAGGCTTGGAAGAAATAAGCACTTTAATTGACCAATGTTCATATTGTTAGTTATGATGAGGATGTCAATCGTGCTTAATTGATAAATTAGATATTCGAAACTGAAATTGCAAATGTAGTTTTTTACAATTTGTTTCTAAAACTTTAATATTCTTATAATTCGAAATTACTATTTTTTACTCTTTACAAAAAAAACATGCCCTCGATATGAACATTGGACCGATAAATCAGTTTATATTAATTTCATAGTGCCATATAGCTGATGTACAAACATATTTTTGCTACAGGAATATTCCATTTTTTACGAATATATTTTTTCAAATATATAATTCTGCAGCAATGGTAACTAGGTAGTTGGAATATGTGACTATTTCCAACGTTCTCACTGTGTTAGCAAACCAATAGATCGTATTGTAGATAGATATACTTAAATATGATTATTGTGTAAATATATATACGAGGCCTATGCCCAGCAGTGGGCTGATGATGATGATGATATACGAGTGTCACAAGTAGCACCATCTGTGATGGGAATAAATTAATGTAAGGATTGCTATTTTCGAGATAGTCACTGAGAATTATAATAATAGATAATAAATTATTTATACCATAAGATAGAGGCATTGTTTAGTGAACGTTAGTATTTCTAGATGTAAGCTAGATAGAATCGGCGTTAAATTTTAAAACGAAGTCATAATAAATGTATAATTTTTTTATTTCATGACCTGTAAATAGACAAACAATAAAATGGCGTAATTTAGAGAAGTTATGTTTTATTTTTCCAAGCTAGTTTTACAGTTTTCTGACACTTATTAGAAAAAAATGAAGTCCCCATCAAAGGTTGTCCAAGTTAATATTGAAAAGGCGACCGAGTAAAAAAGAACCTATACACACGGGTGCAGGTTCAGGAAGAATTTTAAATTATTCTGACTAATCTAACAACAGTGGGACATAAGCCCTTTTCTTCAGTTATAATGATAATAATGTTTATTTTAATTGCTTAATGAAACCGAAATAAATGAAATTAAATGTCATTTTTGTCTTATTTTGATTTTTTTATATGTATAAGTAGAATGGCAAAGAAGCTAACAGCCCGCCCGGTGATAAATGACAACAGTCGCTTATGTACATGCACTGTTAATTATGTATCGCCCTTGATATTTTCTCAGGCCATTTAGGTAGATCAAAAAGTCATATGTAATTTCAGTGCCATAATCTCACACTCACTGAAATGGAGCCTTAAATACACAAAAAAAAGTACCCACGCAGATGGCTTTGTACGAAGTTTCCGTCAATAATATATATTTTTTTTTGTTGTTTATAAAATATTAGGAAATAAGGGATATAGTAATATCTATTATATTAAACGACCAAAAGGTAAACGAAGAAAAATAAAACATGAAATACGATAACATAAATTTTTATTTACATTCCAAAATTCACAGTCAGATATAACAATAAACGTCCTACGTCACATACCTGGCAATGAAAGTACAATGAAAAACATAATTGTTGTCTACTGGTGATTTTTATATACAATCATTAGTGCGGTACGGTTATCCGGGCTGGCGACGGTGCGCGATGCACCGTACATGAATATAACACACAAATCATGTTATTGTCAGTTCATTCACAAACAAAACCAAATCAATAGTTAAAATGTGGCTAGGCCTATACATAATTTATTATCGAGTAGATATTAAATATTATATAATAATAATTTACTAAAATTATCTCGATTGCGCCTCCGCCAACTCTTTCAGAGCGACTATCGATACATACATACATAGCATATGCTTAATACCGACTAATTAAAACGATAGTTTTATATACACCAAATTATATTTCACTATACATAATAATCAGTGTTCGCCGGCACGGCGGCGTCGGTACACCACTGTATACATTGGTTTACATACAAAGTACATCGCTCAAGTACACACACCAAACTTCGAACACGTAGTCAACTCACTTGCGGATCGTTCGATGTGAATATGACAAATCGAATTCACCGCGCGACACAACTCTCGTGACAACACCGTGTCTAACATCCATCGAGAACTACTATAATACAGTCGTCGGCCCGTACATATACACCTTCTAAATAGCTTACCGGGCGCCACGCGGGCCCATTTTAGTATCACAAAATACGTGTTAAACTAAAGAGAGGTCCCACTAATGTTAAAATAAAACCTACTAAAAATATATAAACGTGTCCTAAAATCCTCTAACAAATAAAACATGTACGAACAGTGAACCCACTAGTGGGACATAGTCCATCCGGTCGCGGCGGCCCTACGATGAGCGCCTGGGAGTCGCAGTTTCCTTGTACTTTCATTGAGAACTGACATGTATACACACTTGAGCTACTTGTACAAAGGTTACACGATAATCGTACAAAATAAGTGGGTGCGCGCGCTCGGGAAGTACGCGGCGCGCGCGGGACGCACGAGACGCCCGGAACGCACGAGACGCACGAGACGCACGAGACACGCGGGACACACGGGACGCACGAGACGCACGAGACGCGCGGACCCACGGGACACGAGACGCGCCAACACGCGGGTCACGCGGGACATACTGAAGCGACTCAGTCGTCGTCGGCCAGCAATCAATCGATCACCTGCGAGACAATCTTCTCCATGTCGTGGTCGATCTCGTCGTTGGTGGGCGGCACGATGGGCGCGGGCGGCGGCGGAGGCGGCGAGGCGGCGGCGGGTGCGGCGGGCAGCTGGAACGGCTCGTCCAGCTCCTCCAGGCCGGCCGGCACCGGCAGCTTGGCCAGCTCCTCCTGCAGCTTCACGTAGTGACGCTGCACACGCACACACTTGTTACACACTCTCACATATATATACCAATTAGAGTGAGATGGGGATTGTTAGTATTGATCCACAAATGTATCCCTGTTAGACTGACTTCCACGTGGTTACGTTGAAAATAAGTTATACAGACTTTACATTTTGTAATACACCATAGATACCACATAGAGCAGCATCATCATAACCACAAATGAGGAGCGAATTTGAGAAGTCTACATTAAAGATGTAGCTGCTGAAGATGCTCCAGATGTAGATTAGTTGGAAGTTGAGAAAAAATAGGCAGAGTAACATACACAGTGATTCTACGGTCTGAATAACCATGTATTGCATAGAGATGAGTATCATACATTGCTTCTATAATTTATATGTGAATGAAAAATAAGACCATTTTCAGAAATTAGCTTTCTGAAAACGGTCTATTTTGTAAAAAATATTCTTAGGCGTTCTCGTTCACTGCGACCATTAAGCAAAAAAAAAACACAAGAACATAAACTATGTCACTGCAGACTCGTACACCGCCCAATTCGGTCATTTATAACATAAAAAATACTCTGACACTGTCATTATTATACATAAATAGATAAATAGATGTGTTGCTACCTTGAGGGCCATGAGGTTAAGTTGTATAGTGCGTTGCGTCCTCTCGTCGCCGCTCTGCCCCTCCAGCTCCGTAATCCAGTTTGCCACCGTTTGCATTATCTCATTCCGTTTAATCCAGAAATGTGTCTGTATAACCTGTAACCGTAACATATATTAATTTAAAACAGAGCATATACGTGAAAAAACAAAAGTAATTAAAATAAAACTAAATATATGTAGTTCAAATTGTAATATTTTGATATAAACATAGTCTACTTTCATAAATTTTAATTTTATTCCGAATTTAGGCCGTTTCGTATAATATGTTGATAAATAATTAATAATTCTTATGCTACACAGCTATAAGCTACAGAGGATTGATTATGGATATAGTGGCGTATACTAAGGACAACATCACGCTGTCACATGAAGACAATGGAAATCAGAGGTGTCACGTGACTAAACATACCCTTACAACACACAACCACACAACACACCCTTCAAAACGGAATATAAAACGGAAAACTAAAACTAGTGGCAGAAATATGTCAAACAGAAATGGTGGTCAACAAACCTCCTTGAAGCAGGGCTCCGGACTGCGCAGATGGTCGAGCATGGCCCAGCGAACGCAGGCCTGGTAGATGTTGGAGTTGTACTCGAGGGAGGCGCTGTTGCCGACGCGCGTGCCCCGGCTTCGCTCATAGCCCGGCTCGTTGAAATAGGGCTCGGGAACCAATATCAGCGACTGAATCGATACTAGCACCTGTCAACAGAACGAATAATCCACACGTCACATAAATATTCTACAATCCGTCGCGTTAATGAAAGCTTGGAGCGCCAACTAGCTCTATTTTTGTATTGAAGAACAAACAAAGTAAAGAAACTGTATTCTATGTACATACATGATCAGGTACCCCCTATGCATTGCTCATAGCGCAAGAATGGCAGTACAAGTGGATGAGTTTAAGATTGAAGACAAAGGAGAGTTTCGTATCCTATAACGTCACATTCCCGTCAGAGACCTTACTGTGATTAGACGTGTTATTATGTATTAAATAGTTCACTTGAAGGAATTACCAATAATAAACTTATTCCAATAAGTTTTTAATGCGGACCGTGGCGAATGAATCGGTCGTTAGCTCGGTGTTATACTCGATTGAGAGCAGTGTTCTGTGCCACAAAACTACTACCGTCTTTCTAAAGAATACTTCAACGAGACCTATTTTTGGCAGTGAATAAAATCACACCTATTTAATTTATAGAATGTACTTGTTGGTTTTCCACATAAATAAATATTACACAAAATATTGATACCTGTAAGAAACTGGAGGTGTGCGCGTTCCACTTCTCCTCGGGCCGTCCGTGCCACGTGTTGAGCACCGAGAGGCACACCTTGCCGTCGTTGTAGAGGTTGGGGTTGAACCGCACCGAGTGACGGCCCGTGGTCTCCAAGTTGATCAGCATCGGCACCGCGGGGTACTCCGCGGGGAAGTATACATCCAGGATGAAGCAGCCGTTCGCGTACGGCGTGTCAGATGGACCCGTTATTAGGACCTACATAAACAAGTTATTTTAATACTTGGACATTATAAAATCACATCATGAGGTTTTTCAAGTAGGGTTAACGAGTTTTTATGGGTCGGCAACAAGTGACACCCGGTGTCTCACGCGTGCATAGGCTACCATTTGCCATCAGATGGGCCGTATGCTTGTTTGCCATCGTAGTATAAAAAAAAATACTAGATTAACTACAGTCTGTTTCTTAATCTCGGAGACTAAATTTACAGGCGTAAATGTCAAGTTTTCAAATAATGTTACTACCTGTAGCGGAGTTGTGCTGTCTGGACATCGATTTGTTTAAAAGTAACGAAACTAAATAAAATTAAATTTGTATTTTAGATTTAAAGGTTATACAAGTACTACAATATATTCATAAAATTTACGTACCATGTACGTGTTTCCATTACTGTCATTGTATTATACAACACAAAAATACATTTTTGTGGTTTCCGTCCATATAGTAAATTTTACAGTATTAAGCTACAAACCGACCAGTTGTTTTCTTTCAAACAGCTAAATATTTTAAATAGGTGGATCTTTTATAAAAAATGACAACATACGAGGGTTGTTTTTTGTTTAATAAAAAGCAATTATTCTTTGTTTTATTGAAATAAATGTTAAGTATTCATAAACAGAAGTTTGTTATCAAAAAATTTCTTATATGCCATTTATTGATAACAAACTTCAGTTTATGAATACTTTATTATTTTTTCCTTTGCTCTCCGGCGATCCGTATCCGCATTAGCCATATACATACAGTCTAAAATATAGGAGGGCGGGTGACGGGCTACCTTCATGACGTCGAGCCGGTCAGTGTCGGTGCGCACGAACACCGAGGAGGAGTATGAGAGCGGCAGGCTGGTGGCGAGCGTGGCGGCCTCCTGCGCGAGGCGCTTCATGCGCGCCGGGTGCGCGCGCTCGCCCGCCGCGCGCACCGCGCCCTCGAAGTGGTACGGCACCGTGAACCGGAACCCGGACGAGCTCTCCGCGCACTCCGCCAGCATCTCGAACGTCTCTGTACGGCCACACCAGACTATTACTGATGTGGACTACTAACACTATTGCTAGAGGTTAACTTCCACATAGTTCGTCGTGATAAAGTCCTGATGAATTTACTACGATGGGCTAACCAACCTGACTTGTTCATCTTATCATCCTCCAATGGCTAGCGCTATAAATCGATACTGCATGCGGATCATTCTATTATCATCATATGAAAAACATATTTTGATGGAACTTTGCAGTAAAAGTGGAAAAAGGAACGTGTGTACGTTCCTTTTTCCATTTTGTATATTTGTCCATCTGCCATCTCGTGTTATATTTAACTCACTCCAATGAATCCTCAGTCGGACACTGTCCGATAAAAAACAATAATCGTCGACAGAATCACACACGTGACAAAACACATGTGTTTTCCTTACCTTAACATTTCTTATGCGTAATACGAAACCTAATAAGTAAGACGTATGCCATTTGTAATAATAAATATTGAATACCTCCAGTAAATATAATACGCAATGTATAAATTAAACATGATTCAAAATATATTTTTCATTGTCATTAGCTAAGGCTCTGATGACTGTTAGATACTAGTCAAAAGCAAACATCCACGTGTGCGCATGCACGTGTAGTGTGTGTGCGTACACGTGTAACGTGCGTGCGTGCGTACCGAACTGCATGGTGCGCATGAGGTCGATGTAGCGCGCCTCCCGGCCGCCGCCCGCCGCGCGCGCCGCACTGCCGCCCTCGGGCTCGCCCTCGCTGCGGCACATCAGCGCGCACGTCGCCTGCACATACACACGGACAATTACATTAGCACTTTGATAAAGAACATTATATATACATGACGAGCCACATACATAATGACATACGGACTTTCAATAACATTATATATAGTCTTGGGAGATGGAAAATTTAAACAGGATTTTATTATCGCTTCCAGTTTTTGAGTATTGGGGAGCAAGATCAGTCAAGCCTAAAGGACATAAACCGAGCAGCTCGAGAACGGAATGAACGAGTTGTGCGTGTGTGTCTAATAATTTATAATTTTAAGATAAAATTGGTAAGACAACCTGCAATAGTATTATTAAAATTCCTGCAAGAACATAACATAACTACTTCCGAGAAGACAAAAGCGAAGTCAATATACAAAACTGCTACTCACCTGTATGTCAGCAATCAGGGAAGCGAGTCCTTCGTCCTCTTCTGATAATTCTGAATTACTTGATGTACTAAATCTTTGGCTATATGTCATTTTACCGAATATATTCTTTTTACTCATCCTGGAAAGAAAATTAAATTAATTAGCAATAAATACTTCTACAATTGGTATAATATATCAAAGCCAATAAAATTAACATAAATTTATTATCGTGCCGGTATTTTATTCTTAGTGGAAATGAGAAATTCAATGTCATAGACCATGTGCTTAGGTAGCGTCTATATCTGGACATGACGCTATAATTTTCTTGAATGGCAATTAATGAGAAACATCTGGAAGGTCATAAGAACGTGATGTCCGATTGGCACTTAGTGGGCTTAGCTATCAGGTGGGCAGCCCTGTTGCATACATAAAAGAGGCGAGTGATACATGCCTACGTCGCCGCCGAGCGTGCTGCACGCACATGTACAGTAGGTGCAATACAGTGGGTGCGGCACGTACCTGAGCTTGGTGGCGTACGAGTTGGTGGTGCGCGACATCTGGTGCAGCAGGCGCGGCAGGGGACGCAGCGCGGGCGCCAGGCGGCGGGCTCGCAGCGATACAGTGGGTGCGGCACGTACCTGAGCTTGGTGGCGTACGAGTTGGTGGTGCGCGACATCTGGTGCAGCAGGCGCGGCAGGGGACGCAGCGCGGGCGCCAGGCGGCGGGCTCGCAGCGATACAGTGGGTGCGGCACGTACCTGAGCTTGGTGGCGTATGAGTTGGTGGTGCGCGACATCTGGTGCAGCAGGCGCGGCAGGGGACGCAGCGCGGGCGCCAGGCGGCGGGCTCGCAGCGAGGCCAGCGCGCGCGCCGTCCGCAGCACGCACACGTACAGCGGGATGTGTCGCGACATGTCCAGCACTGATATACACAACGCTTCCGTTATATATTAACCCCACATCCCATATACTGGCTTTGCTCCATTTTGTTTAAATGGAGAATTCCGCCGTCAGAGTAGTGGTAAAATCAACAATACGATAATATAGTAATTATGTACTCTATGGGACACAGTCACCTAGATACATCAAAATAATAATTGCATTTAATAATGTCTAGTAAGACAAATTCAATATTGTCTACTAGGCACTGCTGTATCTAAACTGTGTCACCCCACCTTACATTTTCCTATTGTTATTTAGTATATAAGATCATTATTTCTATGTACACATTGTCAGTTTATCATCATCAGTAATATACATCGTCTCGACCAGCAACATCGTAATATTCACCCGCAACAGTGGTGACCCCGACGTGATCTGGCCGACGTGGTCGAGACGATACCTGGGAAAACGACGAGATCAAACAAGAGATCTCTGTCTGACGGCATCCTGCGCACCACCAACGATTGCACATTTCCACCGGCTTCCCAGAAGCGGGTCTCACCGGCTCGGAAATTCAAGAGGCATAAAAGTCGTTGGCAATACTGCGCAACAAGGATCCTGCCGTGCTACTGACCCCCAGTAAACACAACTGCCTGCTGGATATAATCTCTGGACGAAAAATTGAAACTGGAAAAATAAAGCAAAAATGCTGTCTACAAAAGTACAGCCAACAGTCACCGCCGACGTCATTGCACACCTGTCGTCACTAATTGCGACACTGCGATCAGAAATTGCTGATATACGCGAAAAGCGCTCGCCACACACAAACAGACGCAGCAACTACCGATCTAGGTCAAATTCGCACCTACGGTCATTGCGTGGTCAGAAAAATGACTATTATTTATATTATATCATCGCAAATATAAAGAAAAGGCATACAAACGTGACATGCCGCGCTCCTATAGACAACCGTCGGAAAACTAGATTCGACGCAGAATAAGACGGAACGCTGTGCTGTTCATCCGTCTAACCGCCTAGCTATAACCGACTCTAACAGTGGCTATAGAATTTTGGTGGACACCGAAAGCAAAAATCTCGGTGAATAAAAAACAAGCACAGACCAAAGAGAGCGCTAGCGAAATCAAATTATTCGCCGCAAACAATTAATATGAGCAAATGCGAGTTCTTCACAAATGAGTTAGATTTTCTTGGTTATCATATAACGAGCCAAGGGATGAAACCAACGCAAGAAAAATGGCAAGCAATCGACGAGTACCCTAAACCCACGACAGTCGAAGATTTACGTCGTTATTTGGGTATAATGAATTTTTATTGTTACTAAAGTGCATAATATCTTAAATTTTACAGTTAACTTTTATATTTTTTTTTGTGTGTAATATATATACTTTTTTTCTCTCAAGGGGGAATATCTATGGGACACAGTCACCTAGATACATCAAAATAATAATTGCATTTAATAATGTCTAGTAAGACAAATTCAATATTGTCTACTAGGCACTGCTGTATCTAAACTGTGTCACCCCACCTTACATTTTCCTATTGTTATTTAGTATATAAGATCATTATTTCTATGTACACATTGTCAGTTTATCATCATCAGTAATATACATCGTCTCGACCAGCAACATCGTAATATTCACCCGCAACATACTCTCTCAAAACAGACTTAATTTTGGGTAAAAATTAGTCATCTGTGTAAAAATCGTGTTTGAAAGTTATGATATTTGGTATGGTTGTAACATACCCGAGTCGTTCCTAAGATATGAACAGATAGCGGGCACTAGAGAGCTGCTGACGATGAGATCGATGAACTCAGAGGGCACGTCACGTGCCTCGCTGTCCTCCACCTCGACGTCGGCCTCCTCTACGCCGTCAGCGACCGCGGTACTTCCGGTACCAGCAGCGGCTGAGCTACCGCTACTCTCCGCCGTCGACGTTGAAGCCTCGCCTTCCTGCGAACTCTCCTCTGGGGGCCACTTTTCACCGGGATTCATGTACGATGCTAATACCTGTTGACGAATTTAAATGAAATATATAAATGTAATGTCTATCTGTCCATTTAATGCTTTAAATTTATATTATACTTTAAAATTGTTTTCCTTCGCATGGCAACACGATCAGTCTGAGGATAATCCGCAATGTTTGTTCAATATACTACTCTGATAGGCTAGTTTATATCTATCAGGCTCAAAGGACCATTAAGTAGTAACCGAAATAAATTAAACAACAAATAAAGAAATTAGAACTGTGGGCTAATTATGTAACTTCGTTCGCAACGATTTTCGTATGTAACGTAGTGAAAATGACGTCATCTGTCAATAATGCGATCATATTGACGCCATTTGACGCTGTCAACTGGCATTGCAACGTAAACGCAACTTTACATATCGATAAAAATTATTTCTATCGAATGTCGATTTAGTAACCTCGTTGCAACGTCACGTAATCGCTATTTTGCCGAAATGACAGCGTGGAATTGAAACGGTTTTTACATTATGAGAAACAATTTAGAAGGTGTTTCTTTTGGTTACAATCTTTAAAATATCAGCATTAGCAGCATTATTTATCTTGTTTTGGTAATTTTCAGTATTACATATATTTTTATTTTATTAATTATTACGTAGAAAGTCGTGAAAAGGTTTTAAATTTATTAAAATGGGAAAATTGTCACGACTCACAACAAGACATCAGTGTTGCCAATTCGATATTTTATTTTCATCCCAAATCACATAGAATGTTGTTTTAACTAGAGTAAATGTTTAATATAAAATTAGGGTTGATTATGATATTAATATAATTAAAAAACTATTTCAATGAATACGGTGCTCTGTGAACGGAATACAACGTTTATGATGCTCTGTGATTTGTTTAAAGTAAATAAATTTATTTGTTTAAAGTTTTTACAATTATGAACAAATTTAAAAAGATGTGCCCATATCATTCTAAATTTATATGGATACCTACGTACTTACCTAGGTATCTATAGCAGAAAAGAAAATTTAATTTGTAGGTTAGATTAATATTATTAATGATTATAAATAGTTTGTATAAAATATGCTTTTATATTCAAAATTATTAACCTTATTTTTTCATTAGAATAGAATAGACTTTCTTTATTTTAGTTTATTAAATGTCTATTAATAAAATTAAAATAAAAGAACAAGTGAACGCTGCAGTATATTTTGTAATTTTTGAACGCAATAAAAATTGTTTCAAATCAACCAACTAGTGTATTAACCCAATAATTTAAAATGTATCCCTCTAAAGGTATATGCTATCTAATGTACTGACTTTTTAAATTGTTCGGATTAACAATATTCCGCTGCAACTTCATAGTAGTGTTTTATCGATAGAAATGATTTATGTTGCGGTCATTCGACCTTACTTGATCGCATTTTTTAAATTGAAATGATTTTATATTGCATCACAACTTCAACAGAAACAATTTCATATCGTGTTACATAATTAGCCCACTGGATGAGTTTACAGGGACAAGGTTCTAAAAGAATAAAGTTTACAATCAGAAAAGTATACATACGAAAACAGTTTTAACAAAAATTTTGTTTAATTATTTTATATTGTTGACCATGCCAACAAAAAATTTTAAATAAAATTTGCTTTTTAAAATCTTCCCAATCATAAAAACGATTGGTTGCTAGTTAAATAAAATTCAGTCAATAAGGAAAGCTAGAGCCGATCATTGAGCACTGACCTGCAGCAGCACGGTGACGTGCTCCTCCTCCGTGCGCTGTCGCACGAGCGCCTGTTCCACGTTCCACGACTGCTGCGTGGAGCCCGTCCCGAACCCGGTACCCTTAGCCCAGTACAGCTGACTCTTCTCCTCCGACTTGCTAACTGATGAGCCGTTCGAGGCTTGACTGTTCTGTTTAATGAAACAGGTAACAAAGTCAAGAAAAAATTACCTCAGTTGATATTTTTTTATGTTCTTTAATGTTTATTTTATGTGTAAGTTAAAGTGTTGTAAGAGCACTGCCCTGTGACCCTAATAAAATCAAAGTTGATATGTGGAATTTAAATCATCCATATCCCTCTGATTTTGTCAGACCAGTTGAACGAACATCTGCCGCCGGGCAGAGATCTGCATTGGCACGATTGTAAAGCCCTCAACAGACTAGTTACGACCCAGATGGGTCGCTGCAGGAACAACTCGCTGAAATGGGGTAACAATTCCCAGGAGGCTTTGTCCCAAATAATTATCTTCTATCGTACCCTTTGTGTCCAGCGTCTTGAACCAATCCGAACAAGGAGACCGATCGATCGTATCAATGCAGTTGCCCTATTCTGGTCTAAATATTTTGATTCAGGTTTGATACTAGAGATTAGTGACAAATGTATCGTATGTGTTACCTCCGCGGATTGCGGGCGGTGGTGCGTGAAGACCGCGAGGCAGGCGAGCACGAGCCGCACGGCCCCGAGCGCCAGCAGCGCGCGGCGCAGCTCGCGTCCCTCCGCGCCCCCCGCCGCGCCCGCCGCGCCCCCCGGCGCCGCCTCCAGCAGCCGCGACACCACGCGGAACGGCAGCGTGCCCAGCGACCACTGCGCCGCGCCGCCGCCGCCGCCCCCCACCACGATGCTGCCTGCACACACACACATACACCTATATATATATATATATATATATATATATACCCGTTTTAACCATGCTAAGTCTTAGCATGTATATATATGTAATTCTCTAGATTGCTCGAACGCAATTTATTTCACAAAAATAATTTTCCCGTCATAGTAATGGATAAAACATTTTGCTTAAATTCGAGAAATACTATTCCAATTAACATTAATATTATATTAGTTCCATTGCTAATAAAGTATATCTGTCTATGAACCACAAAAAATATATTGAAGCAGATTGTTTGATGTGCAACACTGGATCGTGAAGTCCTAGACTAGTCTCTCTTTTTTTATCTCAGTTATCTTATGTTAGTGACGTGGCACTATGGCTCTTAAGCCAATTATTACGGGGTTCTCGTACCCGGAGATGATATTAGGGAAAAGAGGCCCCGAGGCCCCGACCTTCTCCTCCCTAGGTGTAGTGTGAGTAGGGTGAATATAGTATATAAACTGACGTCCGTCCTCGTCGTGCGTGACGCCCAGCAGCAGCCGCAGCAGGTGCGTGGCGCGCGCGCCCTCGTCGAGCAGCGCGTGCGCGTACCCGGGCAGCTTGAGCAGCAGACCGAGCGCCACCAGCGCGTGCGCCGGCACGCCCGCGCACGCGCCCTCCTCCGCGCCCGCGCCCCCCGCGCCGCCGCCCCCGCCGCCCAGCTCCACCACCTCCTGCCACACCAACAACCAACCAAGTCTACACTACACCATCTCACCGCACGTATTCTTCATAACTTCTGCCTTCACTTTAATAACTCTCCGTAACAATATTACTAAACTAACTCCTGTGCTCAACTAAAGTAATTCGTGGAACAAATTCTTATAGTGAATAGAAGGTTATACTTTGTGAAATAGACAGAATCAAATATTATTTACGACAATCCTAGATTAAAACACATACTATTATCGTAATATATGCATCTATTCGCGAGCAAAGACATATAATGAATCAATTTAAAACAATTTTTTTAAGGCGCATGTGCACCTTGAACTTCAACCATCTTACTCTGTTCCGTTTCTTAATGTGTATTCTGATATGTTCATTATTCTGCTGCCTCATGTTTGTCGTCATTAAATTTCATTTATAAGTTGTTTCTTTTCTATTACAAAATACATAAAACCTGAACCGCGTTAAAGGCTAAACTAAAACGAACATTAAAGACTCTGACAACTATCCTTGCTGCTATCGCCATGGCTCCTGAAACGGTAGAAACATGTAACTAACCTCATAGGGATCGTCCAGCTTGACCCAGTCGAGGTCGTGATGATGGTGATGGTGGTGCAGGGCGGGCGGCGGCGGCGGCGGTGCGTGCGGGCGGGGCAGCCGCGCCGCCACCAGCGCCAGCCCGCCGCACGCGCCGAACTCGCGCAGGATGGCGCTCGACCCGCTCGATACCAGGGGGGCCGCCCCGCCCCCGTCCCATGTGGGCCCCGACCACACGTCTGAAAATATTTCTACTATTATACTGATGCACCTATAATATTTATTAATAACATCTTAGGTATGATGAAAAAATAATTGTCCTAAGATGTTATGAACACTCCGTTGACGGCTTACATACGTCGGTGTTGAGGTGCAGGCTGAACGTGGGGGTACTAGTAACCTGTTGTCGGGCCTTCTTCAGTATTGAAGTGGAATGTAAGTTATTACTGTCGGCCTACCTCCGTCGGTGTTGAGGTGCAGGGTGAGCGTGAGGTGCGGGCCGGTGTTGTGCGGCGCGGCGGCGGCCAGCTGCGCCAGCGTGCAACTCGCCGGCACGAACCCATCCAGCCCCGCCACTTGCACCAGGATCGTCGTCTCGATCAGGTCTGCATCAAAACCGACTCTCTCTTATAAAATGTTGGAGGATTTCTATATATATTTATGACGTCGCTTCTTATTTCTAATTTTAATTGTAAAGGATCTAGTTTTAGTAATAATGTACTATTATAACTACAGTTTAAAGAAATCTGTAATAGATAAGTATGTAATCGGCAAAGTTAATTAAATAGAATGTTCCGGAAAATTTAAAATTACTGTAGGAAAAATAAACTTTTAACTTCGTCTACTATTAGATTAACTCCTTTACATGAACTCCTTCAATTACAAGATATTACTAATACATATAGTTCAATATGAATGTATAAAAAACGTGAATCATGTTACTCCTAACTAATATTATAAACACAGATGTTTAAGAGTGTGGATGGCGTATGGATGTTTATTACTCTTTCACTTCAAAACTACTGAATGGATTTTAATAAAACTTTACAACAACATACAGTTTACACATCAAAACAATAGGCTATAATCAATATAGGTTACCGTCTGCGACGGTGAGCACGGAGGCGTCGTTGGGCGGCTTGACCTGCCGCTTCTTATTGGTGTGGTGTTTGAGCGAAGTGTTCTTGACGTCCTTGACGCGCTTGTCCTTGGAGGCGCTGGCGGCGGCGAGCGTGAGCTCCCACGCCTCGGCCGCCGTCATGATGGCCGTGTCCGATGAACTGCGAAGCACCGAACCCGCGCCGCCGCCTGATGATGATGTTATGACGGTTTCCTCCACTACCGGCACTGAAACATTTTCAATAATTACACGTGTAGCAGCAGCATCCAAGTACTTTATATTCGTGGTATATTTACTCCTTGAAACTGTCCTTCCCAGAACTCTTATCCCACGGCATGTGTAACCCATTAGCAGCGCAGCTGTACAGCGGCGCGTGTACGCAAAGATATATAGATATTTGTATAAAAGACTGGAATGTTTCAATTAAATATACACTAGAAGCGTATATTTAATTCCGGTATACTGACAGGGTGCGCGTAAGTACTTGGAATAATTGAGTCTAGATAAACTAACAGATACTTGTGTTAATAGGTCGATTTGAATATGTTAGTGATAGCGAAATATACTGATTGAGTGGGTGATGGTTGATAAATTTAGGTGGGTCGCATAAACATGTCGCTCATCCCAGGTGTAGACAAATTAATATATTCATGTTTTAACACGCCGATGTGAATGTGCTAATAATAGCGAGGTGTACTAATTGAGCGGGCGGTAGTAGAGAACTGTTTTTCGGGCCGCATAAACATGTTTAGCGAGTCACGTGGAGTTCGTCTGGTGTAGACAAATACATGTTTAGCTCGCCACGTGTTCGGTCTATACAAATGGATGAGGTGATGTAGATGTGGTAGTGAGGTGGGGGTGGTGTACACTGACTGGGCGGCCTGTGGTCCCGCAGCAGGTCCCGCAGCGTGGTGTGGAGCGGGAGCGCGAGCAGCGCGTGGTGGTGCCGCGCGGGGTGTCCGGGCGCCACGGCCGGCGCCGCCCCGCCGCGCGCCGCCCACCGCAGCGCCACCCACACGCGCTCCGCCGACAGCACCAGCCGCAGGATCAGCGCGCGGGTGAACCCGGAGATGCCTTCCGGACCTGACGCGACACGCGCACACGGTTACTACATACCATTCACTTCCTAGTATAAATCTAAGTTTTAAACCAACTTTTTATAAAAAAAAATAAACTTGATTGAGTTTCTTGACAGTTCTTCTCAATTGAATCTGTATACTGAACTGGACAGCAGGGAAAAAATTATAACATAAAAATTTGACGTTTATAAACGGCTAAAAAGTTCTATATCAATAAATTCTTTCTGAATTTGAATTTATTAATTTCGCAATGATAATGGTTTTTTACTGAGCGGGACTTTTAAAAAAATTGTCTTAGTGCTGTCAAACATAATATTTCAGTTGAAAAATAAGTAAAATTAAAAGATGGATTAACATCTTCATTCTTCGGAATAATGACGCATCAGCAATTACGCTATAACGTTGTGCTATTGTCTATCTATGTCTCTAGACGACGGTTACTGCATGTGGCTATCAACTTATTTATCATTTTAATTACGTACAATAAAAACAATACATCTCGCAAAATACCGCACAAGAATTATTATACCTATATTATAATTCCTATCTTTAATTTTTCCCTCTCGCCATACTAAAGAAGACGAAAAATAAAATTATTTTGAATTTAGAACAGAACGAATATTTTTTTGCTAGTAATTTTCATGTTTAGAGTGATATTCTTAATTCGAAATAATGTAATCAAACTTTTTTTATATATCTTATATAATTTAGTATTTACTCACCAACACAATGTAACGACTCCAATATATTGTGCAAAGTGGACGCGAATAACTTTTGGTTGGCTGCATGGCACACTGTGAGTTCTGCGAATAACCTGATCGTGTTCTCTTCGAGTTGTGCGTACTGAGCGCCCTCCTGCCACGTGCTGTAGCAAAAGAATAACATAATTAATACAAAAAAAAGGAAGATTGATTAAATTTCAACAGACAAGATTACCCATTCGACTATTCTCGATTTGATCTGTCAACTACAGATGAATTAATTTTAAGTATATCATATATATATGTAATATTTTTATCAACACTTGGCACACTTCCATTTATTTTAATAGTAATTAATTAATAATCCATTAAGTATATTTTTAATATTTCTGTCTTCACTAAATAGTACAATATAGTACAATTATTCCACCTGTATACTCTACTAATAATAAATTAAGTAGCGACACCTCATCATATCATAAATAATGCAAAAAAAAGAACAGAAACTTAATGGAAAAATTACTTATTATAACGACTGTTCGTAATCATTGGCAAAGGAAAATTCATCTTTCAATCACCAAAATAAGGAACATGTGTTAGGACACATAATAAAAGTGAAACTTCGGCGGACTAGTTTCTTTCTCTCACGACGCGTTAGCTGACTGAAAATGAATCACCTACTCAAACTTCGAGATGCAGTATATTGGGAAGCTGAGATGGAGATGTAGTGTGAAGAGGGCGACAGAAGTAGAGTGCAGTAGCCCTCTCTACTGCACTCTACTTCTGTCGCCCTGTGGGGCGGGCGCGGGTAGCACAGCAGCCGCAGCAGCGGGCGCCAGAAGGTGGCGCCGGGCGCGCCCAGCCAGTCCTTGAGGCGGCGCTCCGCACACAGAAGTAGAGTGCAGTAGAGAGGGAGTACCTGTGGGGCGGGCGCGGGTAGCACAGCAGCCGCAGCAGCGGGCGCCAGAAGGTGGCGCCGGGCGCGCCCAGCCAGTCCTTGAGGCGGCGCTCCGCACACAGAAGTAGAGTGCAGTAGAGAGGGAGTACCTGTGGGGCGGGCGCGGGTAGCACAGCAGCCGCAGCAGCGGGCGCCAGAAGGTGGCGCCGGGCGCGCCCAGCCAGTCCTTGAGGCGACGCTCCGCACACAGAAGTAGAGTGCAGTAGAGAGGGAGTACCTGTGGGGCGGGCGCGGGTAGCACAGCAGCCGCAGCAGCGGGCGCCAGAAGGTGGCGCCGGGCGCGCCCAGCCAGTCCTTGAGGCGGCGCTCCGCACACAGAAGTAGAGTGAAGTAGAGAGGGAGTACCTGTGGGGCGGGCGCGGGTAGCACAGCAGCCGCAGCAGCGGGCGCCAGAAGGTGGCGCCGGGCGCGCCCAGCCAGTCCTTGAGGCGGCGCTCCGCACACAGAAGTAGAGTGAAGTAGAGAGGGAGTACCTGTGGGGCGGGCGCGGGTAGCACAGCAGCCGCAGCAGCGGGCGCCAGAAGGTGGCGCCGGGCGCGCCCAGCCAGTCCTTGAGGCGGCGCTCCGCACACAGAAGTAGAGTGCAGTAGAGAGGGAGTACCTGTGGGGCGGGCGCGGGTAGCACAGCAGCCGCAGCAGCGGGCGCCAGAAGGTGGCGCCGGGCGCGCCCAGCCAGTCCTTGAGGCGGCGCTCCGCACACAGAAGTAGAGTGCAGTAGAGAGGGAGTACCTGTGGGGCGGGCGCGGGTAGCACAGAGGCAGCAGCGCCAGCGCGCCGGCGCGCCCAGCCAGTCCTTGAGGCGGCGCTCCGCACACAAGTAGAGTGAAGTAGAGAGGAGTACCTGTGGGGCGGGCGCGGGTAGGCGGCGCTCCGCACACAGTAGTAGAGTGCAGTAGAGAGGGAGTACCTGTGGGGCGGGCGCGGGTAGCACAGCAGCCGCAGCAGCGGGCGCCAGAAGGTGGCGCCGGGCGCGCCCAGCCAGTCCTTGAGGCGGCGCTCCGCACACAGAAGTAGAGTGAAGTAGAGAGGGAGTACCTGTGGGGCGGGCGCGGGTAGCACAGCAGCCGCAGCAGCGGGCGCCAGAAGGTGGCGCCGGGCGCGCCCAGCCAGTCCTTGAGGCGGCGCTCCGCACACAGAAGTAGAGTGCAGGAGAGAGGGAGTACCTGTGGGGCGGGCGCGGGTAGCACAGCACAGCAGCGGGCGCCAGAAGGTGGCGCCGGGCGCGCCCAGCCAGTCCTTGAGGCGGCGCTCCGCACACAGTAGAGAGGAGAGGAGTACCTGTGGGGCGGGCGCGGGTAGCACAGCAGCCGCAGCAGCGGGCGCCAGAAGGTGGCGCCGGGCGCGCCCAGCCAGTCCTTGAGGCGGCGCTCCGCACACAGAAGTAGAGTGAAGTAGAGAGGGAGTACCTGTGGGGCGGGCGCGGGTAGCACAGCAGCCGCAGCAGCGGGCGCCAGAAGGTGGCGCCGGGCGCGCCCAGCCAGTCCTTGAGGCGGCGCTCCGCACACAGAAGTAGGCGTGGGGCGCGCGGGTAGCACAGCAGCCGCAGCAGCGGGCGCCAGAAGGTGGCGCCGGGCGCGCCCAGCCAGTCCTTGAGGCGGCGCTCCGCACACAGAAGTAGAGTGAAGTAGAGAGGGAGTACCTGTGGGGCGGGCGCGGGTAGCACAGCAGCCGCAGCAGCGGGCGCCAGAAGGTGGCGCCGGGCGCGCCCAGCCAGTCCTCCGCACACAGAAGTAGCCTGTGGGGCGGGCGCGGGTAGCACAGCAGCCGCAGTCCTTGAGGCGGCGCTCCGCAGAGAGAGGAGAGAGGAGTACCTGTGGGGCGGGCGCGGCAGCGGGCGCCAGAAGGTGGCACCAGCAGCCGCGCACACAGCGTGGGGCGGGCGCGAAGGTGGCGCCGGGCGCGCCCAGCCAGTCCTTGAGGCGGCGCTCCGCACACAGCCGCCTCGCCCACTCCACCAGCCGGCACGCGCGACGCATCCGGTTCGCCTCTGTCGCATACATCATTCATTGTACAACTTATTCTAGTTTAAAATGAAAACTTGACTAAATATAATCATAAATACGGCTAAATAAAATCCGACTCGAAGGACCACAAGTTGTGTCAATTAATAATAAACTGGTTGCGTAGAAGAGTATTTGTCAATGTATTTTAAGTTTTTATCGGGCTAAATAAAATACGACTCGAAGTACCACAAGTTGTATAAATTAATGATAATTCCTGGGTTGTGTGGATAGTTACATTTTTATCTATGTCTTGTTTCTATTAATAGTTTTTTCTTATATTCTATAGCTTTTTGAGACAAACAATAGTTTCATTCTTTCAATGTATCAATTTACACATGTTATAGTTAATATCTTTTGGTTATTGAGAACTGTTAATATATCATAAAAACAAAGCAATCAATAAATTCCTTTCGTACATACCAGGTCTAGGTTGACTAGTCTCTTTATCACTATCTTCCATATGAATATCCTTAGAACCTAATTGTTCTTTGATAACTTCTAGCTTCGCTTCGCTGAAATCTAAAAAACAAAAAAAAAATTTGTTATAGAGTCCATGTGATCAATGAATGCTAGTGGTAATATATTTTTGTAATTGTTGTGTATACATGAGTGTGCGTGTTGTATGCAAATATATACATGTGTGTGTGTATGAAAGCATATATGTGTATCTCAATGTTTAGTTGTGTGAATGTGTGAATATAATGTTCGTCAATGTATGTGTTGGTATGTTCGGTGGGTGTTGGTTACCTGTGAGCGCGGCGACGACTGCCGCTGGCAGGCGCGAGTGCAGCAGCGCGGTGGTGGCGGCGGGCGACATGGCGGCGGCGGCCACCGTCTGCAGCTGCCAGCCGCGCAGCCGCCACGCCACGCTGCCGTCTGTGCCGCCCCCCGCGCCCCCCGCGCCGCCCGCGCCTGCCGCGCCGCCCGCACCGACCCCCGCCGGGGTCACGTGCACCTTCGTGTCGTCCGTCAGCCCCTCCATGCTGCGCACCCATCATTACACAACACATACATTACAAATTAGATTATATCATACCCATATACCAGTTGTAATTATTGTAAAAAAGCTTTTTTTAATATAGTATGTGTTCAGGCGCATACAACCGTATGTGTGGCACAGAATATATTTTAAACCAGCAACACTGTAAAACTGCAACATCGGAATTTCAGCAGGCCAGAGACAAATTATCGATTATAACTTTCACATTCAAAATTCTTAACAATCGCATATATTGTAATCACTTTCATTAATTAAATAACTAGTCAGGAATGTCCCATTTTTATTCTACACAGAGTTCATTAATTCATAAATGGGATAAAAACTAACCACAAACTTGTTCATCTTTACTGAGATGTGATAATTTATGCTCGCTTATAATTTGTTTACAGTAATTACACACCTTTCGTCATGATCCATTGGTATATCCATATGTTCCAATAACATTCTGAACAACTCCGGTCGAATATAGCACATTGAGCAGAGGACTGAAACAATGTTAAAATCATAACTAGGTATTAAAAAATGGGTTTAATAATAAAATGTTGTAAAATTAAATAAATAAATAAATATATATTACAATTAAATATATTATTATATTTACCGGCATCGAGGGCTTCTTTCAAGAGACTATTTTCGGGCACATCTTGGACCCAAGTGTAAACAAGCTCGAACAGATCGTCTGTTATTAGCTGTTCAAGATTCTCCAGTAGCCGTTCCTCTTTAAGATTCCATAATACCTGTAACACATTATTCGTATATTACAAAAAATATTACGGAATATGAGGCGCTATGCACTGTATCAACTGTAAAATTTGACGTGATACCCATAGCCAATTTGAATCATTAATAGGTAATATACACTATATACTTATGTATATAATGTTGATCCATCGAGCCGGATATATAGACGTTTCAGTTCAATAAGTAATTAAATAAGTATACGTACCGCGGCGAGCGTGTGCGTGAGTGCGGCGGCGGGCGGCTTGCGGTCCCTGAGCCAGCGCTCGGCGGCGGCGGCCAGCCAGCGCACGTAGGCGGCGGCCGCGCCCTCGGGGCACCAGCGGCACAGCTGCCGCACCAGCTCGCACACCGCGTTCATGCTGCCGTTCACGCGCGACCCGCCCAGGCCGCTCGACGCTTGGAACGCTGCGTTGTACGATCAGATTATACTATAATATTCATCTTATAAATAGGCCCTTATAGGCAAGTCAATAGGAAATACAACTAAAATGTTTACAATTTAAGAAAAGATATAAAAGGGGGAAGGGATTTTTTAGTAATATGGAATAATAACTCCATTCCATTGCTAGTAATGTACCATGTCAGGTTGACGGCACTTGGAAACAATCATTATAAGTTTCCACATGCCAAAATGAGCTAACTGACATGAATCGATGTTCATTCTATCATACTCCACTGATGCCGCCAGCCTTAGCCGTTAGCACTACCGGGCGGATCATTTCATTACTATCCAAAAAAACATTTGAATTAGTACACTGTTCACTTAAAAGAAAAATAAAACTAAAAACGAGCCTCCCAACTAAATATAAATTTATAGAAATAGTACCTCATACTGTATATTTCGGACGAAAGGAGCTGACTCAGCTGTGAGTGTAGCATTTACACGTATGCATACATATTCATAAGTTTAGCGTGTACGTACGTGTGTACAATCTAAATGCAAGGTATTACAGTTATGTACGACGTAAATGCAACGTAATAAATGTAAATACGTACCATGCGCATGCGCCTGCGCGTCCATATGCAGCAGCGCGTCGAGGAGCGGCGGAGCGCGGGCGGGGCATGCACGCGCGGCGGCCAACAGCGCAGCGTGCGCGTGCGCACCAGCCGCACCGCCCGCCGCCACGCACGCGCACAGCGCGTTCGCCGCGCCCCCGCCGCCCGCGTCCAGTGCGCCCCACCACCGCGCAGCAGGGAGACGAGCGCGCGCCGCTGCAGCCACCACCCACGCCCAGTTGTTACTGCTCACAGACATCACACGTTACTACACGTGTCTTGTACAATCCGCCGATGACAATCTACACTAGCACATCGACACTTCCACAACAAGCGCTAATTGAACGCAGTGGGTTATACCACACAAATACTTCATGTGAAAAGAAAAAGGTTCATTGCGACAAAAGATACACGGATATGAAACTTGAAATAATGAGACAGGCGCAATCCTATTTGCTATTCCATTTCCCCAAATAAAAATTTCGATATTTCTGGATCCTGAAATAGAATCTATAAGATCCTGTTTATCTACTTGTACGTACATAATTTCTAGTTATAAATTGACAAACAAATTAAGTAACAGAGAAAAATTCGACTAAAAGTTAGGAAGAAATGAAAACAAACTCACGTATTGCCGGAATTGCTGACATGTTTATTAAAAGCGGGTTCCACAAGCAATTTCAACTGCAATAAGCCCATATTGGAGGAATCCCGCGGCTTGTACAGCCTGAGCTGCACGGTAGTGCATACGACTGGCCGCATGACTGCGAGCCGGATGAAGGTCATGCCAGCGGTGTTCTGCGGTGGGCCCAAGGGCGCCAGTGTGCCACCGCAGCCCGCCTCCACAGCCACCGCGCCAGGACAAGCTGCACAAACATCAATGTTACAATGTACCATACATTAATAATAATTCTACCTTGATGTTGATGCTACTTCTGATAGATATAAAAAAAATACTTTTACATTTCCAAAATTTCCTACATCTATAAAAAGCTATATCACATACTGCATTTTACTGGATAAAAAAACTTACATGTTTCTTATAGTCACCCGTGCCAACCTTGAGCAGAAGTTTGCATGTACACGCTAGTTAATAAAAAATAGTAAGTGGGCTCGCCTCATCTGACGTTATCATCATACCCAGCTAAATACGGGCCGTCGTCGGCGCTGAAGAAGTGGTAGGACCGGGCGGCGGCATACGTACTGGCGAGCGAGGTGAGGTGCGGCTGCAGGTGCAGCTCGTGCAGGCGCGCGGCGTAGGGCAGCGCGAGTGTGAGCGCGAGCGAGGCGTCGTCGGCGCTGAAGAAGTGGTAGGACCAGGCGGCGGCGCGCAGCGCGGCGTAGGGCAGCGCGAGTGTGAGCGCGAGCGAGGCGTCGTCGGCGCTGAAGCCAGGCGCAGCGCCTGCGGGCGCGCGCCGCCGCGCGCCGCCGCCCGCGCCCGCGCCGCCGTCCAGCAGCACGTCCGCCGCCTGCGCCGTCGGGTTGCCGCACGACACAGAGCCTGCGCATACCCGCCCACGTTACTCATTCCTACCCATTCTTATATACCACGTAAACACATAATTTGCAATGGATTTCTGTAAACTGACCCCACCTACACATAATCATGTCTATTGTTGGTATATACAATTAAGCTCTAAATGAGAGCGCGATGCGAAACGCGCATTTGATAAAAATAAAGACACATGATATCTTACAACCATATTGTATGTTTACAACCCCTTGTGATAGATATTTCGATGATCGAGCCTAGCGTGATTAGTGGACGAACCCTAACTAAATTCAATAGAGTTTTGTCTAAATAATATTTTGTTAAAAAAAAACTTTAATAAGACATATGAAATATGAAACTTGAAGGAAAACAATAAGGCGATAAACCTTATTGATTGCAGATACAAATAAATGATTTGATTTCACAGCTGAATGGTTTTCATATACTCACACAAGGGCGCGATGTTTACTAGGCCGCCACTAGCGGTCTCTATTACCGGGGGTTGATTCTTCTTGCTACCAGATGCGGGTGTGGACAAGTTGATGAGCTGCGGAGGCAGCTTCAAGTAGTTCATCAGGGAGGACACCAGCCCTTGGCTGCCGCTCGGACCCGCCTACATACAACAATATGGTTGTAATTTAATAATTTTAATTAGACTTTTTCAATACAAAGAACGAACGAACAAACCTATTCTATAAAAAGAATACTTATAAAATCTGTTCACATTCAGAAAATGAATACAGTTGACTTTACAAGCTCAATATTTTTTTAAAGAACTTTTGATTGACTAATAATTGAATTGTATTAAAAATGTTGAAAAAATGAGATAAGATGTGAACGAAGATTTTGTTTGATTGATCCTTTCTCCAGCAGTGGACTGCAGTAGACTGATAATGCTGATGATATAATATGGGTGACAGTGTTACCTGATGGCAGGCGGTGAGTTTCTCTACGGCAAGCTCGAGTCCGCCGGCGTCTATGAAGGCGGCTAGCGCCTCGGGCTTGTCCAGTAGCCGGATGAGCAGCTGTTGCATTGCTTGAGACAAGTTCACTATCTCTTCTTTCCCTGTCATATTAGATGTATGTTACCAATGACAAGTAAACCTTTCTTTGAATTATAAAAAAAATTAAGAATATCGTATATAACACACATTTCAACTTAAAAAAGCAAAGATGCAACTAAATTATTAAAAAGAGCAATATGCAAGTTTATTGCTCGTTTTCTTGTTACGAGACAGCTTTCAGAATGAGCGGGAGATTGAAGAATTTTTTATTCTGTTCTATTCTATAGTTAGTTATTTATTTTAGGCTACTAATGGCCCACATCATAAATACCATATGTACATACATACAAATTAATGATATTAAAGTATACCTACATTTATACTTTAATATCATTCATCATATATAAATTCATTCATTATTTGTTACTGTAATCTTGTTCTTTTCCCAAAACGTTTCTTTTATATATTATGACAACATATATACCTATACTATAGCCCTAGTTTTCCTATAATAAATAAACAAACTCAATTAAATTATTATTCTGAATATCATGATGAAGACGCAAGTACACAGCTAGTTTTTGTTATTAATATATATGTTTGTATTAATATTAATGGATATGTTCAACTCACTAAGGAATTCCATCAGACTGTTGACCATCAGCGCTGGGTTGGAGGCGACGTTCGGCATGTGAGCCACCAAGAGAAACAATTCTTCTTTCAAGGAGGTGTGCTCCGACGATGTTTCCGTGTTCATTCCTGCACGTACATATCATGTATCACCTTAATGTATTGTTAAAAAAATTGTGAACAGACAACACACCGATACAAGTCGCTTACGATAATTCTTTAAACTAATATGAACTATAAATTACAATAGAAACCCTATAATACGACCTTGGTCGACAAGGATATCTTAAACATAGATGCTATATCGATACAGATGTAATTAACACTATATATTAATATTGTATTCAATCAAATCCTAACTTATGTTTACAATTGTTGAAACAAGCTGTTATTTTATTAAGTTTCTTATCGTTAATGTATCTTCAGGTATCTTCATCCAGTTAGTATGCTTTTTACGATTTTTATTATAACAAAAAATATTCACCCAAACATTTCAAATTCATAAATATACCGAATATTTTATTTGGTATGTAAAAATAACAAAAAGTAAAACAAGCCATAATAAGTAACCAGTAAATACCTGTGTTCAACAGTAAGGTGTTCATTCCATCGCACATCGACAATGTCCTGTAGAATTTCTGCATAATAAGCGGGTGTTGTAATACTGCGAACAAATAATATACACATATAAAACAAATCTCAATTATGATTGTGATAAGGGTACATTTTGTGTGTTATTGAGATATATCAATACGACACCGGTGTCTGTGGTTGTACTTCGAAGCCTGATTAGAATGAATAAGTTACATAACCAGTGACAGGGCAGTAATCATAGGTACATATGAATAGCTAACTCTATTTCCTATTACATCATCTTTTTTGGTCCTTCGATCCGGATATCAACCAGGCATATAATGATAATCCGCTCAAATTAATTCAATCATAAACAAGTCAGATTTATGTTCTTGATAACTAGATTTATATTCTAAGTAATTTACTAAAATTTTATGTAACTAACTTAAAAATAAATAAAACTTATGTAATATTGTAACCCATCACATGATCCTCAGATTCAGGGGAAACTACGAATCATCAGAATTTATCATTAATAAAACACATTTTGGATACAATATTAGAGAATAAAGCATATTCTTTCCTGCAAGTTTGACAATTCATCTGCAATTGCCTTGGTGTTGCATATGTTCATGGGCGGCGGTAATCAGAGTCAGTTATGCTATAATAAAAAAGGGGAGGGTTAGAATAACGTACCGGTGTCGGCGACGCAGGGCGCGCGGGCCTGCTGCTGCTTGCGCTCGTCCTCCACGTTGGTGGCCTCGGGCGCCGCGCTGTGCTGCGCCTTGCTCTCGTCCGTCTGCGACGAGCTGCCCGCCTCACTACCACTCGCTGCCGGGCTAGATCCACCCGCCGCCATATTCGATGTCGACGCCTAATAATAACAAAACATTATTTCTCCTATTTTCTATTATAGTTTCTTTTGATCGATCCGAATATCAATCGATTATATATGGATAAAAGTAGTAGTAGTAGTAGTAGTAGTAAATTAAATAATCACTATATAACAAACCATAAATAAAGAAGTTACTTTAAAGAAAGTTACATTTGGTCGTAATATTTCACTGCTGAGATCACGTAGTATCAAAAGCGTGTGCGCGCGCATGAGTTTTCTGATTGTAAATTGTTGCTTGCCCGATAGGATATACCGGTTGATACATTATTGAAAGCGACTTCATTTTACACAGATTACACCAAATACAAATGAATGCAGACAGCAATAAATATTTATTATATTCTTGGTATCTATTAATACGATTAAAATACAAATGAAAGCGGATTTCGACAATTTATTTGGACTGTTGTGCAAATTATCTATGTCGTTTAAGTTATATAGTAGTGGTACATACGGCGGTGGAGCGCGGCTGTTGTTGCGCATGGGGCGCGAGCGGCACGGACAGCAGACGGTGGCAATAGTGTAGAAGCTGCGCCAGCACGGAGCGGCGTAGAGGAGCACGACGACAAGCGCCCGCCCCGCCGCCGCCCAGCACGTCCGCCAGCAGCCCCGACAGCCGCGCCTCCGCCCCGCCTTCCACCCCGCGCCCGCAGCTTTCACGTACCCACCATGACGACACGTGTGCTGTTTCAACATATATTAATCTAGTAAACTGCTTATGAATACTGATTATCGTCATTTCTGTTGTAAATTATAAAATAATAATATGCTTGGACAATTCACACAATGCCATCTAGTCCCAAGCTGGGCAGAGCTTGCGTTATGAGTATTATATGACTGATATTAGTACTTAGATTTTAATTTTATTACACTCAGATCGATTCAAACGATCACATTCATAAATACAAATGTTTGTGCCGTTTGAGGAATCGAACTCTGACTATCGGTGACTACTCTAAAGCGTTAGAAATGCATAAGTAGTCACTAATAATATTATTGGACGTGTATTTTTTTATTATAATAAATTTTCGTACATTTAGCAATAAAACAAAATTAAGATTTAAATTTACTACAAATTTACACTCCTATAAGTCATTTATAAAACGTGCCAATAACTTAACTGCCACATCTCATTTTACTTACTAGACCATAGCATACAAACCTGGTGATGGTCGCAGTCGTAGTATGTATATATGTGCATGTGTCATGTCGCGTGCGTACGTACCGACAGTGTCGAAGAGCGCGAGCGCGTGGTGCGCGTGGTGGTGGTGCCGCGCGGGCAGCAGCTGGAGCAGCGGGTGCGCGAGCCGCAGCAGCGTGGCGTGCAGGTCGGGCGCGGCGAGCGTGGGCGGCGCGGCGGGCGCGTCCGCGTCGCGCCGCCACGCGCCGCACACCACGCGCAGCGCCGCCAGCGCGCCCGCCGCGCCGCGCGCGCACACCACGCGCGACACCACGGAGTGCAGCGCCGCCGCCGCGCCCGCGCCCGCGCCGATGCTCACGCCGCCCTGTATACGTAACAATCAACTCTATAAACCCTATCCTCGACAGTGTCTTACGCGCGAATCGTACCAGGTACCACAGTAAAATAGACTCGTGCTAACCGGCTCTATAAATCCCATTATCAACGGTGTGTCTTATGCGCAAACCGTAGCATGGACCACAATCAGGGAAATTCGTAGTAATCGACTCTATAAACCCTAACCTGACGTGTACCACAATCAAGTAGTGGTATTGTAGTAATAGACTCTAGGAACACCATTACTAATCGTATGTATTGTCAGGTCCATAATCTGACCTCATGGTCTTAACATTACTTTCCACTAGAGCCCCGCCAGCATTTCATTATGTGTACATCCAAAATATAACCCAATGGTATTGCCCCAAATTGCTCCAAGCTTGTTTTTGATGTAAAACTGTATATAAAACAACTTTAAAGAGCCAAATCAGTAGAATGATTAGTAAACAGTAAAAGGATAAACTTACGAGATAAGGTTCCGACGTAGCGACCGCCCCATCCGTGTTCACGTTCATGGTGACGAATCTGACAAGTGCCGGTACGAAGTGTTCGCATTCCAGTATCACGCGGCCCATCGTCTGGGTGCTACCTTCAGTCTGTCACAATAGAACAACATATAAATCTAGGAACTATACTAAATTTGCCGATTTCTATGTACTCGAAGGACTACAAAATGTAAAGTTTTATGATAATCTTTTTAGTATTCTATTTAGATATATTATATCCGTAGGTCTACCAATATAATATTAATGTCAGATCTTCATAATTTACAAACCATAAATTTACTAGTAGTTTGCATGAATAATTTATGGTACAAGTATTTAAACAACTACATACATTGTGGTAATATATTGAGGTGACTGATTATATATAATCGCACTAACCTGTAACGGTAAACTTGCAATCCAAGCCAACGCCTGCATGGACAATACCCAGCATCTAAGTGATATGTTTTCTAACCTAAAAACAAGAGAAATTGTTCATATTATTATTTATTATATAATCACTAGTGTGAAATAAACCAACCATCCTAAAAGAACCCTAGTGTACCCAATTCAAGATGCGCCTAAGAGTGACGTTGTAAGACTGTCATAATATAACCACGATTAAGAATTAAGAAATATGCACTGTACGAAGCTTACACATCGAACATTTTCGTACACATCTAATGTATCGTATATGCGAAATATTTCGTTGGTTTGATATGTAAGCTTACCAAAGCGTGCATGTGTATATTGTATGTGACATTTTGAACTATATTCATGGATCGTGTAATTCACGATCTAAGATTGTAGTAAGTCAATAGTAAGTAGTTACCCATTTTATACTTGGGTCGCGGTTCTAATATAAAGCACAGCCTCATAAATAACAAGGGAATTAGAAGGTGGACGCTTTCGCGAATACTAAGAGTGGAGTGTGGTGTACGTACGTGCAGAGCGAGTGTAGCAGCGCGTTGACGGTGTCGGAGGCGAGTCGTATGCGCGGCGTGTCTGCGGGCAGCGCGAGCGCCGCCTGCGACCACGCGCCGTTGCCCCACGACGACCCGTTCAGTGTCAGCCACAGTGACACCACGTTCTCCATGAATGTGCAGTCCATCTAAGAAGTAACAAGTAGGGAAAAATAATTAGATACAGATGTATATCTCATCATGTTTTCTATGTGCAATCCATCTATTAAGTACGTACACATATTATACAAGGTGTGAGAAAATTAATTAGACCGAGATATACTAGAAAAAATTGCGCTAAATTGTCTTTCACGCGGACAGATCTGTGTTAAAAATATAAAATACCCCCAAAAAAATACTTTGTGGTACGCTCAAAGAACATAGTGGAAGAGATAGCTATAAGGGCGTTTATATTTGTATTATTGTGTCTTCTCGAGAGGTACATTAAAGAGTTTTCAAAGTCAAAGTCAGGAGCGTTCTAACCAAGTAACCTACCTGATAATGAAATTCGAGCGCCAAGTGCCGGAAAACGTCATATAGCGTGTGCGTGAGCGGCGGGTGGGCGCGCGACGGCGGGGCGGCGGGCGCGGCGGCGGGCGAGCCCGCCTCGTGGGTCCCGGGCGGAGACGGCGTGGCCGGCGGCGAGTGCGGCGACCGCAGCGCGTGCGCGAGCGCACCGCCCGTCGCGAGGAGTGCCCGGCGAGCCAACGCCTCCCCCGCACCGCCCGCACCTCCCCCGCAACCTCCCGCGCCGCTGTCCAACCGTGCGTCTGTGCAACTCGACACCACGCTGGAAACAAACCCGTTCGCTTTAGAACTAACCTATCATCTAAATTGGAGGAATGTGGGAGGTATATATAACATAATATATACCTTAGTTAAGTGATTGGAATTATAAATAAAGTAACATGTATAGGCATGAACAGTATCATAAAAATAGGAAAATATATATTCTGATACAGGTGCATAGCAATTCCTGTGGACTGAGTATTCATGCCTCTCCTCTGTTTAGTGATTATAAATAGTAGGTTAGTAATGAGAAATTAAATCTTTATCATTGTCATGAGTATAAGTTTACCCAAGAAATTAATCAAATCAATAAATTATCCAAATTGTAAAGTTCAAATTCGATGAAAGTATAAAGAAAACACTTTTTTTATAACGTTAAACATAAATACATATATCATACCTGTTACTATTGTCAATCAAGGTTTTTGATTTGCTCTCCTTTTTGAATGGTACAAAGATGTATTGTTCTAACTTCTCTTCGGACTCCGAGTCCTCAGATTCGGCATTCAGCTGATCCACCACATCTTTCATAATGTCTACAATTGAAATTTACAAAAAAATATATTAATATCATAATATATACATATGAATAATATATAGAAAGAAAAGCAATAACATAATAACGCAGCATATATATATACAAATATATTTTTTGTCTGAAACTACTTTTTAAGATTAATAACAACCAGACAACAGAATATACGAAAAAATATCAGCGTAAATCTACTAAAATACTCAATACATTCTTGGCACGGATATAAAATACGACACTAGTTTTAATAGTACACACGCTGGCTAACATTAAAAGTATATGCGTGTATATAAGCACCTAACGAGCAAATAGTGCAAGCGATAAAAGAAATCAGCACACGACAGCGTGCTACTGAGATATCAGTGCGAACCGAATACAAGGCAAGCGGCACCGAGCTGACAATCTTACTTGTGAGACCTTGCGGTATAATTTTCGGCTTGCTAAAGTTGCTACTCTTCGCCAGACCGAAACTATCCGCTAGCACATCTGCAACGAAATGCACCGCGTCAATTTTTCATTTTACATAAACAACATGGGTGCAAACCCTATCAAGCTGTGTGAAGCAATATAATATGAGCTTTATATGAAGCAGTTAAAGTTGATTTTAATAGTCTCTGCATTTGTTGAACACTATAGTTGGCATCGTGACGTCATTACGTCAATTGAGACGCCGGCTAATCACTAACTTACCCTTAATAACAACAGTACATTCAGTTAGCGTTGATAAAGAATAGCAACCAATAATAAGATATATCATATATTATTTGTAAATATATTATTACTTTTAATAAATAAATAGATAAATATATATGCACTTGTATACGGTTATCACTGTGGAAAGGATGTTTAATTGTATTGATTTAATTATTATCACAGTGTAAGCTAGAAAAACAATGAGGAACTCTCTCTGATGTAAGTATGTTGTTCAAATGACAGGCGACAAGCATATGTATTACGAAACTCCTGATTCCACACACATAGTACAACACATGTACACAAAATATATCCCAATATCCATCTGGAATGATATGTATTTTCAAACAGTGAAATAGAATAGGTAGATCCAAATATGCAAAAATATAATCGTGAAGTTTAAAAGATTGAGAAGATCATTTCTTTTAAATAAACGATTATTCAGCAGTTAATCAATTTTATCAGAGTGCCCCGAGTAACGGTTTGATGTACTTTGAATTGCATACCTCCAAAGAGGCAGGGACTCAGTAACCAAATGTGTGAATAGCATTTAGACATCTTGATGTCTGATTGAGAATACTTTAGTGGCTTTACTTATTAACATACTATAATTCGCATTTAGCATATTTTGACATAATATAGGACAAAAGTAGTGGCTGGTGTTACAGATCGTATTTAATTCATAATTGAATTAAATATGTATATACACGTAATATATTATTGTCATAATTAATATAAATATGTTATATATTAAAGAGTTTGTTAGTTGGATTCACACAGACCAACCAATTGGATTAGATAGCTTTAGTGTATAATTCTTAATAATCGTTGGCTAAACATCTCTTCTCTATAATAACACACTTCCTGTACTAACAAACTACACAATACAACCATTCACTGGTCAACATACGTCTGCCATCTGAACAACACCTTTTTTTTTTTTTTTTACATCAGGAAAATCCGTCATGGAGACCCATTCGCCATAGGGGGCGAATGGGTACTGCCGGACTCCTACCGGCTAAAAACCTGATGGTATACCTCTCAGCCCTTGGCGGACGAGGACGCGGGAACAGACATTCTACCGCTTCATCTGAACAACACCTGCGGTTACATATTGCCTCAAATTCAAAATATCAAACATTGGAAAATCGACTTTAATGCATTTAACTTTAAAGTCTATTTTCCAAAATATCGTAGTGAGTAATATCATGGCACTGACCTGCGACCGAGGCGCCCTTGACCCGTCGCGGCGCCTTCCCGAAGCCGGGCCCCGCGAACGAGCGCGTGATGCGCACGCGCACGCCGCCCGCGCCGCCCGCGCCCGCCGCGCCCGCCTCGCCGCCGCACCACTCCTCGCTCGGGCTCGTGTTGCTCTCAGAGCTCTCGTATTCTACCAGGTCCTGGTCAAAAGATTTTACAAATACATAATTATATATAAAACAGCTAAAATTCTAAGTAAAGTAGTCAGAAACATTTCGATTATTAACTATATTAATTGTATTGTATTCCGCAGGTATAAGGCCACAAGAAATTACAAGTCACAATCGTCTCGAAGCACCGACATGTTATCAATGCATTTTCTCCCTTTCTTTTAATTTTCTTTCTTCTCGGAGATTAATACTATATACAATACAAGATAATTTGCAACAAATATTAACCACTGTCGCACACTTAATACAATACTGCATTTGCTTTGACTTGTAAAGTCTAATTCCAAAGCATTGTAATTTTTAAGTTAAGCCAGTACTGAATTATATGTTAGCTACAATATATAAATTTAGAATACTCATTTGACTAATTTGGTAGAGAAATAAAAAATTAAATATAATTTCTGAAACTTTTCAATTTTAATAAACGGTTGTTGATAACCGTTTGTTAAAAATCTAATATAGCTTAAGCCTTCGGTAAATATAATAGTAGCGAGTGGTACCTGTAGTAACGTGGTGAGCGCGTGTCGCGGCCAGGGCGGCAGGCTGACGGCGAGCCGCGCCAGCCCCAGGATGCTGGCCGGCTCCAGCAGCGCCGCGCCGCCGCACAGCGCGCACAGACGACCCACCACCTGTAACAATAAAAAAACAATACAGTCCAAGCCCCTAATATATTTTTTCAAGCATTACCTGCTGTAACAAAAATACTAAATACAGTCCTAGCCCTCTAAACATTCTAAACTTCTTTAAACATTGCAACTATAAGACTAACCGATAAGTGACGTTATTTCGAGTGAACCGGAGCTTTAACCCTGTGAGATATTTTATAAACATTCCACAATTTTCTTTCATTTCCAAAAATTTTCGTTTAAGGCTGTCTTCACTTAACATGGATTTATTGGCTGGTCATAGCCAATAAATCCATGTTAAGTGAAGACAGCCTTAAACGAAAATTTTTACTATCACTATTTTTGTTTTTTTCTTGATCAGTTAATTCCTTGAGCTCATTATCTAGTATATAGTCTTTCTAGACTATTTGCTATTTCTTGAACTATTTTACTCGACATCTTTCCCAAGTTCCGAATCCCCGTCGAAATAAAGGAGCGCTAAACCGAAACAGCGTTAATCGGGGTCTCACTGTAAGTAAGAACATGTACACACCTTGGCGCAGAGCAGCAGCACGTCGCCGTCGGCGGAGCTGTCTGCGGCGAGCATGTGCGAGACGAGCGCGGCCGCGAGGGCGGCGGCCAGCGGCGGCGGCAGCACGCGCGCCAGCGCCTCGCTGAGTCCGTCCCCCGCGCGCCCGCCCCGCGCCCCGCGGCGCCCGCCCCCGCCCCCGCCCGCGCCCGCGCGCGTCGGCACCACGTACACGCCGCGCTACCACACGAACGATACAATACCATACAAAATCATTTATTCAAATAAACTTCATTTTCACTTTTGAATAGACATAATTTTTTTTTATCTACCGCTCGTTCGGAAAGCTGTGAGGAGAATCACGAGAAGAACGAGCGAGAAACTTGTGTATTGCTCTTTTAAACAATACTTGTAAGTTTATATTTACAAGTCGAAGCGTACAGTTACAATTACAATGCTTATTAATTATATCAATCAGTATCATTTAGAAACATTTTACAGAGAAAGTGTTTTATACGACATTTGAACCTACTTTAAGGCAGATTTAGAACAGACTCTGGTAGTTCGTTAAACCTTAAGCAATTACTATAAAACAAATTACTAATTTTAGCTGCCTTTGATCAGAAAGACATCAGACATGGGTCAACATAGAGAAATAGTACAAGGACATATCAGATTCACAAAAAAATCTATATCTTTCATTATGTAGACTACTTGTATAGTTTTGTTTTTTTTTTATTCCAGCACTCATTCAGAACGCACACTCATCACAAGAAGAATTAGCAAGAAATTTGTGTGTTTCTGGTTTAAATAAATGTTATTTTAATAGTAAAAGGCATGCAATAATCAACATAGAAAAAGCTACGCACTCATTCCTAATGTAATCAGATAATATTGTCAGAGCTATGAATTTGAAGTTTTTTCATGGTATAAAATTGTGTATAGGTATACATATGTTTGCGTGTATGTGTGTGTGGTGTGGGCATGTAAACTCACGTCGTCGTGTGCGGCCTGCTTGCCGCGCTTGGGCTCCACCTCGTGCATCTGGTGCAGCAGCTTCTTGTGCAGCTTGCGGTGGTGCAGCTGGCACTCGGCCGTGCGCGGGGACGACGTCGCCGCCGCCTCGCCGCCGCTGCCCGCGCGGCCCCCCGTCACCCAGTCCCATCTACAGATGGATCAGGTTCAATGTTATTAAAACTTCAATGTACACTATGTATAAATTTTGTTAGATATTCGTTATGTAATGACAGAAAAAATGCAAATTTATTGTATTTTATATAAAGGAGAACAGAAACACACTGGAAGAACTAAAAAAGATTGGAAAGATAATGGTAATAGTGGTAATCAAACAAAAGTAATCAATGAGATGTTGCTTAAAAGTAGGATAAATAAAAGTATAGAGTCTAAATTAGAAAATCTAGCAAAGGGATTGGTAGGGAGGAGTTTGTGGAGCATAAGAAGGGAAGAGAGCCAGGATATTTTAATAGCAGAAACAAACTCAATTAAATTCAGAATAGGGGAAAGCATAAGCGTTATAAGAATATGCTTTAATAAGGAAGCGAGAGGAGTGGAAGAATAGACGGTAAGAGTGTAGGACTGCGAGGAAGCGAGATGAGTGGAGTAATGGTAAAAGTAAGCTGAGTGAGCGTAGCGACCTGGCGTGTCGATTGGCGGGGACGGTGTAGAAAGTTAAGCAGAGCGAATTGTACATGTCTGTGGAGCATAGGTATGAGAGCCAATAACGGTTGAATGGCAGGAATAAATAGAATTGAATGTGGAAGATTTGCTTCAGCTGCAAGTAGGATATGAATATGCTTTGAGGAGGAAGCGAGCGGAATTGGTGAGCGCGGCGACCTGGCGTGTCGATTGGTGACGACGGTATAGAAAATCAAGCGAAGGGAATTGTAGATGTCTGTGGAGCGTAGGAAGAGAGTCAAGAATTTTTGTATAGCATAAACAAATTGAACTAAATATAAAAGAGGGTAAATCTGCCAGAGTGATATGTATAACCTTTGAGATGGAAGTGAGCAGTGTGGAGTAAGTGGAGCAATAGTGAACCTGGCGTGTCTGATGGCGGCGACGGTGTCGTGGTCCGCTGGCGGAGTGTGATAAGGATATGCTTCGAGGAGGAAGCGAGCAAAGTGGAGTAGTGTAGTAGTGGAGCAGTAACACATCAGGCGTGTCTGTAGGCGGCGACGGTGTCGTGGTCCGCTGGTGGAGTGTGATAAGTATATGCTTCGAGGAGGAAGCGAGTAGAGTGTAGTAGTGCAGTAGTGTAACAGTGTAGTAGTGTAGTAGTGTAGTAGTGTGACAGTGTAGTAGTGTAGTAGTGTAGTAGTGTAGCGTACCTGGCGTGCCTGTTGGCGGCGACGGTGTCGAGCACGGCCGCGAGCGCGGTGAGCACGGCGGCGGTGAGCGCGGGCTGCGGGTGCGGCGCGCGCAGCAGCGACAGCGCGCGCGCACTCAGCGCCGCCGCCACGCCGCTCTCCGGCGACCGGTGCGAGTACAGGCTCTTGCGGCACATGTACATCACCAGCACCAGGCATCTGAGCCATACGTACCATATTCACTTTTTGTATGAAAGTTTGTTAGTATCGATGGATGTTTGTTACTGTTTCACGTAAAAAGTACGTAACGGATTTTGAGGAAACTTTGCAGTGATATAACTTATACATCAGAATAGCATATAGGTTACATATAGATGGTACATCAGTATATTAGTTGTATATTATTAATTCATATAAATACATTATTGACTAACATACGTCAATAATGTATTTATAATATTGGCCTAGTAAATATGTCTGAAATAAATTATATACTGTTTTCATGTAACACTAAGAGATAAGTTATATGAACTGAATACTTGGAAGACAAAAGTCAATTAAATTAATAAGGAGTGTGCATAAAATTCAAACATGAAATATATTAGAGTAGGATAATCCCTGCATTGGTTTTATTTATGTTATATATTGTAACCGTCAAGACATGCTTGCCAAATTAGTGGGCGTTTATAGAACTCATTTTAGTATATTATTTTATAAAAAAAATACTTCAAAATTATTTGTATTACATATATTTTAGTAATATAAAAAATATATTATCCACATTCCCTATTGCCGATTAATATAATCCTTAACATTTCAATAAAAAAAAACGTGAGGGCAATCGCCATTCCTAATTACTTAACGGTACCTCCTTGTCATGCATTTCACCACAATATACAACATCTATAGATATCAATAGAATCACTATTACGTAGCGCTCAACTCCAGAGCCTTATTTTACCGAAACCCCTGATTAAACATCCAACATTATGGCATAAGAAAGAGTTTGAAAAATTCCTACAGAACGAATTGAAAAGAGCGCAACGTAAAACTGGTGTGAAACCAATTAAGAGTAGGTGCAGATAAGTAAGGGGCGGGGTGTATTACCTGTCGAGTGCGAGTGGCGGCGCGTCTGCGGCCGCGAAGGCGTCGGTGAGGGTGTCCGCGAGGTGGTCGCCCCACCAGCCGGCCGCGCCGCACAGCCGCGCCAGCAGCGTGGCCAGCGCCGCCGCCGCGCGCGCGCCCCACCACCGCACCGCCGACGACACGCGCGCGCACCACTCCGCGCCCACTTCCGGACACGCCTGCAACCACACGCCACTGATAGTCCCTCTACCGTTCAACATCTAGTGGGCCGTCCGCTCGTTGACATTATACTGCTCTGTACAGATACAGTCGGCGACTGTCGTCGTCTATGAAAAGCAGGTACGCCATTTTTTAAAATGAAGTGGGTAAAACAGAATTATATTCCGTATAAAAATGTCACGATACGACATGATATCAGCAACTGACTTTTCAAGTATTGCTAATATTGGTTCAATGCGTTATTTTAATACATTTAATGAAAAATAAAGTTAATTCTTAAAGTATTTAATAGTGCAATACTATTGCATAAATCAGCCTACAGCATAAAGATTCTACCTTCCAGATCGCTATAAATGTTACTTTATTTTATAGTGCCCTGATAACTAGAACATATCAAAGAAATTCTTACAATCTTCATTCAAATTTCATATGTAAATATAGTATGTACATTCAAATTATACAAGGAAGGTGGTATGAATTACACAACAAATTTACAAATCAACTCACCACATCACCCACTTGATAGAAGAAGTACAGCAGCAAATCCACAACATTCTCACTTATAACCCGCAACTTGTCTGTGGAAGCGCGCTCCAATAACGCTTCGGATGTTACTTTCCCTTTGTTAATCATATCCAACAACTGATCATTACACTCCGAAGTATTCTGCAGCCTCCTGAGTATATTATTACATGTGTGCATCTGCTGTTGGAGTTCTATACACTCCTGGTATGCTGTGATCACTTTGGGATCTGTGTCATTGGCTAAGTTCAAGTAAGCCATCATGTGGGCTGCATTTCCATTGTACATTTGCAAATACGGGTTCAGAAGATCCATTAATTTTCCAGTTGCAAGGCTAAAAATAAAATTTTAATTAAAAAAATATTTCGCCTATATAAAGCTATGTTTCCAGTAAACATGGGTCGTATTTTAATTCCAAAAAGTAGATTAGGGGTATTACGTATAGCTCTCAGAAAATCAGCCCTGCGGCACAAGGTGTTTGAAGGCCCGGGCCGTATCAGCTTATTATTTTGTAAGCACCATTATATTTCCCACTCTAAAGCCTCTTGTTACATTATTTTGCTTGATGATTTTTATTTTATCATTGTTATGTATATTTATAATATACTCACCGGAATCTGCATGTCAGGTCTTGATATAAAGCGTTGAGAGCATTAACTGAGGCCTGCACGTTAGTTATGTCGGCGATCTCGCCGTAAAACCAGCCCAGTGGTATCTTGCACTTCATCGCAGACATGCCGTACCGCCCTATAGTCGTTATCTAAAACAAACCGTACATTTTTTAAATGACTGTACCAAGTGTTGCACACATTACATCAACTGTTAGATGAGTTTCTGATATTTCGATGATATTATATATTGGTTATGGCTGACCTAACATTATCATGGTATATATCCCACATTATTTTACAATACGTATAATTGTGAAAAAGTAAACAACAAATTACTTTGTCTTGGTCATAATAGATCTCTGTTACCTTTTTATTATAGTCATTATATTGTTTCAATTTGAAGGGCAACTGATAATTGGCAGAAACTTAGTATTGTGACTGATCTTTCCTTTTTTAGTAGAGAACAATACTATGAGACAGAACCCTCCTTTGATTTAGTCATCATGAAATTAAGAGTTTAAGTTGGAACCAATGTCTTATTAACAAAATAACACAAATTATACAATTTTATTAAATTTTTAAAGACGCAAGTCCAGTTAGGTGGATTCTATCTTCTATCATAATGTAAAGACCTGGAAGAATTCTTTATTTAGCCATGTTGCAGCCTATAAATACGTCTTTGCCGTGGCTTTTACGTATTTACACATTACTTAAAAAAAAATCATTTACCTTCATATACCGACACAACGGAGGCGGCTGTATGTCGGTAAGTACGAGGTGCTTGGTTGCTATATCCGTGGCGAAAGCGAGCTTCACGCAATCAGTCTCTTCACTCGTGACCCAAATGTCAATACACAGTGTAACTAAGTCCGAGCAAGATGGAATTATCTGCAATAAAATATATGATTATTGTTACTAGACATGTAACGACAATAATCCAGTACGCTGTTGTTTGAAGACTATGTTATGCTAAGAGTTTTAGATGATATTTTTCACAGCTTTTTTTCTTTTAGAACAGTGTTGCCTAACCTTCTTAGTCCCATGCCCCACCTTGGACTTTCTAAAATTCTTATGCCCCTCCCTCTCTTAGGGTTACATGTATAATGTTAAAAAAACAGTTTACTTAAGAAACATACATTTCTTGTTTTAGGAATAATCACTACGAAATTATTGACGAAACACTATACGTAAATAAAAATATTAAATTATGTAGTAACTAGTATAGCATTTAAATGGCCTGGACTGAAAGGGTTAAACTCGTATCGACACCATTTTCGAATCCCTTAAAAATCAAATTGACATAGGGGGACTGGTAGTTGGGCCCAACGTTGGGAAACACTGCGGTAGAAAATCTCATAAGGTAATGAATTCACAGATTCAAAACCAAAAGAAACAAGCAGAACTGCCTTCATAATATTCTGTAAGAGGTAGAGGTAGTGACCAGGTCTGTGAGGCGGACGGTGTGTCCGAAGTCGAGCACGATGTAGCGGCGCGCGCCCGAGTGCATGCGCTCCACCACCAGCGTGTGCTGCGGCGGACGCGTCACCAGCGCCGCCCACCCGATGCCGCACTGCTCCTGTTCCTGCACACGGTCACAGCGCACCATTGTATTCACAACATTATTACATGCTTCCCGAGACGAACGATTACTGCTCGAAAGAGAAGACAAACAGTCTACTATGTAAATATATAAAATTGCAATGTAGTAAATTATAAAACACTCTAACGAGGCTTACACTTAACCCCTAAGTTTGATCCCCCGTCAGATTCAAATGGGGACCGAAATTATGGCAGCCTAAGCCTAAGTTCGAACTCCTAGCGGTATCCTCAGACTAAAGTCGTATCCATCAGGCCTTCAGCCACTCCATAAATCCTGCCGCGGGTTCAGAGTACCATCTGTAGTTTAGCGATATGCGGCCACCATCATAAGAGTAGCCCGAAAAAAAAAATACATATACTAACGTATTTATAGCAAAATACATAAACAACATGCTTAATTTATGGTAAAGTGGTTCAAACTTAACAGGAGGAGAACAGTTGTTCTGGTATATACCTTAAATAGTTTATCTTCAGAAAACTCTAATTTATCTTGAGGGTCACAATCCATTGGGGAGCTTTCTACATCTTCTAAGGAATCCGGATCCTGAGACGTTTGCTTATTTCCCTCTTTCATGGCTGACCAAAGCTGTACAAAAATACACAATTATATTTATGGATAACAATTTCGAGTAGGTAAGCTGTGTTTTGGTCAGGAGAAGAAATAATAAATTACTACTTATTATGTGTATATATTGCAAATATTTAGCAATCGTTTATATCTATGTGTACAACAATGTAATTGTTGGCAATATAAAATATCTTCTTTCTTTCTCGTATTAGTGAAGTGGTTTTACATCCTCACTAATGCGAGAAACCGACCTTTCGGTCGGTTGTGTGGAGCGCGAGATGTGTGAGTGTGAGTGCGCGCTTAGCCAGATATTTCTCATAGGGTACGAGATCGGACGTGGCTTTAGTGAGGCGGTGAAGGTCGGTCGGATGAAGCGCGAGATGTGTCCGAGTGCGCATACGGCGCGGGTGCGGGCTCAGTCGCAAGTACTTGAATGTCGTCCACAATGTATGAGATAGGAGTGCGAGTGCACCTGGTGCGGGTGCGCGGGCGGGCCGGGGGGCAGCGAGCTGACGACGGCGGCGTGGAGGCGCGCGCCGCTGGACTCGAGCTTGGTGCCGTCGGAGGCCACGTGGCAGCTCACGTGCAGCGGCTGCGCCTCGCTCAGCCCCGCGCCGAACACGCCCACGCCGTCGTTCTGCGCCCACCACGCCGCCACCGGCGACTTCGTGTCTGCACACGTCACCATTACGTTTAGCTCGTCCACACGTTGCCAACGACTACTACCATTTACTGTCACATTGAATTATCTGAACGCACAAAGATTGATTGTTTAGTGGTTTCTATGTTGATTGCATGACTATTGTTTATGTGTATTTACTTAGAACAACATTTATTTAAAAGAGCAACAGGCAAATTAGTAGTAAGTGGTAAAAAAATATGACTATTCAATAGTGCCTATATTAAGTTTATTTGAATAAAGATTATTTCTATTTCTAATGTTTGACAATACTACAAATTATCTATATACTATATTATCATAATAACGTTTACATAATTATGATCATAAATAAAGGCAAATAACTTTTTTCTTAATCTGATAAGGTCTTTCAAATTTCTGTAGATCAAATGTTGTCTTAAGTCGTACTGACTAAAGAAAACTTCTTGACGGTGATCCAAATATAGATATCATCTTATGATAATTTATGTTCTAAATTATGTTCCAAGTTTCATTCAAACCCATACAATAGATTTTTGCACAAAAATGTAAGAAAATTCATCCATTACAATCCATCTACAAACTTTCATATTTCTTATATTAGTTCTAAGTATATTAACAAAACTTTGTTTGTACAGAATACACTGTAAGTCATAACAGTTGAAAGCTCACCCATGTCAGGAGGTAAGTTGAGCAAGTCCTTGAGCTGGTAATCAGGTTTAGGGGGCGGTGGTGCGCTCGTGTCCCCAGCGAGGACGCTGGCGTATGTGACTGGTGATGAGGAACCTCGTCCCAATTCTGGCACTTCCGAAGCGAAAATCGTCTGCTCTAACGGAAGACCGTACAAGCCGAATCTGTATACAATTATTATACAACATTGTATTTTACTAACAAAAACAATGTTTTCTACAATTATGATATATAACAACAAATGAGTAAAAGAGCATATATCACAAGGCCGATACAATAATAATATACAACTGTAATTCTCTTAGTTGCCCCTAGTTTTACGGGGACGCCTATAAAAATGAATTGTATTTGCAGAACAGATATATTTGCATTAATTGGTAAGTTTTTTATTCCAGCATTCCACACGTTCCATGTCTGTTCCTGACTATATTTTTTTATCGTAATTCTTTGGATTGAAATGATGGACATGAAATGTTTTTTTATAATAGATGATGATAATGGAATGGTGCACCCCGCCTGCGCTAAGGGTAAACAAACCGTCTCGACAAATTTACAAGGAATTTAACATGATGGTTACCAGAGGAACCGTGTAGAGGTCAATCTTGACGATACGGTACAATGCCAACAATCGCGTTATTAATCCTCATTAGTAACAGTTCCCTTTCCTCCCCGAGAACCATTATTAACGTAGGTGGGTGTGGGCGGGTCCGCAGCGGTACCTGGCGCGCAGCAGGTGGTGGTAGGGGTCGGCGCGCGCGGCGAGGCAGGTGGCGGTGGCGTGCAGCAGCGCGAGGCAGCGCTGCAGCAGCGCGGGCGCGGGCGCGGGCGCGGCGGCGGGCGGGCCGCCGGCCTGCGCCAGCGCCATCAGCCACCGCAGCGCGCCCGCCGACGAGCACGCGCCCACGTACGGGATGCACGCGCACACGCCGCTCGACACGGTCTCGTCGAACGTCGACTTCCACGGCAGGTGCTTCACGCCCCTGTTCGCGCACTTAAACGTTATCCTCGCAAAAACTCGATTTTGATGATCGGTTATTTATTTTTCATCGTACTTGCTCGTGAATTGGATTTCATTTCACCGATGTTCGATGCAGCTCATAAGTAACGTGACCAGACATCCCGTTTAAACGGGACTGTCCCTTTTTATAATTACCAGTCCCGATGTCCCCAAAATGAACTCAGGGATGCAAAATTGTCCCGTTTTTTGGAAACTCCGCGAAAATTTGTGTGACGTTGATGATTGTTGCTAATTAAGATGAATATAACACATGAAAACATGCCTAGAGTTTCAGTCGTACTTAAAAGTTTCACTAGCTATATTAAAGCAAATTTGTTCATCCAATAATACTTAACTTTTAAGCTCACTTTTTAGCAACAAATAGTCTAAAAAATTGTTTTTACACTGACTGTCTATTAATTGACATATAAATAAACCAATGTCTGTTTTAAATCAAAAAATAAATGGTCACGTTACTCATAAGTTATATCCCAAAACCGCGGCGCAAGCCAGTATAAGCAGCAGTATTAGTATAGCGACAACGCTGATTTAAAAAAATAAAATAGTGGAAAAACAACACCGTGCATCAAAGTTTTATGGTTGAGCTTATCTAAAATCAAGTATGTTGAAAAACGTCGTACGATATACGTGCGTATTTCACACACTCGGCTCTATTACGCCTTCGCCTTTGGCTTGGGCGGAATAGAACTCAAAGATGTGACGTGAGTGACGAAACACAACATGTGAAGAGAGAGTAAATTCGTTACTTATTATCATTAGTAATTATATAAATTCATGTCTTGTGCTCTGATACATAATACATATAAGAAATAATACTCACTCGCTAGTAATAAGAATTATTTTGACGCACTTCTTGGCGATACTTCTGTTAGCGCACAGGATGCAATTCTTGATGAGTGCGTCGACGTGTTCTTCTACGATCCTCACACATTCCAACTGCTGCGTTTCGACAAAATTATATGTCTCATTGTCCTTTTCTTTCTCGGTCTTCGCCAATCGCATCCGCTGTAGCCTTATGGAGATCACCCAAATAAGTAGATCCAGAGCTATCTTTTTCTTGTCTGAATCACCCTTGTTCACAACTATGCCTAATAGTGTAGTTAAAAAGCTATTTGATTCCAACATCGCTATCCGCTGCTGTCTTTCCATTGGCACATCAGTATGTGGACTCGAACGCACCGTCAATGAAATCTGATGAAGCCAATCACATCCAATGAAAGTAGACTTCTTTGAATTACTCTCGGTCGATTTAGTCGATGTTTTGTTCATATCTTTAGCAGGATCATACAATGTTTTAATGTGAACTAGGAATGACCTACCTCTTGCTCTGTATAATTTAGGGCTCGTTAATATTAAAGTTCCAGACTGCTGACTCATATCAAGGCCGGATGACAATAGTAACGGGCCGGCCAGTATTTCGGCGTTATGCGCTCGCAAATATTCTTCACTATTAACTGGATTTTCTAAAGACGGCATTTCTGCATCTATGACAGGAAAATGTTGTGGTGATTCTGATCTATGACCAAATGACGCATCTTTTTTATAGCCAATTCCATGTAAATTTTGTTTCAATAATGTTACTTGAATAGTCGGCAAATTGACCGGACATGTTGTATGCAATGTAAATCCGAATTCTACGTGAGCTAAAGATACACTATAAGGCAGCGTCAGTTCTAGCACGTGCTCGTCCCAGGTGGAAGAGGTGTTCTGCAGGCGCCAGGTTCTATTGTTCTGATGGTCGGAGCGTGACCGCTGCGCTGGCGACAACTCGCACCAGAAGCCGGGCACCACTGCGCTATAAGGCACTGTTGTGTTTGTACCATAAAACCCTGTCAATGATATTAGAGCCTCAAGATCAGCCAAGTCTAATTCAGTCTTATTGGCAAGGATGACGGGTGCAGAGGTTGGACCACATACCTCATCCCGAGGAGCTTTTTGAAGCATATCAAAATCTATGTTAGCGAATTCATCGTCATCGGTATCTCCCGCAGAATCTTTCTTAGCATTATTTAAAGCATAAAAATATATCATGCCGTGTTTTGTAGATACGCTGAGACGTTCTACTGAAGCGCAGTACACTACTGATGTAAATTGTCCTTTAGGTACTCGTTTCTCTGACAAAATCTTAAACTCTGGAAGCGAGTAAAGCCGCAAACTACCGTCAACGCCGACAGCAGCAAAGGAGTACTGTTCATGTTTATCTATTGGTAAGAGGCAAAGGTCTACAGGACTCTCATTAAAAGGCAATTCTTTCATTGTGACAGGATAATCATCCAAGGTATATATGGAAGTACTTTTTTTAATTTTGTATAATAGGAAATATGCTTTTGCTTCACATTTATCCATCTTATCGCTTGCATCTACAACATCGTCGACATCCATTTTTACGTCGCCGTCACCGTCAACTTCGTCTTCAACCTTAACTTTTTCAGGTTCAACACAAGATATCACTATCAATAAATGCTCCTTATCTTCCGTGGGTAATAAATGCGTAACTTTGGAATCTTCTCTTAGGTTCAATCTGACTGGAAGTAATAGGCATTGGACTGCTATACCTTGAGAAACTACCTCTTCCTGTGGTGGGTCACTATCAAACCCATCATTGTTATTACTGTTACTGATTGCTGTTTGAGTGCCCACCTTGCCAACACCGAATGGCGAGTCTTTACCGAATACCTTGACTTTTTCGGTGCCTTCACCACCATCATACCACTTCAAATCAGATATTTCTAGAGGTCCATTCATGTTGAGATAATGAGTAATAGGATCAGCCTGTTGCAGTACAGCATCAGTTTGGTCAGCAAGTTTAGTACCAACAGATTCCAAGTTAGCACTCTTCCAACTCTTCAATTGGGAAATTTTGCCAACAAAATCCAACATACTGCCTTGACCTGATTCCGGTAGCTCAGGTAGTAATACTGTGGGAGGAGGTGGTGTCAAAACTTTAAAATGTTTCGTGAAGATTATCTTCTTGGGCTCCCAAATTTTGCAATCCTCTTTACTAGACGAGGCATTCAAATTTATTACATTACTTATTTGTTCATCTATGAGGCTGCCAGTACACGGAGGAAGCTCTGTGTCGTCATCTGAATACTGGAAGTATATTTCGTCATATATATTCGCATCATCTGTTCGTGCCACCGTACACACTTTCTTGCTGCCCCCAGGCTTAGAATTGCCACTACTATTTGAGGTATGAATGACAGTAGTTATGGAACCAGCTGAAGAGTTGTGTATATCGTACGTAAGGAGGAACAGCATTTTATTTGTTGATGTAAAGTTGCTCTTGGCTTCATTCTGGTCATTCATTGCTTGGACAGTTTCTTTGGACTTATCCAAACCAGAATCGAAGAGAGCTTTGCTCGAGTCTTCTTTGATGGGCTGGTCTGTAGGTGTGGAATTGGTCCTGGTGATTGTGACGGCACATATGAGGGATGGTTTTGCTTTACTAGTGCTTGTTTCTCTGTCTGTGCTGTCAGTGTTTGCCTGTGGGTAAGCTTCCTGTTTGTTAGTCATACCGATGAATGCCATTGCTGTAAGTTCGATGCCATATGTAGCTGAGAAAACAAGAAATAGATACATATTATGCATTGCATTATAATAAAAACGTAATTATAAAGAAATAGACAATATCTCTTTATCTCTACATTCAAAGTATGAACTATTTAAGCATTATGTAAAATCAAATAAACCTAAATGTTAATTAAACTTTCTAAATATATGAATGGTGAGAAATAGATGTGAAATTAATGTGTAGGGTGTAATTACATATTTGTCCTCTGGGAATAACACTGCTTTTCATAATGCTATTCTCGTATATAGACTTTAATGGGCTATATACATAAAAAATCATAGTATCTAATCAATATATGTACTCACAACTATCCTTCTCCAAACTGGCAGACCACACTTTATTGCAGTCTGCTAATAATACACCACTGAAGATGGAATCGTACGGCGATAGATGGATGAACTTGACAAGTTTGAGTCCACTGTCGAATTTCCATATATTGATCTTGCCTTCTGTTGTGCCCGTAGCAATAAGATCACCAGTGTTACCCTTCGATACCACTGAGACGTTTGGACACGGCACCGCGCAAGCTGTCGCATTTGTGACCTAAAAAGAAATGGTAAAATAAAAAATTATAGCCAAGTCTTTTTATCAGGTGCTTAGAACTCGTAGTACACAACAGCCGATAAAATTACGTATGGACATAATAGAAGAGAAATGACGGGCGATAGGATCTGTGGAAGTAGACGACGTACTGCACGGAGCATAGGTAATGGGATAAGGGGAAGGTAATAATGAATATATATACCTAGCCAAATAAATATATACTTTACAATACATGATACAATTTGTAAATATAGGTTAAAGAAACAAGGTAAGAGCAAAAATTGTTTGCAAATTTAAGTGAGTTCAATCAATGCTTCATTGGTTTTGTTATTTTGTATAACATTTAAAGTACTGTATTAAAACTTTAAATTAATAATAAGAACATTAAAATCATCACATTTAAATCCCCTATTAATAAATATACTCACCAGCTGTGGTCGAACACAGCACTGGCCCGATTTTGAAATCATACTTTGTAATTTAAAAGGTATTAAACTATTGAGTGATTATATTAAGTACCAACACTTACCGACATAGGTACGTTGTGCGTATATTCCCCCCTTACGAAGGGACAGTTAGGCGAGTGTCGTTCATGCTCCACCCAAGGTTCATCCGATTTCTCCCAGCACACCAGGCAGACTAAGCAAGTGAAGCACATGGCGCGGTCATCGCCCGACGGCGACGGCTGGTGGTAGAAACCCGCCTGTGCCATGCGAGCTGGTAACGCCCATCTGAAAAGAATATTATTTTCATTCAAAGTAAAAAAAAATTATAAACCACAGGTAGACGTTAAAAACATATTACGCCGACACTAAATAAATGGAATAAGGAAGAAGCAGATAATTGGTAGACTGTAAAAAGTTGTCTTAGTAGGTACTCTTCTTCAGTCTAATCTCAAAATGAAGTCCAACTTACATTACCTTATTCAACAGCAGCTTATTTTGTAAGCTATGTTTTGGTTGTAGGGTGAGATTAGGCTGTGAAAATACCGAATATGAGGCATGACACATTAATTCACTATTCGGTAGACAAAGCATGAGTGGAGTCATAGGTATTACATAATAACATGATGTTGGTGGTGTTGTTCATGTATCCAGACGGTGGTTGCCATCAGGCGGGCCGTCTGCTTATTTGCCAATACAATCACACAAAAAAATATATATAGAACATTCTGCTAATTAATGCAAATTAAGATTTTTTTATCACTATCACAAATAATCGTTGGCTTAATGAGTATTTTTATTCATATTTAAATTTACTGAAAGACAGACATAAAATATTATTCAATAACTTATCTAATATTTAATGTGCATTCCTATAAAATACTTATTAACTTCAATCTAAATGTTTTTTGAGAAGTGCATTGTTGAAATTAAGTTGTCGGTGTATTATTATATAAATATTGTATTATATACACATTATCTAGACCATTAGCACACCTATCTTAAATTAGACTTCGACACGAGGGTCTATTGGCAGTTACAATGATGTACTGTTCAATTCCCACAATCAATATAAACTGATATCCTTATTTTGTAGTTAAGCGGCATAGTGTGAGCAGTTCAGGTTTATTTATTAATATCTTTGACTTACTTATAGTCCATGTGTGGCCATCTTTTGAAGGTCTCCTTCCGTTCCGCCTCCGAGTACATCAGCGGCCGAGTCTCCTCATCTCGAGAGCAGGACACCAGATCGTTGGCACGTTGTCCCACCGCCGATGCGATAGACAACGCCGGTATCCGTCGATTTTGACCTTTCAATTCTTGGACTACTCCGATTGTGACCAGTCGGATTGTGGACTGTGGCAGGCAAATTGTCACCGTGCTCCACTGTAGAAAACGTTTAGATATTAGTGTACTAGCAGTTAATCACGACTATTTCTGCTTTTATGAGATAAAAGATAGTCCAAACTCGTGATAAAATCAATTTTGAAGCGAAATTTAAGGTACTTTCAATCGTTTAGTCGTGAAAAGTTAATAAACTAACAGACCTCACACATGAACAATTTAAGACAGTGTAGAAATTTCAAATAACGTGTAACTGTTGATATAATAATAAATTTTCGGATTAACGAAAACAATATCTGTATATTTACTGTAATAATAGAGTGAGCTACTAGATCAAAGCGTAAATATTTACGGAAAAACTTTTCAATGAAACTGATATTATGCTCGGATGAGGGAAGACCTTCAGAGACCTTATCTCTGAATAGATGCAAGGATAGTGAAGAATAACTACATCGTTAATTTTATGGCGTGGGCTCCCCTTAATAGATGTTAAATAGTCATACCTTCTGTGCCTTTACCCCCTTCCGCACCGGCTCCGCGTCGATTGAATTCTTGAGCTCATTGACAAAATCTGACAGGCCCTCGATGGAGTGAGCATCTAGACTCTGCAAGCACTGATAGAGCAGTACCGCCTGAAACAAGAAAACAATATGGTTGGAGAGCTAGAAACATGTTCCAGGTTATGGTCGTATTTCTATGGAAACCGAGGCGAGCTGAGTTTGACTAATAAAATAATTTAACACCTGCATATAATAATATATATATATTTTTATAATAAATGACATTACTTCTAAAGGTTGTAGCGTAATATTTTGATTTAGCCTAAACTTCCCCGAGAATTGGTCTATCAAACAAATAATATTGTAAAAGCCATAACAGAATAAAATTACAATGCGTTACGACTGTTTTATCTCCATAATGCGGTAAAAGGCGATTAGGTAAGCAAAGTACAATGAAGCAATAACTGAAAACCTTATACCAATGTGTTTAGAACAAATAATGCAATTTTTATTAACTATTTCAATTAAAAATTTCTTATTTTTAAATATAATGTTATTATATTAACATGAAATAAACAGAAGATATTGTTGTGACTACAATTAAGGAAATTTTGAAATTATATATTGCATGACATAACAAATAGACAAATTCAAATTATTGCTCGAAACTGTACTAGTGAACATTGTTTCTATAAAAATATCGTTTTAGTAGTTTCTGAAGTATACACTGCAATCTGCAGGCAAAGAAAGAAGAAACGAACCTCAGCATTTGGATTTAATTGCTAAAACCTAAAATTTAAAAAAAGATGTGGTCGTTTATTGTTTTCATTAAAAACATGACTAAAAACTAAAGTAACATAAGGTTGTTGTATAATGACTACCTTAATGATAACCGATAAAATTTATCCAAAATACAATTATTAAAATGCATGTCTTTGATTACACATTTCATTTTAAAATTGGTTTAGTAATGATGATAAGTCTTTATATGCTTTCACCTTGATAATAGAAACAACATTGTTTCTATTATATCTGATATCTATCTAATATTAGCAGTTTACACACAAACAGTGTAATACAAAAAGGAAGAGCAAAATTTTATTTGAAAAAAAATTATGGTAAAAGTCTTAACATTCATTGTGCCTGAGCCTAAATATTGGGCTCAGTGATATACTATTTATAATGATTATAAATATATATACATAAACTAGCTGACGCATGCCCACTTCATTAGGTGGTAATTTTTTTTTTATTATTCTTATTCCTGTGTAAGGCAAAAATTATTACTAATATCGCTGTAAATATTAAAGTACTAAAATAGAAAGAAAGAAAGAAAGAAGTTAATAAAAATAAGGGTTGATTGTGGAAGGACGTAAAGTTGTATTAGTTTTTTAAAAAATAAATATATTCGGGGTGAACCACCCTAATCTCTTAGTGGTATGAAAAAAGTTTACATCCTATTTTCAGACCTACTGTATATATATTTATATAATTTAATAAGAATTGGACAAGCCGTTTCAGAGAAGTTTTGTTACAAACATGAAATTTTATATATAATAAACATTTTTAGACTACTTATATGGATATAGTAAAAAGTTGATAATCATATTGTAATAATAAATACACAGACTAGATTTACAGTTGATTAAGTCATTATAATATATGCAATTATTTCATATATACTAAGGATTTATAAAATATAAATGTTATTTTGGTGTATGTACCATATTTATATTTATATGCATGTAGTAAACAACTGTTATTTCAATTTTATAAACATACACTCCAATTTCATTTATATGTATAGTTGCTTAATGTGTGCTTAGGTATTACATTATGTTTATAAATATGTTATTTTATTATATTTATAAAGGATGACATATTTAGGTTTTCGTTTCTTTAAAATATATATTAGAATAGAATGTATGTCTTTATACATATACATATATGTTTTTACAACATGCCTGCACTTCATTTGTCTACTAATTACCACCACTGTCACATTATAGTTAGTTATGTTGGGTGGAAGAGATATCTTTCAAAGATGAGCTGAGATTTTCATATAATAATGATACTTGTGCTTAAAGTATATAATAGGTTTTGTGCAAGTCATAATTTCCATTGCTATCACTACCATGCTTTAATTGATTGTATTAATTTCCTTGTTTCAAACATTACATTATTATATACACATATACTATGTTATAATGATATGTACATTAAATTAAATTTGTATCACTTTATTTAAAAGATCTCAATTTCCAAATGGTCTAGGGCATAGACAATTTATAAATTGATTTCTCTCCATATGATTGCTTAGATTAAGCAATGACTCAACTTAGACTTGACTAAATAGACTGGATAGTTTAAAAATATCACTATGCAATATCCTTTTGAAATTAAATTTGTTTTAAAAACATACATTGTCTGTAATTTAATTACATACATTGTTTGTAATTTAATTACATACATTACAGGATTGCTTATATTAAGCTAAAAAATAGTGATAGTATTTACAAAGCTGTTGATTCTTGAGTGAAATGGAAGTATGTACTTAGTTTTGTAAGCTTTAACATATAAGGTCACATGCATGATCAATGTAGTAAGTAATATTTATTTTCTTATTTTCAGATTTCCATTGTGTTTTGGTGAAAGTGGTTCACTGTTGTATCTAGTCAACATTCAGCTTCATATATTTTATATTACAGTGTTAAATTTATTTCATATTAGAAATTGTTCAACAATGGTATACTACTTACTAAAACCATTGTAATGAATGGAACTATTATATATCAGACAACTAATTAGACTTCACAAGTAAAGTAATAATTTGATTGTATGCAACCATTGTCTGTAACAATGCAATTAAGAATTACCTATTAGGTTCTAGTAGGTAATATATAAAACCCATTACATACCTCAGATAAGACCAGTTCTATTCTAATTATCTTGTCGAGCTGCGAGGAAGGCAGCGGCCGCTGAAGCGCCGTGTGTAGGAGCAGCACTCCATTGTAGTCAGATCGAGAACTGACTCCACTGCTGTCCCACACGAATACTCGATCCGCAGCCGGCGCGTATTCCACGCCAAGTGTACCGCCGTCATCTGAAATCATAACACGATGCCGTCCGGTGAAACTAGAATTTGTGTTTATTGCGAACTGTCAAGCTAAAGAACAATGTAGGACACGATATGATCTTATAACCAATCTAACCCTCCATTTTATATTTTCATGTACATATCACAAAAATAATAAAATAAAAACAGTATTGATAATAATAATTAATGTTAGAAGATAATAGCGTCAGAACTTACCCGCAGAGAGACAAGACGACTGGAGTATCACACCAGAGTTCACATCCAAAACGTGTACACCACCTACGTCAGTCTTCACTAATATTATATTTAAATTACTATGATACGTTAAAGAAGTAACAGGAAAGTTCATACGTATATAACCATCTTCTCGTAATATCAAAGAATCATCGCCCATCGTGGCCGTGAACACATCTGTCTACAACGCCATTTGTAATTTATACTTTTTTATGTCAAAAGTTATAAAGTGGCCAGACACAAAATGTCAAATAGGAATTGTGTCAATGAAAACAAAAATATTGTAGTCTATGGTAATGCGTCCAGAAAAGGTCAATATTCACAAATTCAATATCACACATGCGAAATCAAAGACGAGTCCCAAATTATTATTTATACATTTTGGAGTAAAAACGACAAAAAACAGAATATATCTCCAATTATTTTTTTGTACGTTGATAATATTCAGGAATAGCAAAACTTTATATATTTTGTGTAAATGGTAGAAATATTTTTATAAATCAATTGCACTTGCTCTTAAAGCTCCTCAACTGAAATCAACAGTTGCAGTAAATATACTAAAAGGGCTGCAGTTCAAGTGCAAGTGTGCCAGCATTGCTGTGACAAAGGATTTATAGTAATAAGCCTTCACAATTCACATGCTGTGCATCTAGTCTTCTAGTGCCAAAATAAACACAGCTTGTGTTCCGAGTACTAGACAACTGATTGAAATACTTAAATATCCTTAATGTCTAAACTTAACCATCTTCCCTATAACATGTAATGATGGTCTTTATGGTCTAGCGGTTTAGCACACCGTTTTACTTTCGATGGTCCTGGGTTTGATTTCCGGAACCACTTATTATTTATTCATGTGTATTGATCTGGCCTCTGGTACCTTAACCTAACTTAGGTTTAATTGCGATTTAAAAAGATGTAACCAACATCGATTACTTACTTATTCACTTTGGGCAAGGTGTCATGCAATTTACTATATAAAATCCTGTGTTGGTCGAATAGCTATTAATTCGGTAATGATGATATGCTATGAACTATGAACTCAATTACTTCTTTAAAAGAATTGTTTTCTTCACAAAAGTTATTTATTGCTCTGACTGGTAGGGAGACTGGAAGCACCAATAAGAAGAGGACAATTCTTCAAACTTACACAATTGTATTAGTATCACAGAACACCAATATTTGAATTAGTATACTTTATCGAATGGGATATTGAAACTTCACATGAAAATAAAAGAAATAAAATTAGAAAATTTTAATATTCATAAATAATACAAAAAATATACGCCCACATATGGGTATTTGTTCTTTCACTTAACACTAACATCTGAAAATGAAACAATAAATAAATTCTGATTATAAATAAAAACTGGACAGAATATTACAATACTGTAAATTTTGTCATCTAAATAGATATCATATTTTTATTATCATATATATTTTTGAAACAATTGAGACCTATTTTTTTATGTAATTGGTATGGTAAACAAACCAATGGTCCATCTAATGATATGCTGCAACCATCACTTAACATAAACATTGCCATGGAGAAAGTTATCATGTGATTCTTGACCAATGATGGGTTGCAATTATGGAGGATTAAGATGTCATGCCTCTTAATCTGTGATTTCACTGCATTAACTTTACCCTTCAGCTCTAAATAATGCGACTGAATGTCAACGCAACATTCTGGGGAAAGTGCAGATAGTTGTCATTGAAACGAAAGACGAAGCCGAAACCTTTATAAAGCAAACTATTTGGCGGCTAAAAACTAAATAAATACTAAGAATGAGTATCTCAGTCTCTATTTCAGCACCAAGCAGACCACTTTTTACAAATTTTACCACGTTCTAATAATACAATCGTAACACATAAACAAACGACTTTTCTTACTTTACAGAGATGACTATTTCTATAACAATACAATACACATATGAGCTTTTCAGTAGGTACTTTTCCGTAGTGACAATATTGATAAAACATGTATACAAAACACCTATATCACAACCAGAAACAAATGAGTATTATTACATATTAAAGCCCGACACACAAAAAAACTGTTATAGCGTAATTGTAAATATCACCGTAGCTTCGAAAACAAATCTACCAAATATAATTAAAAATTTGTTCGTAAGTACTTGTGTCTTGGTTTTTTGTGTAATACCATTTTTAAAGGATTTTTTTAAATTTTTTACTAAAATATTAAATAAATTTATTGTAATCTTTTAACCTATAAATGCAACATTTCTATAATACTTCTTATTAATGATTATTGAGCAGATCATTAAAATTCCCATGACTCGAGCCATTTCAAACCGGCCATGGTAGAGTTTGGTTCGTGTGCGAGCGGGCCGCTCATGCCGTACGCTAGAGGGGAAAACAGGTAGAAACTGTACACTGTGGTAGACACCGCTACTCCCATCACGCAGTGGTACATGGTACGCCCGATTTCAGTGCTTAAGTAGCTCTTTATACTGGTCAGCAGGTATTCTGTTAAGATACCTGTAAAGAGAACAAATAAGTAATTCAATTGCGTTTCTTGCTAATTCTTCTCAATTGAATCTATATACTGAACTAGATGGTAGGGAAAAAATTATAATATAAAAAAATTTACATTCATAAGTGGCCTACATGAATAAATTATTTTTGAATTTGAGAAAGGTTCAGTTAAAATTGTATGCTCTTATCATCACAAATCATCAACTGTTCCGAATTGTTTACTTTTCTTTGATTAATTGAATTTAAGGAATTACTGGATCCAATAAAAAAATACTTTTATTGTTGGGTACCGGGACTGTCAGTAATTGAACTGGTGACCCCATTGCTAGCAATATACTATGTCAGGTTCACATTCACGTCCACGTGGTTCCTACTGGAAACCACCACAATAAATTCCTGGTGAATTTGTCACAATGGGTCACTTAAGACCTGACTTCATGTTCGTCTTATTATTCTTAACTGAAGTTCCGCCAGCGTATATCGTACGTAACTCAATTACTATTTCTTACAGTGGTAACAATCTTACGGAATAACCACGTAATGCTATTTTGCATGCATGGTGTATGAATGATGTAAGTTGAAGCATACCTGTGATCATAGAACTGAACACGAGAGCTGGGAAGTAATGGTGGAAGTAGAGCACGCGCCCCATCGCCCAGAACGGCACGTAATGTAGCGCCCACCCGGCGAAGCACCAGCCGGCAGCGTTCAGCAATCTTCTTTCTTTGCCATCTGTATAAAATATAATATACATATCCTCTTATTATTACATTATGTTATCATAGATTAGCATTTCGCCTTGGTTTCGGACGGGTGCAAAGATTGTATGAATCTCATAAATATAGAAAAAAAAATGTAAATAACCAATTTTATCACATTAATGAATACATGACAAAGTTTAAACTAAAATTTACCTTAATGTTTACTATAGATCAGTAAAATTTTAGATTAAGCCATGTTTTGTCACCAGTTTTGTCGAAATATATAAAAATAAATCCGCAAATACGTGACTAATAATATTCAGAATGTAATATTGATTTAAGTTGTTGGGAAAGCGATGAAAACATTAAAAAACGGGTCTTAAAAAGCCTTTTATCAAAACAACTCGATAACAGTAATAATATGAAAAAATGTTTTAAATAAAAGTTGTAGAGAAAAAAAAATTTGCACAAAAAAGCTCCTCTTAATTTTTTCATTATCTGCTGTTGTTTAGTCACAAAAATTCTCTCAAAAACTACTGAACGGAAACTTTACAGTAAGCTAATACATGAGAATAACATATAGGCTATAAATTTCACGCGGGTAAAACCGCGGGGACAGCTAGTTCTTAATATGCCGTGGCCGGTAGCTGATTAGTATTAATAATTATTAACTATAAGTCTGGAGTAAGTTACCTTGTAAATGAATGCCGAGTGCTTCCGCCCTTTTATCCCGTATGGAATTGATAACATATATCATTATGAATATGACGAGGAAGACTAGATTTCCCCACCACACCACTGGGTTCCCGAGTAGGTAGATTCTATGAGCGCTACCGGAAAAGAATTGACCCTGAAAATAAACAATACATAAATAACTTTCTAAAATATTTTATAGCGCCAAATAGTCACAAATTAAGGACATTGGACATTAACACCAAATCTATATTACGAACTGTTTAACAGAGACTAGACTAACATGCTTAGGTGAGGGAAGGAATGAATGGTAAAAGTATTAATTTCAAAAACTTATACTGATGATTACATTTTATATAAACAACAATAAAAGATATATTAATAATAATATAAATTAGTATATCTTACTAAGCTCTTTGCTGTAGGTTTCAAATTATAAGTCGTGCGTTAGAACCTAGACCTTTTTCTTTTATTTAATTATCGTATCGGTCGAGTTTACTACAATAACATGATTAAAAATGTAATCAAAGGAATAACAAATTCGCGGACAAAGTCGCGATCATAAACTAGTTAATAAATAATAGAAAGAATAGCAGTCACACAAAGAGGCATTGTTTGAAAGACCTACGTGCAAAAGATTCTGGTGAAGAATATCTGGTAAAGAAGAGTAATATTGACACCTGAATATTGTTACTGTAGAAAAATGACGCGACGATTAAAATCATATTTTATTTATTTCCATAAATTTGATGATTGTTCAAAATGACTTATTTGACAGTTGATGTTGACTGTCATATATTCGTGACAGTAACAAATTCCGTATACGACACTGATGTTAACTTGATTTTAGTGATTATGTTTGCTTATTGTCAAGTTTACTACATACATATATGAGTGAAAATACGTACCCTATAATTGATAGGCCACTGCCAAGGTTGCGAGGTGACCTCGCCCTCTTTTGGTTTAAGGCCTGCATTCCCTTGAAACATGACTGCATGCGACTCTATGAATCGTTCCACAAAACCCGATGCATACGCTTCAAAACTCACTTTTGGCACTGTAATAAAAAGTTATTAAATAGTCCAATGTGGATGAATGTTTTGACATTTTAGTGTTTAATGTGAAGATATATAGAAATATAAACTAAGATTGCATAAAACACTTATCTGTTAAAATATGATACCATATGGAACTAACAAAGGTAAGCTCTAAAAGAAAAAAGTATAAAGTTTCCCTCTCACTTAAGGTAAAAAACCATAATCACTCAAACAATGCAAAAATCTCTTTCTCCTTGAAGTTGGTTTAAAAGAAAGAAAAATATTTACTAACAATCCTCGAATATATTATCCTCGACGTTCCATAGAGCATTTTTGTCTCTTAAGTTAGGATTGCAAGCGACTTCTTGCTGCTCATACCCCCATTTAGGCAGTTGCTTGCCTGTGGTTGTGAGAACACATGCCTGCAAAAATATGTATATAAAATTTTATGTTGAAAGTTCCAAATTAAAAATATATAAAAAATAAAGTAATCTAAACTTGGCGCTATTTTTGTGTATTATCTTATCATGATATACAAATAGTAATGTTTAATTTTTTTAACAACATATTTGCATATCGTCAATGTGACTCATCATTACCTACTATAATCTTAGACGTAATTGAGAGAGATCTTGCCAGCTCGACGTCAAGATAAAATCAACTGAATCAATTGACATTGGTATAAAACCGCCACAAAAAGTAGTGAACAAATTTGAAATAAAAATAAACTATTAAAATTGTTACTTTTAGTACAGATATAATGTATCATAAACAGTTTAATGAGATTTTATATAATTCCTACTGGGTTTACCTGCAGATAATGTACTATCATCAACCGGCTCCTTACTGTTTGCACTTCTTCACCGTCCTTGGCGCCAGATATTATAATCTTCCACACATCATTTGCATCACCAACACCATCCTAAAATTTTAATAATATTGTAACTCCTCATAATATGATGATGATGATGTTATTTTTTATGTTCATGAACCATTATATTCAAAACATTACTTCAATGTTCTTCATTTCAGAAGCCATAACACGGCGATTTCTTTTGGTAATCGGTTATATGTAAATCATTAGGTTTAGCAGTCCCTGCTAAAAATTTTTATCAGCCATTTTTTTGTATAACAACCTTGTCTCTAATTCTTGTGTTATATTTATGTATATCTCAGTTTCAGATAACGCGTTATATATAAAACATTGACGTTTAACTTATCTCGCTAAAGGGGACTTAAATAGAATATTAAGAAGAAACTATAACGTGAACGAAATATGTATGTTTTATTAAAATCAAACTAAACTAAGAAAATTTGAACAAATTTTAGTAGGTATATGAACTAATAAAACTAATTATGAACTGTACAAATCATTATACATTTCACAGTACAAAAATATAATATAGGGATATCCCCGCGTAATATGAAAATGCATTAAAAGAGTACCGTGTTAAATTAAGTGAAAGGTAGACCCAAAATTCCTCCTACAAGAAGTTATGTCGACATATATTGAAAACTCTTTACACAACTAACCTCCCCGTAGCCGGTGACCTGCATGCATTTGGTGGTGATGGGAGCGCGTTCTCGGTGCGAGTGGAGGTTGCGGCCGGTGGTGAGGTGCGTGAACCGCACCAGGTCTCCGCTGCGGACCACCACCACGCCATCTGCCGCCTCACGGTCGAAGGGCTTGATTATCCAGCGGTTGTTCTCGTCTTTGTGGGTGTATGTTGTTATCTGTATTACGTACAGACTTAAAATAAATAATCATAATATTAATATGTGAAGCAAAAACTTTGTAACCCCTTTTACTAAAATTGTACGGACGGAGTAATATAAAATTTCGCACAAATAGTTTATATAGAGAAGGCGTGTAGAATGCATTTTTTTAAATTATTCATAAAAATAAATTAAACAAATAAAGTCCCAATACCCAGTCCGCCTCTTGTACCTTGTTTTGTTTTTGTAAATTATGAAATATAATGGATATGCCATATACAAATATGCCAAGGTACAAGAGGCGGTCTTGTCAGTCAATTTTTTTTTTAATGAAGAAATATTGGAGGATTAATTTGATTTTGTTTAAATATAATTATTACATCATAGTACTTTTTTATTAAATAAAGAAATTATACAATGATCTCTCATGAAATGCCAGATGCGTAATAAGTAAGACAGTAATACCTGTTGCTGTCTCGCTCCCACTCCAGCCGGGAACAAGTGATGGTGAGAATGGAGATATCCACCACCCGTGCGATGGTTTTTGAGCGTAATTTGCGCCCCATAAGCTACCAGCTTGGGTGCGCTCGCGTTGTGTAAGCTGTTACCTTGTAACCGCGCTTGGAAGCCTGATGAGTAGAAACCATCCCCATTGCCACTGTACCAATAAAAATAAACAATTATTTACTCGCTATAGCAGACATGAATTTTGTATAAAAGGTGATTTTTATACAAAATTCATGTCTGCTACAAAATGCCTGCATTTTAAATGTATTTGAGATATATGAAAACGAAATGATTATATTTGTTTGCAATTAATTGTAGCCTCAAAAAATAGTTAACCGATTTCTAAAAAAAATACTATACAATATATGAGCTCTCTGTATAATTAGTTATTAAAAATAAAATATTTCATGCTAAAAAATCAAGGACATAATTATAAGTTACGTTCTTACCTTTTACTGAGAACAGTCAAATGAATCCAGAAGAAGAAAACATAGAGCATACCAGGGAAAATTATTAGTGTTATACTTCTTCCTATTAAATGTTTTATTGTTAAACTCTGGAAGGAAAATAAATACATTAGTAAAAGTTATTATTATACTATAACTGTAGTTTTAAAAATTTACTGGCTCTTATTGATCGTGCTAAGTGAACAACAGTGAAAAATAGTTAGGTATAAGAAGAAGACGTTATAAGAAGTACGTAAGTTAAGTTATACCTAAGCGGGATCGATCAGAGGGACCAACCAAGGCCGCCGGTGTAGTGCCCGGACGCGCGAGGAGGGTAGTAGGTAGTAATGCCCTTTACTAATTATACGGTCTACCCTCTACACATCCGGGCACCCTATACAGGCGTCCCCGTTCGCTCCTCGGATCGATCCCCCGTCCAATTTATATGGTAATTAAAATTATGACAGCTTGAGCCGAGGTTCGAACCCCTATCGTTAGGTGAAGCTGTAAAGGCCAGTTGTGACCAACAGTATTAGAATATTTCAAAAAAAACCCTCTTCCCTTTCAAAGACTGTCGAAAAAAAATCTTACAACAGGCTTCTGCAGATCGCCAAGCACATTCCACAGATCCGCCACAGTCCTCAAACCGACAAACAGAACGACGAACAGTCCTACAAACTTCACCGATATTGTGCAAGCTAGCGACGCCCCCAGGAACGTCTGCCATGCAAGCATCCGGGTGGAGAAAGGGCCATATCCTTCGTCAGTAAGTGACCGCACCTAAGATCAGAAAACATTCTTACTTATATATTATGACGTAGAGTTTCACAGCTATTTTTTACAGCATAGCAAGTTTGCGGCTCCATGATGGTAAGTAATTAGCGCCGCCCATGAGCACCCGCAACACAGAGGAAGTGAGTTGCCAGTCTTTTAAGAAAGAATAAGCTTACTTCGGCGTTAAATAAATTGTTTTGAAATGGAATAAATTATACACATGAACAGTATCTATATATACGTCGTCGTCAAGTTGCACTCCCGCCTACTCCGGAAACGGACAACCGTACCAGTGGACAAAATAGCTATACTGTAATTTCACTCTTCAACTGAAATAGAACTTGCTTAGCCTACAGACACACAGGCCATAGAGACAGAGAGCACTTTTGAATAGTCATAACAATTTGTTTTTTATTTACCACTCGTTTGGAAAGTTGTATCATCACAAGAAGAAAGAGCAAGAAACTTGTATGTTGCTCTTTTATCTAATCCTTGTAAGTTTACATTTATAAGTCGAAATGTGTGAATACACAGCACTAATTTGAATTATAAGACTTAATTGCACTTACCTTAAATGCTCCAAAAATAGAACAACTCATGAAAAATAGTAGAATTGGATCCAACAAGATGTATCTGTTTAATGTCAAGAAGCCCACATCTGAAAAAAACAAAAATTAATCACTTATTAAAAAAAAAATCACTTATTAAAAATTAAACAACATTGTTCTTTAATTTTTAATAAGTGATTCTTTTTTAAATTTGGAATTGTAAAATTCCTTTGAAGAAATCTAATCTTATAAATATTATAAGTGTCTATTAAAAAAGACATTCAGGATCTGGATGGATTTGAATGATGCATAGTTAGAAAATATCATTAAATTATAGTTTAGCACATTTTATAATTGTATTTTACAGATACAGGTCTCATGCCTAGTTCAATTCCAAGCTCATACAATCACAAATTGCTTACATTATATATATAATTTTAAGACCTGTGTATGATTATGGCTTAATAAAAATGTTATAATAATTTTGTTTGTTATTGTAACTTTACATTTTTATCTTATATATCAATAACTTACCACACAGTAATAGAAGGGTTCCTAAAAACGTAGAATCAAGAGATTTAGTCATTTCCCAAATAGTTAGAAATGTTAGAGGTATAATTAAAGCTCCCAATGTTGTGCAGAACTGAAATAAAGAAGAATTTAAAATATTATCATATCAAAATTCTATGTTGAACAATAGGTACTTGTTACACATCAATTCACTGAAAAGTAAAATTAGTTCCAAATATAATTAATAAGTAAAGGCTTGAAATTAAAGAAAAAAAAGAATTTTATATATTCATATCTACTTTAATAATAATATGGTCAATTTTAATGACAAATTGTCAGGTCTAGAAAAGGTAAATGAAATAAATAAAAAAAAATAGTGATACCATTCTCATTCCCTCATATCTGGCATCATCATATTTGTCTCCTGGCTTTTCAAATGGAAATGTTCCATCATAACCAGTCAATTTTCCTGACAGTGCTATGAGCATCTAAAAAAATCAATAAACTTATTACAATAGAGCACTACACTAAGATTATGTTATACATTCTTAAAAAAGTGAGTACAGTGAGTAGTGCTATACCTATTTTATACACTATTTTGATATATGAATTTCGAAATTAGTTTTATTTAATTTATTTAAACATAATATAATACATCATACAAAAACAAATACACCATAATTTACTTTATATTTCCATTGCAGTAGCTGTTTATGTAATCACACAGTACAAACACAAATACAAATTGTAGGAATCCAACAGTCATAGTGTTACAGTCTGTATGTATAGATTACTCTAAAACCTGAGTTTTTTATGCACATAAAGAAATAATTCATCAATTTTTTAATTACCTTACCAAGTGGAGGGTGAACATCAAAGAAAAATGTTCTATTTATATACCAGCTAGCCATTTTACCAAAATGTGTTTCATCCCAACTGAAAATTAAAATATAGTGATTAAGTGGCTTATTATTATCTTTGATGATTGCATGCATAGAACTTCAAAAACAATGAAACAACATGAGTGGTTATTATAAAATGATGTGTTATATATTATTAAAACACCTATATACAGACATATATGTAGTGCTAAACTGCTAGACCAACGAGGCCATCAAAATAATTAATATTATCATACCGCAATCATACAATGTGTACAAGTTTAACATACATATGCAATTAGTGGTTGAAAAAGTATATAGCCATTTTTTTACATCAGTTAGTCATAGTTCATGACTATGTACACTTAATACATAGTCCAGAACAGAGTCTAGTCCAAGTAAAAGATATTGACTTACCAAATATGATCAGGTTCCAAAACTTTATAAAATCTAGTTAAAAAAGTCACTCCACATATTAAAGCAAAGGCGGTCCACCATCTACAAAAAAAATTAAATTCATTTTAATAAATTATTTTTGATATTTTCTCTTATTCTATAAATAGCAAAGAAATATTGATTTATATTACATTTTCCTATAGCATAGTTAGGCTTATTTAGATATTATTATCATGTATTATAAACCTATGACATTGTGACATTTAAAGATTTACTGTGTATGCTCTCTATAGATGTTGTACAAACCTCCTATTATTTATAAATAATCACTGTTTAAAAGTATATGTATAATAAAACACCTCAACATACAAGAAATTAAAATGGATATAAATCCTTTTGCATAAATTGTAAATAGCTCCAATTTTAAAATTCATCATTATGGTATATTTATTAAAAATATACCATAATGTTGAATCTTAACAATAATAAAAATATTAATTAGTTTTTTTTATTAAATTATATAGTAAGTAACATACCTACAAATATAAAAGCTGAATATTCTATGTTTTGTGTGTGCATTACAGTATGTATATTATGAATAACATATCGACAGACAGCAGTTTTGCAGAATAAAGATTGTAAACATTGGAAAAACAAAGCTAATTTTTATTATAACAAACAAAGTTAATTATCTGTCTATATATACATATATTGAATTTTTTTTGGAGGTTAGTTCAGAATAAATACATTTAGTTTACTAAATTTACTACTTAATTTTATTTTAATTTACTACTACTTTAAAAGAATTTTTCTATTCAAATCAGTAGTTCCTGAGATTAGTGAGTTCAAACAAACAAATTCTTCAGCTTTATAATATTAGTATAAATAAAAATAAAAAATAACAATTACTAACATTTTATAATTTGGTGACGTCGACGTAATTTTTGGTTTCTTTGCAGACATAATATATAATTTTCGGAAAATAAGATTTCAATATGAGAGTAGAAGTATAGTTATAAGAAGTAGGTCGTGCGTAAACTAGTGGACAATTTCGTGCATATTATATTTTAAAGAGGTTTCTTAATTTGATGAAAGATCTATACCATTAAGTATCAAGTATTTGTAAAAATAATCTAATATAAAATATGGAAAAAACTTTTTACAAAATTTAAAGTTTTCAAACAAAAAGTCATTTAATGAATATAAAAGAAATGTCAGATATATTATTATGACTGTCATTGTCTTCGTTATGTCAGCCAGTGTTTCGGTGATATTGAATGACATCCCTAAGCCACAGCTAACAATTCCCAATGACTCTCGAACTTGGTGAAATCATTGATCAAAATTAAGCAATATAAAATAATGTTTGCATGAAACAATGTTTTAATTATGGCATATCTGCAAGAAATTGTTTGAATAGAAGAGTTTTTGAAAATTATGTTCCCTTATCTGTACCCGCCATGATAAGTTTAATTTGTCTGAAACTGTTCCAAACTTATTTGACAAAAAAATTAATAGTGATTGCTTTAATTTAATTAGTTTTTATAAGTAGTGTCAAATTAACTTTAATAAACACGTGAAAATATGACATAAAAAGATTTCATCCCTGATCCAGATTGTATGTATATAATAAAAGTTTGGTGGATATTTTCAAATAGTTGTGAATTAAAAAAAAATGTTGGAAAATTCAAATATTTTGTTTACCGTCAAACTCCCTATATTGACGTTAAAAAAACTTTTGGTTTTTAATCACGTCCGCATCAGCTGATGATATTTAAACGGTTAAAAAGCTCAGTTTATAAAATAAAATAGCATTGAAGACTTCATTTATATACTTTCTTTTTAACAAAAAAGGCGTTTTCTGAATTGCATAGACAGGACCCCTGTTTATGAGTATGGTAATTTAGTCCCCATTAAAAAGAGCAAAGTTAGTATACTAACTAATTATGTATATTAAGAATTGTTGTTCTTAAGGTACATCCGTACGGTATATCAGTTGTCATTTTATTTAATAGTACGACACTACGACTGTAGCAAAGAGTAAAGTATAGGGATAAACAGTACTATTGGCAAAAAACCCTGGTTTATTCAGGGAAAAATATTTTTAGAGAGAAGGTTTTATACTCAAATTTGTAGACTGAGATTTGAACATTGTAAATTCAATGCACATTTACACCGAATGAAGATCATTCATTCTCCGATTTGTCTTTTATGCTCTAGTAACGAAAATCAAACATTAGAACTATTCAAATGCACTGCAACTTTTAAACCAATTTTCGACTTCATCATAACAACTATCGTAGAATTATAAACATTTCAATTATGGACACATACATGGACTTAACACAAACTTATAATTAATGAAAAGATTTGGCGATATCGCCTTGAAGAAATTTTTGAATTTCATGGAAATACTACTGAAGATTAGGCTGTGTGGTCTCGTACCTTTGCCTATCCACTTGTGGATAAAATATACCACTACTACTAGAGTAAAGTATACAGTAGTTAGAAAGCGCGGGAAACGCTCAAAACGCCGGGAGTGTTTTTTGGATTTCTTTTTGTTTAATTTAATTTTACTATATATAAGGATTAGTTTTATTTATATATTGTAGACTAGATTAATTGTTTAATTATATATTTATTAATAGTAGTAGCAGTTGCTGCAAATATTGGTAAGTAATTTTAATATATAATATCTATTGAGAATGGACCCGCCTATAGACCCCGGGGGAACAGTCCCCCAGGTGTCTGCAAATATAAATATTCCATTTAACAATTCTTTTGATATTTTATGTGAATCTAGTATGGATACTGATGGGTCTAATATTACAACCACAAAACGTAAGCGAGTAAAGGGCGAACGCCGCATTTGCAAACACTGCAATAAAAAGCGTAGGAGACATCAAAAAGGTACCGAGACAAAATTAAAAGACAGTGACTGTCAATGTGTCGAAGAGGAAAAAAATAATTTAGAAATAATACCTGTAATTGACAATCAAAATTCAGATGTAATACCAGTAGTTGAAAATAATAATACATCCAAAAAAGCCACTCCTTCACCCACTTCTGTAAATAGGACTTTGTACAATACTGAAGATGTAGCACTTTTTGTAGTTCATGTTAAAAAAAATGAAACAAATCCTACAGATAATGTAACATTACACCCCATCGCATTTGGTTGGTTTTTACATACAAATAAGATTTATAATGTTGTGAATGGCAGCCTCAAAAGAATAGGAAGAAACAGATTGGCTCTTGCTTTTTCAAACTTTTTAGATGCTAACTCTTTTTTAAACCACAGTAGTTTAATTGCCTATAATTATAATGCATTTATTCCTTCTTTTAATGTGACCCGCATGGGTATTGTAAGAGGTATTCCTAAAGACTGGACAGATGATGAAGTAATTAGCAATATTTCAGTACCTATAGGTTGTGGAAAAATTTTAAAAATACGTAGAATAAAAAAAAAAGACTATAAATGAGGGAGAAACGAACTTTATTAACACTGAAACAGTTGTTATAACATTTGATGGGCAAATTTTGCCAAAAAGAGTATTTATGTTTTATACATCATTAACTGTAGATCTATACATTTATCCAACCATACAGTGCTACAATTGTTGTAGATTTGGACATGTTAAGATGCAGTGTCGTTCAAATCCAAGGTGTTATAAGTGCAAACAAAGTCATACTGGTGATAAATGTGAAGCAGATGAAGACGGAATATGCTGTATTCTATGTAATGGTTCTCATTTCGCTATTAGTAAGAAGTGTCCTGAATATTCCCGCCAAAAAGCTATTAAAGAAACCATGGCTCACAGCTGTGTTTCATATGCTGAAGCTATGAAATTTCATCCTCCAACCAGTAAATTATACTCAGATGTATTAACATCGCCACCACCTTCATCTATTAAACCACATATCCAATCTTCTCCACAAAAAGACAAATCAGGCCATACTCAATCTTCTTATAAAAAAACTGTTACGCTTAAACCACGTTCACCACAGAAACCACAACGCGGATATGATCGTTCTGCTCATGAGGCCTTAATTAATGAATATAACATTCCTGCTCCCTCAAATGGCTGTGCACTAAGTAATAATAATAATACTAATAATCAATCAGTTGCTGATATTATATTTATGTTAATTAAATTCTTGACGCAATCTAATATGACACAAACCAATTTTCACCGTCCAACGCTGCCAACCTGAATGTTATATCTCAAATTTTATCAACTCACAATGGACAACAAAGCCCACATTATTCAGTGGAACTGTCGTAGCATAACAAATAAGAAATCTGATCTATTTTATTTGATAAACAATTTTTCCCCTTTCATTATAGCTCTTCAAGAGACATGGTTAAAACCTGGATATCCATTTAAGATTCCAGGTTACTCATGTTTTCGTGATGATAGAGCTGACGGATATGGCGGTGTTGCCATATTGGTCAAAAACTCCCTTTCATATTTATTATTTTCCCTTCCTTCATTTAATGGAATTAATGCTATTGCATTAATAGTAAATAGTATTTGTTTTGTTAGTTTATATATTCCTACCCCCTCTTCTCAATTATATTCAGAATTAGAAAAAATTATATCTATTTTACCTATACCTTTTCTTATTATGGGTGATTTTAATGCCCAACATCAATCGTGGGGCAGTACCACCTCTAATTATTACGGTGAGAAAATTATAAGTATAATCGACAGTCATAACTTATGTATAGTTAACTCGGGTGTACCAACACGTAGAACTGGCCCAAATGAAGGTGTTAGCGTCCCTGATATTTCTCTGTGTTCTTCTAATTTAGCTTCTTCGTTTTCGTGGTCTCCTCACTACTCATCATTCGGAAGTGATCACTTCCCCCTTATTTTATCTTTACCTCATTCCATTCCTCCAAATCGGAAAACCGGTCCTCGTCTTAAATATAACTTAATGAATGCAGATTGGGTGACGTTTAAACAATATGTAGGCAATAGGATTTCAAAACTACCTCCTGTTTCTCACGGAAATGAGCACCAATGTTCGAATAGTTTAGTAATGGTTATGAAGGAAGTTGCTGATATGCTATTTCCTATAAAAAATAGTGCTTCAGGAAAAATTCCATCCCCTCCTTGGTGGGATAAAGAATGTACAGACGTCATTAAACAGCGTAAGGAAGCTGAAAAGAATTATAACAAGTATATGACATCAGAAAACTATGAAATTTATTGTGAAATATCTCGTTCCACCCGGAAACTACTAAAAAAAAGAAGTTGGAAGGTTGGAGAAAGTTTTGTTCCTCAATCTGTCCCGAAGTTAACCTCTCTGTCGTTTGGAATAATATTAAAAGATTTAGATCTGTATATACCGGACACACATCGCTTTCCATAATGGATTCAAAATTAGCAGACGAATTTTTAGACCGCCTTGCACCTAGTTACGTTCCAGAATATCATAATCAGCTTTCTCCACCAACCCAATTATCGAAACTCGATTCCCCTTTTAGTTTTATTGAATTTAAAGGGGTATTATCACATATTAAAGATTCTGCACCGGGAGAGGACGGTATACCGTACTCATTTTTTAAAAATTCTAATGATACAACACTAGTTTACTTTTTAGATTTAATTAATTCAGTAATGATATCCGGTAAGATACCTCCGTCATGGAAATCACAAATTATTATACCGTTTCTGAAACCTAATAAACCACCTTCGGAGCCCTCTTCTTATCGCCCTATAGCACTTTCATCGGTATTACTGAAATTGGCTGAACACTTGGTGAAAAATCGTCTGGAGTGGTTTGTAGAAAGTAATAACTTACTTTCACCAAACCAGTTTGGATTTAGGAAGGGTAGAGGTACGTTAGATAATGTTAGTATTTTAACCTCAGATATTCACATAGCATTTTCGCAAAATGTGTCGATTTTATCAGCTTTCTTGGATATTAGTTCTGCCTATGACAACGTCCTAATTACAATTCTTAGAACTAAATTGATAGCCTTGAATATTCCATTTATGCTTGCTAATTTTATTATTAATATTTTGTCAGAGAGAACAATAAAATTGGATTTAGGTGATGATAACAAACTATCCAGATCAGTATGGAAAGGTCTGCCTCAGGGATCAGTACTTAGTCCAATTTTATTTAATATATATACATATGACCTTGAAACATCTCTTAGCAAATCCGTTAAAGTATTGCAATACGCGGATGACCTATTAATTTATTTAATAGATCATTCAATTCAATCTGCCTGTCAAAAATTGTCTGATAATCTTGACTTGTTGAAATTATGGTTAGATGCAAATGGTCTCGAACTTTCTGTATCGAAAAGTAGTGTAGTACTATTTACAAGAATGCGATCACCACCGCAAGTTAAGGTTTTCTATGATAGTTGTTACATCCCGGTTAAAACAGATTAAATTTTTAGGCATCGTCTTAGATAATAAATTAACTGGTTTATCCCACTGTAATTATATTTCTGCTAAATGCGAACGAAATCTAAATATTCTTAGATGTCTAGCAGGTGTATGGTGGGGAGCACATCCGTATTCTTTAAAACTAGCGTATAATGGCCTTATAAGGAGCGTCCTTGATTATGGAACTTTTTTGTTAGCGCCGGGAAGTTCTTTTGCCTTTAAGAAACTGGACCTAATACAATCCAAAGCTTTGAGAATTATATCCGGAGCAATGAAATCAAGCCCAATCAATGCTTTACAGGTTGAAATTGTAGATCCACCTCTAGATTTAAGAAGACAATATCTAGCTGATCGTTTTCATGTTCGCTGCTTACAGTTGTCTAACCATCCACTTATCTTAAAACTTACACAAATACATCAGTATGTTACCTCATCTTCTTATTGGATACACAAAAAACCTCCATGTTTAATAAAAAGCTTTGAAAAATATAAAGGAATATCTGCACCAATGTTTACTTCCTCTTGTTCTCCAGTCTATAAATGCTCATATGAATCTCTGAATTTATGCCCTAACATTTATTATGACATAGGAATTTACAAAAATGATACGGAACAGGCAGCTAAATTCTAATTTATAATAGACACACAATTGAATGGATGGCATTGCATTTTCACAGACGCCTCAAAATCAAATAATTGTAGTTGTGTAGGTGTTGGTGTATTTCACGTGCAGTATAATATCGTTCAAAAAATTAAACTTCCACCAGAGTCATCAGTGTTTACTGGGGAATGTATGGGTATTTTAAAAGCAATAGAATATGTACATATAATGAAATTACAAAAAGCAATCATTTTTACTGACTCAATGTCTTCACTACAAGCGTTAGCCAAATATCATTTAAAATCGAAATCAATTCATTCTATTATTTACGATATACGAGAAAAACTTCAACTTTGTACATTAAAAGAATATTCCGTTTCTTTTGCTTGGCTACCGGGACATTCTGGTATTCCAGGAAATAATAGGGCAGACCAAATTGCGAAGGAAGCTGTGCTTTGTGGAGATATGTTTCCTTATAAAAACTATTACAATGACCTAGCGTGTCTTCCAAAGTTGTATCTTAATAAATCTTGGAAGGAATATTGGCAGAACAGTAGTAAAATGAAAGGAAACCTTTACTGTCAGGTACAACCCGACATTCCTATAAAGCCCTGGTTTTGTGGGATAAAGCTCGGGAAGACCGCGACAACTATATTAACTCGTATGCGTCTTGGTCACGTGTGCACACCGTCTCACCTTTATAAACTTGGTATTGTAGAAAGTTCCTGTTGTACCTGCGGTACTGAAGTGGCTGATCTAAATCACATTTTTTTCTCATGTCCGGATCTTGATCACTCCTCCTTTTTAAAACATCTCAGATCCATCCGTATCCCTTTCCCTACCTCTACTACAACTCTTCTTTTTTCCAATGATCCTATTATTTATAAAATTTTAGCTGAATTTATATATTTAAATAGTATTAAAATTTAATATAATGTGTTCCGTATTGTATGTATATTATTTGTAAATATCATATCCTATATAATTTCCTAACCTAATCCTTATTCCTATGCTACAAAATTTTCGTTGCTAGATATAAATTAATGACGTTTCCCCGTTTTTTTTTTTTGCGAAATACCCTAAAATCGGGGTGAATGCCATACCACAAGAGAAAAAAAAATAAAGTATACAGTACATAATGTCATTTGTTACTGTCAAAATATAAAATTTTAAAATCTTTAGTTAAATTCAAAAGTTATTTTTTTATTACTAATATATCAGAATAATTAAACATCTAGGTTGTTATAAACTTGTATTTCCTTGGAACAAACAATTTTGTTTACCCAGTTCAACACATAATATAAACGGGAGGAAATTTGAAAAAATACAAAGACAAACAAATAACGCAGCCTGCGCTCGCAATCCGACGAAATGTATGATGTCAACAAACAATAAGACATACTTTGTAAAGCAGTCGTGGTTAATTAATAACCCGTTTGTAAACAATTATAATTGGCTACGTAATCAATCGACTGGAGTCAACTGTGTATATAGCGAGTCGTACATAATTTCAATCGTCTCGCGCATTTTCGCGGCGATGGTCGTGTAAATGACATCATGCATTTAAACAATTTTATAATTTCTTGCTTTTTATTTTCATTTTGTTTGTGCGATGAAAGTGTCGACAAAAATGACAAGTTGTTGAATGGGTTCATCGATTATTTGAATAATTTGCCGAATCAGCCGTATGTTTACGAAGATGGTGTGCTGGTACATACGCAAAAGACCGTGAGTTTCCCTTTCTGAGCCTACAAATCAGTTTGGAAGGTTATCTGCCACTTAGACCTCTCAAGTTATCAGAGACTGAATGTGGTATTATCAAAGTGGCACTCAATATGTTGTATACAATAAATAATCATAAATATATACTATTATCTGTATATTAATTTGTATTTTAATTGACTATTGAAGTTGTTTTGTGTATTAAATATATACAATACAAGAGTTGTATAATTATTAAGAAATTTCAAGTAATTTTATATTTGTTTGTCTTGAATATAAACTAAATTTTTAGTTTATTATATGATACTTAATAAATATTTTGCTTATTCCATAAATGCCCCTCCGATCGATCCCCTGTCCAATTCAAACGGTGATCGATATTACAACGTCCTGAGGTGAGGTTCATACACCTAGTGGTGCCCTCAGACTAAAGTCGTATCCGTCAGGCAGGAGTTGACCTTCAGCCGCTCCATAAGTCCTTTCGCGGGTTTGGAGTGCCATCTGCACTCGCCCCCAAAAGTCCGGTGAAGCTGTAAAGGCCAGCTACGGCCAACAGCATTAGAGTAGTCCAAAAAAAATCCATAAATAGGGATAAAGGAAAGATGATTATGGACAGTTTACTGTCCATAATCATGTTTCCATCATTACAAAGCTTTAGCTTTTATATTGTTTGAAAATATTCTCTCAAATTCTGATAGTACATGAATAAATCATTATATAGCACACTGTCCAAATTTGAGGGATTTATAATATTAAAAATATTTGTTTATGATATATTTTTTAAATACATACCCAGTCTGAATGAGTATACACAACAAAAGAATTGAAGTAGAATATAATATTTTTTAAACATACCTACATACAAATAAATGCCTCCATACTGATTGAAGTAATTTAATATTTTTAGGATGAAAATTGCTACAGAATTGAAGCAAGACTTAAGGCAAGTGAGACTCATAATGTAGAAGCATATAAGTATGTGAAATGTTCAGGCACTGTGATAGAGCTGGAAAATGAAGTAGTTGTGCAGGATAATCAGTATAACTGTGAAGATGCTGAGCCTGAGGCAACAGATGGCAGTGTGGCTGGGAATCTTGAAGAGGTGGTCTCAGAATCAGCAGACAGTACCCCAGAACCACAAGCACATAGACCTATACAGCTTGACAATGAGGTCAGACCTAATATTGAAGTAAGTATATAAAAATAATAAGCATTTGTATTCACAGTTCAATTAAATTAATCCTTTACAAAATTTCTACATCAGTATTCCTTATATATAATGTTATTGGTTTAGAATAGAATAGAAAATCTGTTTTCAAGTAAACTTGCATTGCAATTCCAATGAATAGTTATCAATTTTTTTTTCAATCTACCACTCATTTGGAAAGCTGTCTCATCACTAGAAGAAAGAGCATGAAACTTGCTTGTTGCTCTTTTAAATAATTTTGTTGTTACTTTACATTTTTAAGTTGAAGTGTGTGTATACAAAATACCCAGTTGGCACTAATTCAATTAATTACTCAAATAGAAAAAATATTAAATATACAACCAACTGGTTGAGAACTAAATAAGAGTAAATCAGTTGTAGTGATTGGAGTAGATCAGTCCCTACAAGCAGCACTTATTCATGAGTATGGCAGATGAGCCAGCCATCACTGTGCTCAACCATATTTTAGGGAGATAGAATTATCATGTTTTAGGTATATATTATTAGGCAATACAATTTTGACATTAATTTGAGGACAGTAGTCTCGAATGATTGTTATTGTTATTGAGGTTAACTTCCATATGGAGTTTCTATGTGGGTACCTCTGTTACACCTAATTCAGGTACCAATTTAGTTGTTTTGGTTGAATGGTGAATTTCAGGTTGGCCATCACAGTTCATTTGTCATTCATATATAACATAACTTCACGATATTGTTTGTTTCTTTTGACAAACCTTGATTCCTCATCTTGGTCCATCAAATATGCCTTAACAAGTGTCAATACATTTACATAGAAATAAATGTTGACAGTAGAGTTCATAAAAAGATAACATCCCATAAACTTATTTCGAAAATTTTAATTTAACACATTTTATGGACATTTGCTTCTATAGCCATTTCATTATGTGGCATAACGACAACATTCGCCCAAATCTAAAGGGCCGTTTTTACATATAGTGGCAAAAATATGCATTTACCAACAACACTTACAAATATAAGCATATATAGTTTTAATTTTTTAGGAAACAATTTTCTCAATTGAATTTAAGGGCGTAGTGTTGTGACGCTTATACTAGATGGATGGATTGTGTGAAAAATGATATGAATAAAAGAAGAGTATGTTTACATATGACGACCGATAGAGAGCAGTGGAAGAGAATGACATACTGCGCCGACCCCAAATAATGGGATAAAGGCAAGGCAATGATGAGTGTTGTGACGCTTATAGCCGCAACCCAATTAAAGATGCAGAATAAATTAAAATTTACTTTAATTTAGCAGAAAGATAACTATACTTCTTATATTCTAAAGAAATACAAAAACATGGTGTTAATTTTCAAACATGACTTGTTCCTATTGTCCGTCTATCTGTTAATAGATTCAATGTACCTACTTTATTTGTATCCTATATTTAAGATGCATTGAGAATATTTATTAGACACATGTTTGCAAATAAAAGAAGGCAGCCTTATTGCTGTAAACAATCTCTTCAAGGTAAATTGAATCTAACATGTTAAATTATCACAGGTATGCAAATATGAATATAAATGTATTTGCTTCTTCTTACCTATATAGTAATAATCATATCTCTGGACAATTCACATAGTGTCATATAGTCCTCAACTAAGCAGAACTTGTGTTATGGGTACTAGACAACTGATGTAAATACTATAATCCATTTATTTTTGTAAATATATACGTAATATACATAGAAAATACCCAGACCAATACAAACAATCACATTCTTGAATACAAAAGTTTGTACCGTGCAAAGAATCGAACCTGTGACCACTGGGAGTAAAGCAGTGTGCTAAACCGCTACATCACCTAGCCTGTAATAACTTTTTAAATTTTCGCATGTTACTTTAATATTGAACTTTGGTAATAAAACAAACACTGAATTTTAAATGAAATTCATATTACAATATTGAAAACCGTATCCAAAAAGCCATTTCAGACATTAACAGGAACAATTCCAAACAGACAAATATTGTAAAAAAAATTGTGTATAATCTTTACTGTTTAAATTTTTATTGAAATATATATATTATTTAGAAGTTTGAGGTTTTCTCACGAGACTACAGTATGGGGTTTTTCAAGAAGGGTATATTAAGGTTTCTCAAGGGGCGGCAACGCGCACGAAACACCCCTGGTGTTTCAGGCTTCCATAGGCTACGGTAACCATTTACCATCAGACGGGCCGTATGCTTGTTTGCCATCATAGTAGTAGTATAAAAAAAATACATAAAATAAAGTAGAATATTGAATGTTTACTAACAATGGAAAATATCTATTTTTGTCTAAATTATACTTAATTGGTTTTTGAGAAAGATAATAATGAAAATTATTGTAGTGCTATTATCTTAATTACTAACGTTATTAACAGGTAAATTTATATATAGACATTTGATATAACTGTAAACCACAAATGCCTTATTTGTGGTTTTCTTACACATTTATTATTTACTAAAATGATTTATTAATGTTGTCCCATTTGTATAAATTAATTTAATTATAGAACTAACATTAAGTTATTGTTTTTTAATTAATACTTTATCATCTTACATAATCTGCCTCCTCCTATCCTTAATTCAGTGACAGTTAGTTCTTTCAAACATAAATTATTCACTCACCTCTTTAAAGAACAAAAATCATTGTAGCAGGGAACACATATAATATAATAAGCATCTAAAACATGTACCAACTACACCATTTATGTACGTTATATATTTAAATATTATTAATAAATTTTATTATAATAAATATCTCATTACATAGCAATATACCTACTTAAATAATATACAGAATATACTAAATACATACATTAATTAAAATTGCATTTATCTTTACATACATTTTCATACCTATTTATAAAATGGTCTTAATTTTAACGTTTTATTTTCTTTAGTAATCTTTACGCTCTCTCGTGTGTGGTGGCCCCACTGAAAATCAGCGCTGTGGTATATATATACTGCAGTATAAATGCTGAGTGGGAGTCACATTCAGCGTTACTAGTATGTTTTAGCTTTTAGCTTTTAAATTGTATAGTATATAAGATAGATAGCATCTAAGAATACTGTAATGCTGAATAAATGTCTTTATTATTATTATTATTATTATTATTATTATCTTGTTCATAGAATTGTCTTTTTGTTTGTTGGCCCTTGTTAATTATAACTAAACAAAGTTACTCATTGCCCGTAGGTACTCAGACATATAGACTAAATCTATTCTATCCTACTATATAATATTATAAACGGGAAAGTTTACGAGAATGGATGGACAGATACTTGGATGGATGTTTGTTACTGTTTCACGCAAAAACTACTGCTCGTATTTTCATGATATTTTAAAGTAATTTAGCTTATTCATCAGAATAATTATACTGATGAATAACATAGGCTATAAATTTCAGGCGGGTGGAACCGCAGGCACAGCTGATATGGCTGTAATTTAAAAAGATATGTAAATTTGGCGAAATATAATTATAAATGTCAAGTAAGTGTGACGCAGACGAAATTGCACGGGTCAGCTAGTATTTAATAACTATAAATATAAATAAAATTGGAGTGTCTGTTTGTAATATTGAAATAACCGTTTTATGTATATATATATATATATATATATATATATATATATATATATATATATATAATTATAATTTAATATAAATTCGGTAAATACGCCAAAATATCATTTTTGTCTGTCTGTCTGTCTGTTTGTTCCGGCTAATCTCTGAAATGGCTGGACCGATATTGCGTGATTTTTTTTTGGTAGGTAGCTGATGTAATAAGGAGTAACTTAGGCTACTTTTATTTTAGAAAAATAAAGTTAAAAACCACGCGGACGAATTCGCGGGTACAGCTAGTTATACATATAGCAGGAGATTTGGTTTTTCGTTTGATTGTAAACGTTAATCTCTGTAACTACTATTTCTAATTGAAAAATTCTTTCAGGCTATACAACGCCTATTTATCGAGAATGGCTAGGAATGGCTAGAGCTTATTAACACTGCTCTACGACCATTAGGAGCGGAGCGGATTCTTGCAAAAACGGGATCACTTATATGACGCAAACGAGCTTGAGCTGGTCAGCTAATTAGACGATTAAGAAAAAGGAACTCCTTAAGGTCGGTTAAGATGAGGAAGTTAGGTAATAGTGGAATACTCTACTTTTTGTTATGACCTAACTACAAAAAAGAGTTCCTTTTATCGACCGAGAATAGTAACTCATTATACCGTATGTATAATGAGTACGTTCATGTATTCTATAATTAAATATCATACGTAGAATAAACAAATTGGGATACTTAGTTGCTAGGACAACAATCTTTTCTTTGAATTTTATTTATGCGTTAAAAATACATACATAGTAATAATACTATATTGTATATACAATACATACACTATACACAGACGAGCATTTTTATCTATATACTTATAATGAAATGATTATGAAGTTGAACAACGACTATTGTTTGAAAGACAAATATTGCTTATAAATAGACTTGAAAAGCACCATTTCAAGAAAGTATATACTGTGCCACCCTCAGTATCTTATCAAGAATACAAAGTGACATAATACGTTTATTAATTTTAATAATTAGTGCTAGTTAATAGTTTGCATTCATACTTCTTTAAAAATTTAATGTTAGCACAATTATAATATTTAAAAGAGCAACACGCAAGTTTCTTGCTCGTTCTTATTGCAATGAGACAGATTTCTGAATTATTTACCATAAAAAAATAGTAATGACTGAACAGTCATTACTTTTTTTGTTATAGTGCTAAAATATAAAATTATTTGTATAAAAACAATATTCTTGTCTTACGCAAAAATTTGGTCTTTATGTCTCAAGGGTACCCAAAGAACCTCTAAAGGATTTTAATTGGAATGAACTTTATGAAATGAAAATGAACTTTCTAAGAATCAGTTGAATGTATTTTATTATGGCATATACCGTAAAAAGGGAAAGTATTTAA